GTTGAAGTCCCCGCCTCCGTCCCCGCATCCGTCCCCCCCTCCGCCGCCGCCGCCGCGCCCGCTCTGCGCCGCCCGCTGAAGCCGGGCCAGCAGCAGCTCCTCCCCTCCCTGCAGCGCCGCCAGGATCTTGGCGGCGAGCTCGGCGACGTTGCTGCAGGAGTGGTTTCCGCGGTGGGGGGCGCCCAGGTCGCGCAGGAGCGGGTGGTGCTCGTCCAGGCTGCAGAGGCTGGAGGCCGAGGTGTCCGGGGAGCCCGCCGTGGGGGAGGGCGCCCCGCTGCCTCCGCCCTCGCAGAGGGGCCCTCGCAGGCCCAGGTGTTGGCACAGCTGGCTGTGGATGAGGTCCTTCAGGTACGGTGGATACGAAGACACGTCTGGAAGGGAAAGAAGAGCACGACGTCACGCAGGAGGAGCCACATCTGGCAGGGAGGAGACTCTGTTCACAGCTGGGCCTGGCGGGGAAGCCAGCAAACCGTCCCAGATGTGAAACGAGATGCACGGGCCACGTATGTGGATGAAACATCACATCAACACATCTGTTGGACCTTAGTAATCAGTTTTTACGGGATGTAAGCTTGAAGGACGCCTTGAAGAGGAACAGCTTTGCAACAGGAGCGACACGAATAATCACTTCATTCAGTAACAAAACCTGAGTGACGTCAATGAGGTGGAGAAATAACAGCAGTGGAAAATACTAAAAAAGAAATAAAATAGGAAATATGTATTATATGTAATAAGATGAGAAATACAGCATGTGGAAAGAAAAAATTCTAAATTGTAATAATTCTGGATGTGATTGAAAACGTGAGGAACAGCCGCTTGGTTCCGTGCTGCACTCAGGGAGCCTTCAGCCAGCGGCCTTTCACCAGGAGCCGTGAGGACGCCGAGGAAGAAACCGCAGTTCAGCTCGTTGGTGGTTCAGTGTAATCAAGATGAAAGCTCAGGTGTGCACACACACACACACACACACACACACACACACAGTGTGTATTTATAACCCACTCACACAGAGACTCTGCAGCAAGGAAATGATATTAAAGTTGCAGGAGGGATATCGAATTACCGCACGGTACAAAAGAAAGAAAATAAGAAATGTTGGGGGACGATGAAAAGTGGGGCACTGGGACAATGAAAGCTACTGAGAGAAGGGGGGGGGTCAATATGAAGGAAATAAATGGGATTTATTGTGTGTGTGTGTGTGGCCGTACCTGTGCTGTGTGTGGGGGGCCGTACCTGTGCTGTGTGTGGGGGGCCGTACCTGTGCTCTGTGTGGGGGGCCGTACCTGTGCTCTGTGTGGGGGGCCGTACCTGTGCTGTGTGTGGGGGGCCGTACCTGTGCTCTGTGTGGGGGGCCGTACCTGTGCTCTGTGTGGGGGGCCGTACCTGTGCTCTGTGTGGGGGGCCGTACCTGTGCTGTGTGTGGGGGGCCGTACCTGTGCTCTGTGTGGGGGGTCGTACCTGTGCTGTGTGTGGGGGGCCGTACCTGTGCTGTGTGTGGGGGGGCCGTACCTGTGCTGTGTGTGGGGGGCCGTACCTGTGCTGTGTGTGGGGGGCCGTACCTGTGCTCTGTGCGGGGAGTCGTACCTGTGCTCTGTGTGGGGGGCCGTACCTGTGCTCTGTGTGGGGGGGTCGTTGGCGGGCAGGAAGTCCTCGTCGTACGAGTCATCGTTGGACTCGTCGCCGTCCACAGACGACCAGGCCCTCAGCTTCGCCTCCGCTATGGCGAACTGCTCTGCCACACCTGCGCGCGCACACACACACACACACACACACACACACACACACACACACACACACACGTTGGGGCACTCAGAAATACATGGTTGGCATGGTAACATGAGGTCCACGTCTCGGGGCTGTTGGTGATGGCTGCGTTCAAAGTGTGTGTGTGTGTGTGTGTGTGTGTGTGTGTGTGTGTGTGTGTGGGTGGGGGTGGGGGTGAGGGGGGGGGTGCGGGAATACTTGGTAATGAGTATTGACGTGACGGCGAGGAGCGTATTGATGAGCAGAGCCTGGTCGCTGACGTGGTTCGACTCCATCGATGCAGCAGATTAACTCTTCAGACGTGTTTGTGTCCTCTTTTTCTTTTTGTCATTGAAATCCAACAGAATCGGATTTGTGTTTCTGCATTTTCTCATTTTCGGGACTGACGTCGACCAAAAAAAACATTGATAATGAGAAATCAAAGCTCGTCTCTGACAAAACGACGCAAGGCTCATATTCTACGGCGTAATTGTTACGAATGTCTCTATAAATAACTATGTGTGGTTATTAATTATTCAACCCACTGATTTGATTTGTAGCTATCGGGGCGTAATCCGATCAACAATATTTTCAAGGATAATTAGAAAAAATCATTTTTTTCTAATCCCAACGTGTTGAGATAAACGAGTTCATCAGTAGCTGGAATCCCTTTGGTGGTTATTCGCCCTCGATGCTGTAATCATTAATCACCATTACACACATATAAGGACACAGAGGATATCAATGTGTGTGTGTGTGTGTGTGTGTGTGTGTGTGTGTGTGTGTGTACGGGTCTGAGGTGACTCAGCATGAGTCAGAACCAATAAGGTCCAAGAGACCAATTCGCCTCCAATCATAATCAGGAGCCGGCCAATCAGAGAGTAGCTCTCTCTCCCTCTTGTGCCTCTCTTCTCATTTTGATTTCCACCTCTCTGAATCTCTCTCCTCCGTCTCGTTCTGCTCGATGCTCAGTATTCATGCGTTGTCTCCCGCAGAGAGAGAGAGAGAGAGAGAGAGAGCGAAGCCGCTCTGAACCTTCGCCGCGTACATCCTCCGGCGACCGCAATGTGCACGCTGCTCTTCAGTTCCAAGTCCTTTAGCTCAGGATGGAAGGTTTGAATGTCTAAACGTCTGCAGGACGTCCCGTAGGTGTCCTCCGTGCAGAACAACACAAGGAAAATCCTCCTAATCACAAACCGTGCTGGTCACCAAATTGTGCTAAAATGTGCACAAAAGTTGTTGGAATGGAGATTTTCACACACAGCAAGGACTTCATGCCTCCGTCTGGTGTCTTTACACCGGCTGTACGAGTACCAGTCAGCGCTTATTCCTTATTCCTTTTTAAATATTCGTTGGGTCACGGCGGTAACTCCCGCTCATGGATTGATTATGTTATCGGGCTTGATGCGTCAGGCGCCACATCTGGGTTTAATCTATCAAATGTCCCTCAAAGAGACACGACAACAACTGGTGCAAAGATGCAAAATGATTACAAGGATGAGCCTCAAAACGGGAAGAATACCACAAAGTGCACAGGGACTCAAATCGACACGAACAAACAGACTGAAAACTACAAAAAAAGCAATGACACAGTGACACACAACAAGTGTTGAACCAGAATGACGCCTGACAACCACGACGAGGCTCAAGAGACACGTCCCTCCAAGCAGAGACTTCTTTTGAAAAACTGATGGCGACTTTTTACAACAACTTTCTCGGGCCACAAATCGAATCTGCAACACTGCGGCGCACGAGAAACGGGAATGCAGCTGCGCGCACACTCACACGGACACACACACAGAGCGACAAGAGCCTCTTTGTGCGCGTCAAGGCTTGGCGGCCAGTTTCATGCACGACGGAGAGACACTGCAGGATTACCTTCAAAGAATGTGTGTGTGTGTGTTGGCAGGAATCCGTCCATCAATAGGACAAACCCACCTGCCTCTCTGTATTCTCAGGATGCCTCACACACACACACACACACACACACACACAGTTGTGTTCTGCGGTAAACCCCGGCGTCACACACCGACGCGCTCGCTGACCTCCAGGCGGTGACGGCGTCGTGGCCGGACCACCAGGGGAGAGGGCTTTTTTTTTTTTTTTTTGAAGCCGTAAGCACAAAGTGGATCCCCGATGGAACGGAGGCGCGACCACGCGAGCCAAAGGGGAGCAGCAGCAGCAGCAGCAGCGCGTGAATGTCAATTAGTGTCACCCGGACGGGGGCCGGCGGCGCCTCGTGCGGTCGCCGGTGTCCTCGGCGCGTGTGTCAGCGTGTGACAATAGAAATGATGTAGAGTGCTTTGAGTGGTCAGAGGACCATTGACCCTTTACCAAGAAGTCTCCCCAACCCTTGACTGCAAAGTCAAAGTGCATTAATTGATTAATATACATTTTAGAGGATTCGCCCTTTGCGAATGTACGAGGGGACGCTTGATTAATGACTGTAGGACGCGCCTTTAAAGCGCCGATGCCGCTACAGAGCTCCGCAACTATTTTGTGTCCCTTTTGGTGATCAACTCGTCCGCCATCGTCATCGCAGTTCCTCCTTTACAGAAAAAACTACCGAACAAAGAGTGAAAAGGAGAAAGGAGGGCAGAGGAGGCCCCGAGGCAAAAGCGCTCCGTCACGGCGGCACGGTGTCCAGGAGCGAAACCTCGCTGTGCAAATTAACCTTGAGAGTCTGCAGTGCAGCGAGCGAGAGAACGTGAAGGAGAACGAGGGACAGGAGGAACTTTAAACAGAGGGGACGGCGTGAAGGGGGTGAAGCGTAGACCGCATAGGTCGGATAGGAGGGGGGGGGGCGCGATCTGTATCTGGGTAATGACATCTCACCGTGGGCTCTCGCCTTGTATTAACATTCTTATCTCCCGCCCCTCGTTATCTGGGGTCCAAAGAAGGTCAGGTGACCTCCCGACTGCCTTGATCAGGCCCGATTGGGGCGTGGCTGCCCGACAGATTAAAAAGGTTCCAATACGTTGGACTTTAAATACCAGGACGTCCTTCTACATCCAAGACGGCAGGACGAGCAACAGGGTCAAAGTTCAAGGCGTGGTCACGAGGGAGATGTATGATCCGCGGCATAACATCTCGTGTCTCGTGTAGGATCTCTTCCGTGATCATTACTTCATACGCTCCCCTGCCCCGGGTGTGTGGTCACGTCTCTCAGGTCAAACGCGGGCTTGTGGTAAAGAGTCTTACCGGCAGCGAAGCGGGCCTCCTGCTCTCCCTCCGTCAGGTCCGAGTAGGAGTTCAGGTCCGATTCCGGAGCCGCTGGGGCGTCGGTGGGCTTGCACCAGCCTTTCCACTCTATGAGGTGGGCCACCCGGCCCTGAGCCATGGCTGTGGGCTTCGTCACGTGGTCCTTCACTACCTGGGAGATACCTGCGGAAAGGCCAAGCACGGGGGGGGGGGGGGGGGGGTCACGCTGAGGCCCGGCGTCCGAGCGGAGACGCGCTCGCCGGCCGGCCGACACTCACCGTGCAGCGAAGATCGCGCCAACGCGGCGATCTCCTGAATGGTGAGAGCTCGTCTGGATTTTGGTAACATTTCGACGGTGTCATCAACATTCACCTGAAACCAGAAGAAGAAAAGGAGAAGAAGAAGAAGAAGAAGAAGGAGAAGAAGAAGCGTGATTCAGGGGGGATGAAAGCATCCCGACTCCCGGGGGAGACCCAGGGAAGCACTGCAGTGGGCTTCAAGGGAAGAAGAATTCCCTCTTTAAACACCTGGAAATTATTACAATGACACACGTGTGTGTGTGTGTGTGTGTGTGTGTGTGTGTGCACAACGTCTCAGATGTCAAACTGCAAATTCACCCTCCGGGACGAATAAGAAAGGCTTTTTATGTCGTCTCTTCAGATACTGATACTACAAAAGTACTTGTTTTAGGCAACAAACATATTTTCCCACCAAATCAACATGCTTTGAACAAGTAGTTTTGATATCTAAGCTTTATTTTGAAAAGACACTATTTGTAACAAGATGAGTGTATAGATTGTTAAAATAATACCACTTTAAAATTAGATGGAAACAACACCACTCTTAAATCATCAACATGTTTTATTGTATTTAAGCTAAAAAAAAAAACTAAATCGTAATTAGTTTGAGAACAATTGCTCAACTATCCCTAATAATAATGAGCCAACGTGCTCAGTCTGTGACGTCGGCGCTCAGCGGCCACCTGCAGGTGGTTTTCTAAATTAGCCTGCTGGCTAACGAGCATGCTAACAGGTTTCTTTAGGTAACGGAGCGGACTCTTATCCAGTTACAGTGCAAAGAAATCTATGGCCGCAGACGGTGAGTGTGGAGGTTGTCGATCACTTCCTGTTTGTCCAGCGCCGTCACCTGGACACGACCCAGCAGGCCTCTGCAGCGGCGCTACGTGTTGTATTAGAAATACAAAAAAAAAACTTCTGCCCGTCCTCCAAATCAAATCCGTCTCCTCTGTAAAGTCAAACCACAAAGGGTATCGCGTGTCGATGGGTTCATTCGCCCGCTCGCTCTATTTACAGCCCTACCTGCAGTCACGTGGGCGACAACGAAAGGGGCGGCGCCTCGAGCCGACCCTCCACGCGGGTCAGCGCCCTCGGGCCGACCGTGCGGCTCGATGGCGTCGGGCCATCGGCCTCCGGTTTCCACTCCTGCTTTCGTTTTGGTAAAAAACAACAACATCCTACACCAAGAAACCAGAGAGTCGGGAGTAACAAACACTGAAAAGTGAGTATTCTGCAGTCGCTTTCAACTTAAATCTTTCATTGGGGGGTCGCGACACAACGCCGACCGCATCTGGGGGGGGGGGGGGGGTTCTGCGAAGGGGGAATCCCGAGCTTGCGGCGGTACCAGCGGATCCCCGCGATAATCCTCTTGTGCTGCAGAGCAGCTTTTCAGATCAGAAGGGAGGTAATCCGGCGGCGAGGTGGGCACACGCGGCCTCAGACGGACGCAGCGCGTCGGTGTTTAAGAAAAAGGATGTAAAGGAAAGTCAGATGTCAGACGGGCGGTTAAGGTCGTCCACCCCACAGCTGGACGGGTTCTCTTTGTGTTGTAGTGAAATGTGTGGGAGGGTTTCCGCACGTCTCCCGCCTCACGTTTAATCCCCACGCAGCTCGATTCCATCTGTGTCTCCCCGAGCAGCGACGATACGAACACCGTCTCAGGAACGTTTCTATGACAATAAAGCTTGGAAAGCAGAGCTTATAAAACATGAGCTACAGGCCGGACCCAGACGACCTCATCGAAGCACAAATGTACGGATGTTTTTTTTATTCATCAAACAGGCGCATTCTGCTTGTTGCTTCTTGTTTAAAACCACATTCACACACGAGGAAGCCATCAAATGACACGGTTTGGTGGAACAGATTGGCCGGAAATCGGCTGGCGGCCGCAGCAGGTCTCCTTCCCTTCTCAGATTATTTTGGTTCATCGTGGGTCCAGCGGTCCAACCAGAGAGCCCTCGAAGCCGCTTCTTCCCTCCTCTGATATCTGAAGAGCATCCCGTCGGTTTTTGCTCTATCAAAGCACAGAATTAAATGCATCAGAACCCCCGGTGCACCCAGTGGAAAGGAAAACGTGTTTCCTTCAGGAAGCCAGATGAGCATCAAAGTGAGCCTCCGAAAGGAACATGTAAACATGTCTGAGCGCCAGGTTGATCCGGCCTGCAGAGATGTGAGGCGACGGCGAGATCCGTCTGTCCAACGGAGAGAACGTGTTGTCTGAATTACACCAGATACATTTCCAAAAAATTAAAAATGCATCTCTAATTTGTGCTGAATGGCTTGCTACTAATTAGAAACCAAGTGGTTAATGTTAATGAAAAGCTAAGATGGAGAAAGAACTCCCGGGGGGGTCGAATCACACGGTAATAAAAGGTGATTAACAAACCTCGCAAAGGGCTGAGAAAATCATTTTCGGCTTCGTATGGCGAATTGCTGAGCGACTGTCCCCTTCTGATGACACGCCGGGGTGATTGGTGCTCGGCCCAAAACACACAGTGATATTCAGAGAACCTCCAATGATCTGAACAATGAACTAAAAATGTCCAAAGGGACCAGCATTGGTTTCTCTCATCTACACCCAATTAAAGTTATGTATCAATATTATTTAACATAATATTATATCTCTTGAAGTGGGAAGTCCATGTTCCTAATTAACTCTTTAAATGAGAAAAGGCCATTTTTAATGAAAAACAAGCGAGGTGCTCCACTGGAATCCCTCGCCAACTCATCTGTCATAAAACAGACCCTTGTTTTGAGGATTTAATGCATGAGGTCTATTTGCCCCCCCCCCCCCCCTCCCCCTCCTTACCAAACAAAAAAAACAAAACAAGTGTGAAGGGCACCTCGCTGAAGTCCAGTGCGCCCAAAGGTGCTGTCAGAATCAGTCTGCGTGCCAAGCAGGTCCGCGTGTTCCCCAAAAGCGCGAGGTCGGCGCGGGAGCTCGCCGCGCTCCAGTCCACGCGCAACGTGCCGTCAACGGCCACTGGGGGGGGAGGGGGGGGGGGGGGGAGAAAGCCACGTGAAGATGACAGGAAACAGATCAGGAGCCATTTCGATGCCTCCAAACATCGTGTCGCGAAATGTGTGTTCATTTATTTCTGGAGCAAGAACGGCCTCAATGTTTCCGCTTCGCGAGGGAAGATGCAGTCACCATGCCAACCAACCCATGCCTTCAAGGGAGGGGGGGGGGGGGGGGCAGCTACTGAGGGGCAAAGACCATGGAAGTTTTTTTTACCCCCAAATAAAAACCCCATTTAAACACCAAGTAAGTGACTTATTTAGAGAAAACAAATTGAACTGTGAGGGAAGAACCGTGCGGTTTGACAAGAAATACAGAAATAGAATAGATAGAAGGTGAAATTCAAAATGTCTTTTTTAAAGCAGGGTCGGTATTTGTAACGGCTGCTGCACAACTTTGGACTAAGAATTGTTAAACCTCCTCCACGCACGTCCAGAAAGTGTTTGCAGTCTTTATGAGCGTGTTTCCTTTCTAGTCTAACTGACAGGGTCCAATAGCGACAGTGTGGTGTGTGTGTGTGTGGGGGGGAAGACTCTACTTCCATGCACTTCAGAAGCCATGCAGGTAGCGTCCTGACAGCAGCCCTGTTTGATATTTAATGAAGTTGGTTCTACTTTTGTCGGCAAGAGAGAAGCAGCATAACGCGCAAACACACACACACGGGTAAAACACGCGGAACGAGGGACACGCCTGTGATGGTGTTACGTAATTGTTTGTTTTTGTTGTTTCCTCCCCCAAACACACATGATCAGACGTCCATCAACGGCCATCTGCAGACACATGGACGATGTGCAGGGTTGGACCTTTTCACCGTGACCCCCCACGCCTCCCAAAGCAGTGGCAGAGACATTTCAGCACCTGGACAGCTCCCTGCAGCCACAAACTGAAGCACACACACACACACACACACACGTCTCACCCCCCCTCTTCAAATCAGATCTGCAAAACGAGATTAGGCGGTAGGTGGTGATATGCTGGGGGGGGGCTGGCTCTTCTTTCCACCCGGCCGCTTCAGGGAGGCGTTTCTAGTTACCGCCTGTGAAAAGGACGACTCGCTCGATTAGTCGCCGGCACCCGTCTCCAATGCAATATCAAGACCAATCGCTCACACACGCACACACCATCTCCCAACCCCCCCCGATTACCCCCCCCCCCCCCCCCCGGCCCGGGTCACAGACATGCCATTTAAGTGCGCAGAGCTCAAGTTGCCCCACCAGCAGAATTCAATCGGCGCCGATTAATGGGGTGTGATGAGATGAGATGCCCCGGGGTATCATGTCGTCGGATCTAGGCCACCTTGTCAGAGGCAGCTTTGTTCCGGAGGGCTGAAGGATCCGCACGTGGTGTTTTTTTTTGTAAATGCACGTGATTGATGGCTAGAATGTGCCAGTCACTTGAGCCCCCGCACACACGTACAAGGGCGGCGCGGAGGGATTTAATGGCGACACCGTCAGCAAACGCATATCAAGAGAGAAAAAAAAAAAGCTCATTGCCTGTGGATTAGTTTGTGATCGGTGGTTTTTTTTGCACGTCTGCAATGCACGAGTCCGCTAAATCAGAGTGTCGTTTTGCTGCAGAGAACCAGAACAACGAGGCAAGAGACACTAAACACGAGAGGCGTTGAGATGTACTCGATCCAACTGAGACTTTATTTTGTATTTTAAAAGCGACTGGAAGTTGTGGCGCGGATCTCTGGTGAGGCCTCCGACCGGGGCTCATTTCTTTATTTGTTGCACGTCGTTTTGACCTTTTAGCATTTATCTCCTGCCTTATAACTGGGATCTTTCTTTTAAAGAAATGTATTTCAATCTATTCATTTCACTTAGGTCTCTATCACACACTTACACTCTGTAGTTCCCGTTGTCGTGGAAACTGGAGACAGAGACCAATGCATTGCTCACACACACACACACACACACACACACACACACACACACACACACACACACACACACACTCTCGTCTTGCGGCTCTCTGAGAGACTTGTGAGCGAATCAACACAATTAGGTCAAGACCAGCAGCTTTGTTGTGTCACACACACACGGCGAGATATATGGGAGTCAAACAGGTGTCTGCTGTGTGTTACACCTCCGGATTAACCTGCACGCGGTGGCTTTATGTCATGGGGGTTGGTGTCCTTTACGCACTCCGACACGAGACGAGACGCCCGTTCATCAAGAGATTTTGAGGTGACAGATTCCACAACCATTCAGAGACAGAGACACCCAGACAGAGACCCAGAGAGATGTGTTTCAGCAAGGATGTGATGAATAAAAGGTGGATGCCCAGAAGAAGGGTGTGCGAGAAACAGGGATAGATGGATGGAGGGGGGGGGGGGGAGTTTGCTTCAAGGAGGCTACAGAGGAGACCCAGTCAAATGAATAACAAGACGGGGGAGCACGGAGGGGGACACTAGAGGTCGCGAGGACCGGAGACCACGTCGCGTCTCCGCCAATGTGTAAACAAGCACGAAGCGCAAAAGGATGCGGTGACAACAGGGAGCTTGTTTCTTGGCAACAAGCGGGTGATCTCCTGCTGCACGTACGTGCAGTACATGCACGCACGCACGCGGCGCGCGCGCGCCTCGGAGCACCGATGGAGTCCGTTTACTTTGAACTATTGTATTTTACTTACAACAAAATGATCCGGTCATTGTGGTTTAGTATTAGTTCAGGTTTTGCCCGTTCGCGTGCGTAAATGAGAAACACCCTCCCCCCCCCCACACACACACACACACGCACACACCGCTTCACACACACACAAAAAGGTGTCCTACCTTGCAACTAAAGTGGGTCAGCGCGGTCAGAACCATCGCGTCTGGATGAGTGGATCTCGTCACAGATAAATAAGAGCCGTTTCAGAAGCAGCGCCGCGCGTCCTCTCCGCCTCGGACTGGCGTGCACGCCGAAGAATAGAGGAAGAAGAAAAAAAAAGAAGATTCTTGCAACCCTCGAAGCATCGCGATGTTTAAGCTCCCGATAGCGGTTCCCCACCAACAACCCCACCAAGACGCACCAGACACACCGTTTGGATTGCGGTTCTGACAACAACAACAACAACAACACTAAAGGCTCCTCGCTGGAACGCGCGTGCGACTCTGCAGCGCGATCACATGTCTCGCATCCCGCGCACGCAGCATGCTGTGAGCACCCAAATCCAACCCAACGCCTCTGCAGCCGCCGAAGGCTGCAGCGAAGGAGGGAAAAAAAACAACAACAATGCGAGACAGAAAGAAAGAAAGAAACAACATGTCAGGATTCCTCCAGCGTGCGTGAACGAAGAGCAGATTCAAAAAAACAAACTCTTACCAACTGGCGCTTTGGAGCTGATACAGCCCATTTTCGCAGCTGCATGTGGAGCTTTTTTTTTTTGGAGAGCGCTCTATAAAATCCCCCCCCCCTTAACACCCCCAAAACGAAATCCTCTGCGTAAGAGGCGCGGAGCGTACCTCTCGGGTGGAAAGCCTCTGTCACTCCTCCAAGCTGCTGAGCGCTTCTGCTCCGTGGTTTCTGTCGCCTGTTTGTTTTTCACCTACTTCAGATCCATGTACAAAAATATGTAGATATATTGTTTGTGCAGCTTTTTTGTTGTTGTTGTTTTCTTGGATGAGTCGCAGTTCTACGTCACCGGTTGAAGGGTCGAGTCCCGCGGTTCAGCACTGGCATGGGTGTCTCTCTCCCCCCCCCGGTGCCTTGGATGCTGCAAGATGCCTGCAGCCCCCCCTAACCGGTTCTTGATCACTGCCGGTCAAACTCTGCACCCCCTCCGCTGGCACGGATCTCTGCGGTGTCGGTGCGCGCTGGGCCGCCTCCGGTCAGACGGGAGAGGCGCTGGAGGGTGACACGAATACTGAAATCCCACGCTTAACTGCATATATATACCGCCCCCCCCCCCACACACACACCCCCACACACAAAAAACGAGTTCCCACCTCCTTGGACTGCCGTTCCCCTGCGAGGTAGGAGCGGATTGAGACGTGATTGGCTGGTGTCCCCTTACATGTCCATGGGGGAGGAGGGCGGAGTTACATCTTGGAGAAGCATGTTGTCAAACGCAGAATTGCGTCGGTTGTTATCTGGATGTCAGCTGTCAATCAGTGGGGAGCATGCGGCACAACAGGTCAACGGGGGGGGGGGTTGTAGGGGGGCGGGGTCGATGACAGCCTGCAGCAGATTGGGATGCTGGGGAATAATAATAGTAATAAAAGCATTACTAGTGCGGAAGCAAAGTGAGATGCCCCCCCCCACCCCCCACCTGGCGACATCAACCTGTAGTCCAGGGGGAGAAAAGGTCGTGTGCGTAAAAGTGCACATGTGAGGAACGTCAGTCAGGACACGAGAACCCCGCTCGCCCCCCCCCCCCAACCACACACACACACACACACACACACACACACCGCCGTAGAGCTGCGGGCTCATTGCGACCTCGAAATAAAGGCAGCGCTTCTAAAAATACGCTTTGCGCGTTAAATCAGCGCACTCGATGAACATGATTAATAAAAAAAACTTTAAAAAAAAAACTTGCGGCCTATTTGTAACAGTCTCTCTTGAGGCCCACCGGGACTCTAATCCGGGACCTGCAGAGCTGGCGACCCACTCAACCCCCCCCTCACCATTCATCCGGGGCTCCGAGTGGCTTTATTAGTGACGAACTGGTCTTCGATGCCGCCAAACGCGCGCTGCGTGACACGAGGGGGGGGTTTGTTCTCGTCCCACTGCGCGCCGTGAGAACAGCAAGTGGTTATATGTGACCACATGTCACAACAGAAAGACACGGAGGCAATAAAGGGGCGCAGTTTGTGTGACTTAGCTCGTCAAACGCTCAACACGTGGGAGGATCCCGGACTCTTCCAAGGATCCAACGGTCCTATTCGGGGTTTTTTTTCTTCCTGCAATGCGCACTCAACTTCTCTTTCATAACGCATGGAAGTTGCGGCAAAGCGCCACAGAGCTCCACGGAGCCCGGTCCGCCCCCCTCTCCTCCTCCCCCCCCCCCCCCGCGCCACATGCCGCTTTTTGTCCGGTGCTGTAGCGCCACCGGAAGGAAGGACGCGCTACCGGCAGCAGCGGGGAGCCGGTTGCGCAGCACGGTTCCGTGTGCAGGGACACGCGCACCTGCTGCGCAACCGAAGCCTTCTGCATCTCTTGATCCCGGCGGGGGGTGAAATAATAAAGACTAATGCATTAATACAAGGAACGTTTGAAAGAAAAAATACACAGGGCATTAAATAGCCACATGTCCTAGTTTATAATTATATTTTTGTAAAAGGATAAATGAGACCACAAGGCCTCTCTCACTGTCGAATATGCTCCGAAAACCGTTAAATGCTTTAAACGCTCCATAAGTTCACATGCAATAAGCTATTTGACAATTCAAGCTGTTCCTCTTTGACTGAATTTGAACAAAACTCTCTCGCTTTGTTCAGCACCGTTGCGTAGTTCTCACCCACCTCCACCTGCTGATGGAGGCGGTGAGATGAGGGTTGAATGTGTGGAGCGGCAGCACGTGGTCCACTTGATCTCAGCTGGTTTCAACAGATTCCAGCAGTGACGGGTTCACACTGAAGCTCTGCAGGAGAGCTTCTGCGTGCCTCCATCTGCTCGAGGCCCGAATGAGTAATGGTGCTCGTTGAAGTGTTGAGTGCATTCGTTTTACGACAATTTAAAACCGTCTTAAAAGGAATCCGCAGCTCAAGAACAGCTCCGGCTCCTCTGAAGCAGTGGTTCTAAGCTGGTCCGGCTCCTGGACCCACCATCACCCCTTGATGACAAGCCGCGACCCAAATCAAGGGAACATCCTCAACTTCTCAAATTGATTTAATGAAAATATGGTGCAGTTTGAACCTGAGGGAGTGTGGAGACAGAATGCGTATGCCAGCACAAAAACAAGTTTAATGAAAAAAAAACAAAAGAGCCAGCTGTTAATTCTAATTTTTATTTTCCCAGGCAAAGGCGGACCCATTAAAAACGGGTCTGCGACCCACCAGTTGAGAACCACCGCTCCGAAGGACCGTTCCAGGGGCCGAGGCCTGCAGACCTCTCAGAGGAGACATCTCACGACACATAAAAAGGAACAAATAAGGGCGAAAGGTCTTTCCACGAGAGGCGGAGAACAGAGGCGAAGGGAGTGTCCCCTCGGGGCGTCCCCAGTCCAGTCGCGCATGGGACGTGAGTGATGACGGAGCAGCACAACTTCCCCTTGTGCCATTTTTTTTTTCAAAGACAATTTTGAAAAACAACTGTAAATTTTCACAACCTCGCGTCCAAAGAATGATGCATTTCATGGTCGCTGCCTCCGTCCTACCCCCCGTAAATAGAACCCAGCCCCCCTTCCACCTGCACCTCCCCTCGGCCCTCCAGCGTCACGCCGCCACGCGACCCGTAAGAAAGACGAGATCAGACTAACGAGTACGAGGAGTAAACCAGGTCCAACAGACGTCCACATAATTACAACAATCCTGTCACCTCACAGATAAAAATAGGTGCTCTTTAAATATTTCCTCGTTATTAAAGGACCGTAATGACGACCCTCGATTAGCTCTGCGGATATTGGACAGAATCAAAAGGAATGAGAAATCTTTTTTTTCTTTTTATTACACTCATTTGAATCAATGGGCTTTTTACAGGCTGGATTCTCATTGGGTTTTTCTTCTGCTCTCGTGTGAACACTAAATATAAAGCTAACAGGAGCTTAGCTTAGCACGAGGACAGGAAGCAGTTACACAAACTGGCTCTCAGGAGAAAAACGAAGGAGAATCCGAAGCCCTCTGACTGAACCGTTACGTCTCTCCTTCTACTTTGTTTCATGTCCACAGAAATATGTCTCAATTTGATGTTACGAACTGGAACTATATTTTGCCGACATGAGTCACCAGAACTCCTGGTTGCAGCTCCTTCGATTATAGTGCAGAGATAAATAAATAAATAAATAAATAAACCTGAACGACAGTGAACCGTTGAGTCCATCAGAAAAGTTGGAAAAACACTTTGCTTCAAAGATGAAAGCAGCAGTTTTTTCCTTTCTATTTTCGGACGTTTTCCAAGGATGACGACGAACGCAGATCGGAATAAAAAGATTTAATTTGTTTGTATGTTGTACGAAGAAACCTTTATATCTACAATGTTTGTATGAATGGAGTTTATAAAGAAGCTTTAGGGCGGCTCCTCCGGTCTGATACAGGGATTCAATAAGTAAAACGCCATTGATTGACAGCGGAACTTAAACAACTCATTTGTAATAACATGTCTTTATATATCCCAACTCCGCCTGCCCCTCCGTGACCTCTGACCTCCGACCGGAACCGGATCGTCAGGGTCCACCTGGCCAACCGGACCTCACACCGGCGCCTCGAGGGCCAGCAGCGCACCGAGCAGAACGGCCAGGGCGCCACCGCCCACCGCCGCGGCCCCTCCCCCCACGGCGACGGTGCTCTGGACCGCGGGGTCCTCGGGGAGCCCCCGGCAGTGCCTGACGTCGGCGCCCACGCAGGCGGCGTAGGCCATGGCGTGGGCGACGTAGCTCTGCTCGTTGACGCCCTGGAAGAGGTGGGCCATGGGCCCGCGGGCCAGCACCGCCACGTCCTCCCCGCTGTGGGTGGCCGACTTGGTGGGGACGGCGGCCAGCTGGACGTAGTCCTTCGCCTCTGGAAGAAGAGACAGAAGCGTTCAGCACGCGGGTGGATTTTCATCAGCGTGGTCAAAAGTGAAGGAAGGATCACTTTTTATTATTCGTTCTCACTGGAAGACTCTTTATTGTCTTTCTTGGTTTGTAAAGAAAATGAAGCAAATTGAATTAGAAAAAATGTCAGCACGGGAGAAAGTACGAGTGATTCCATTAAGGGGAAAAGGTCGCGGCGTATTACGGGACACGGATCCAAAACCCAGACGGGCGAAAGCGAAAGGTCAGCGCCGTTGTTCCGAAGCAGCTTCCTGGCTCCCTGCTGTGCGTCTCCGGCTCGTCTTTGTCCTTCGAGAAGGAGACCCGCCCCCCCCCCCCCCCGTCCCCCCCGTCCCCCCCGCCGGTACCTGGTCAGAGGAGCACTCACGTGTGTTGACGTTGCGGATGTCCGGACGCGTGCCGTTGGTGATTTTGTGTCCCGGCCCGTTGCCGTACATCAGCGTGGTGTAAGGCAGCACGTCGGTGGCCCACAGCGGGGATTTACCTGCAGGATCCGGGAGGAACATCCAACGTTTAGAGAGGCCTCCGCCTCGAAGCGCCAAACACATGCATACGTGATGACCGCGCACACACACACACACGCACTCACACACTCCCCAGGGTGCTGCAGGGGGTCGAGAGCGTGTTGAGTGTTTCTCTCCGGAGGAGCCATTAAGCCCGGCGAGTCTCCCCACTGATGAAGAGCTCAGAGTTTCGCAAGCACATTAATCACTGCTGGATGGTGGAGGAGGGAGGAGGAGGATGGAGGAGGTGGGGTTAAATAAGCATACGACCGGAAAGAGAGCGAGGCAAGCTCCATCAACACAAGTGCTCCATCAATGGGGAGTTGTGAGGGCGAATGAGGGGGAGTTTACGGGATGAGTCTTCATGAGACACACTGACTGGGTCTAAAGCCACCGCATTCTGCCCTTTTTGTTTGCCCGAATAATCAAAACTTAACCCCAACTAGTCTGGTGGAGAAAGTGAGGAGCCAGTGAGGAGCTCTGTGTAAACCTACACCCCCTCCTGCCTGATGAGGAGGGTCCACACCACCTCTTCGCAGGAGCATCAGAGGAAAAACCTCACGGCTTAGAATAACTGCGTACAGGTAGAAACCACCAATAGTCATCTTCTGGGTCATCACAGATAGATGCATTGGCTGCATGTCTCTGCAACATGTCACCACGAGCGCACAGACACAACCAACGCCTTTAAAATGATGTCTCGACCTTCAGTCTGCTTGACAGATGTTCACACAAGGTTCTTCAAAATGAGTTAAGGAGAAAGAACAAACGGAGGAAAGAGAACAAGATCAACAGGCGAGAACGACCAACGGAGCGAGGAGGACAAAGTCCAGGAGAGAGAGGCAGAAAGAGGGAGGGAGGGAGGGAGGGAGGACTGGAATAGAACGGCCTCCGGCTACATGTGTTTACCCCGGCTGTAATTGCAGGGGAGAGAAAGCAGAGGAAATGTCAAGCCGCCCGAGGCGGAGGCACGCTGACTCTGATGGTGGAGAGCGCGAGAGCACCGGGAGGCGTCTCCCACACAAACAACCAGCATGAAATGCCACCTGAGGGTGTCTATCGTCATGGTAAATAAACACGGGGGGGGGGGGGGGGGGGGGCAAAGGGGAGAGCTGCCCCATCGTGTGCACAAAATCAAATAAGTGAGCTGATACAAAAATGCCTGAGGATACATTATTACAATATGGAAGATACAATTACCCAGAATGCTCTGCCCTCGGAACGGGTACCCGTTGAAGGTGACGGGGTGCGAGTGGTCGGCCATCACCACGGTGAGAGTGTCGTGCTCCGCGGTGAGCTCGAGGCCCTTGGCGATGGCGTGGTCGAAGGCGACCGTCTCGTGGAGCGCCATGGAGGCCCGGCCCGCGTGGTGAGCCTGGTCGATGCGCCCGCCTGGCCACGGAGAAAGGGAGGGGTTAATGAGGGGGGGGGGGGGGGGGGCTGAAGTGATAGAATCTGGAAACGCAGGAGGACAATTTATTCTGGCTTTCAAGGGTAAGAAAAGAAAAATCTGGGGTTTTGGTCAATTTAACCGCGACAGTTTAATTAAACCAGAAATCACGGGCTCGTTTTTCTCATTCGTACATAATTAGAATCATTAATACAAAGACGGATTTCACTCAAATGTAAAAGACAATGATGGCTGAGTGACTTGTGACTTGAAATCGTAATGAATAGGTTAGCCGCCGCCGCCCCCCCACCCAACAGCTGTCCCAAAAAGTGGAGTAAACTCCGGTTAATGAGTTGTGGGCCGCGGTGAGCTGTCAGCACCATATGCCCACTTCTATTTATACATTTGCCTGTTATTTTAAAGTCATTGTGAAGACACGACAGCGCCGCAGAGCCCCCAGGCGGCTGCCTCAGTTTGAAGAGGCGAGGGAGATGGATGAGGAGGCCGGCGAGAAGGGGGGGCGGCGAGGTGAGGGGGGGGCGGCGCGGAACGGAAACACGTCAGCCGACCACACTCGGCCTGCAGACGCACACTTGCGGGCAAAACCCATCGAGCTGCGTGCAGGATCGATGTCCCGTGACCCACCGCAGGCGCACGCTGTTCCCCAACGAGGTGGATGCCGTAATATCAGCGAGAACACGCATTGATGTTTTTCCACCAACGCCAGCAATTACCAGCGCGTAATTGTTCTCCTTTGCGATCAATGGTTCCATCGATCCGCCCTCGGACGGGTTAATTGACGGGTGTTTGGGAGGCTGCGGTCCTCACCCTCCACCAGCAGGAAGAAGCCCTTGGGGTTCTTCTGGAGGATGCGGATGGCCTTTTCCGTGGTCTCCGCGATGGACGGGTCCATGTTCGGGTCTCGTTCCGCCTCGAAGCGTAAATCACCCGGTTCAAACAGAGCTGGAGGAAGAGAAGAGCAGAAGAAGAAGAATTTAAATGTAAAAAACAACAACAACCTCTCAGCATGTCAGATTTATCAGCCCACAGTGGAGGCGCAGCAGGAAGGAGAGACCCATCTTCCTCCCACCACTACTGCTATTTACACCACACAGGAAGTGATGAACCACGGCGAGAAGCTCCAGCAGCAAGTGAGCAGAAAGAGTCCGACGACTGAATCACAACGAAACCCACGGAATACCAGTTCAAATCCATGCTGGAGGAGGAGGATGAAAAGAGGGAATACCGCGGGGGGAACATACGAGCGGGTTTGACATTGACGTTTGGAAGGATGTTCGGTCGTTGTGTATCTCGAGATACACGAGAAGTTAAATGAATAATTATTTCAGTTTAAGTGAATAATCATCTTACTTGAAGTTAGATGTGTAAATGAACGCAAATCATACGTGTGTGACAGGAGGAAAGCTCCTTGAAGCTGCATTATCTCTCCTGACCAGCAGGGGGCGACTCCTCTGCTCCCATAGACGTCTATGAGGAAATGACTCTACTTCTCTGTAGTGACCAGCAGGGGGCGACTCCTCTGCTCCCATAGACGTCTATGAGGAAATGACTACTTCTCTGTAGTGACCAGCAGGGGGCGACTCCTCTGCTCCCATAGACGTCTATGAGGAAATGACTCTACTTCTCTGTAGTGACCAGCAGGGGGCGACTCCTCTGCTCCCATAGACGTCTATGAGGAAATGACTCTACTTCTCTGTAGTGACCAGCAGGGGGCGACTCCTCTGCTCCCATAGACGTCTATGAGGAAATGACTCTACTTCTCTGTAGTGACCAGCAGGGGGCGACTCCTCTGCTCCCATAGACGTCTATGAGGAAATGACTCTACTTCTCTGTAGTGACCAGCAGGGGGCGACTCCTCTGCTCCCATAGACGTCTATGATAAAATGACTCTACTTCTCTCTTGATTTATTCCCTCAGAAAACATTGTAAACAAGAGTTTATGGTCTCAGTCTGTAGTTTCAAGTCTTCTTCAACACAACGTGATGTTCATTTAGTAAATGAAGGTCCATTTAGAGTCAAACAGACCTTGCGGGAGAGAAAGGCACAAGAAGGCCGAGGGAAGTCAAGATAAAAACTCACCCATGAGGTAGTCTGTTGTTTCAGGGTCGACGGCGTTGAAGTCTGTTCTGTTCCACACGTAGTGGGCTACCTGTTAGAACACACACTGAGTGGGAGGAGCCACCCATAGCCAAGTCCATACATCGATATCGATACATCGGTATACGATCAAAGACGCGCTACCTTTCCGGTCTTCAGGCTCTGCCACTCATCGATGAGGTTGCGCCCGTCTCTTCTTTTGCCCCTGGAGGCGTAGTCCTTAGGGTACTCTGGGTCCTTTACACCCCAGGGGGTCATGTACTTTCTACCGCCGCCGATGATCACCTGCACACAAACACACACAACTAAACGTGATTGCGCCTCACAAGCCGGCGGCGTGACAACGACCCTTCTTACGTCTACGTCGGTGTTTTTGAGGAGCTGCGAGGAGATGTCGGTGCAGCCGTCCCGCTTGGCGGCGGCGGGCATGTCGGCGTCGCTGTACCACTTCCTGCTGGCGCTGTGGGCGTAGCTGGTGGCCGGGGTGGCGTGCTGCACCCTCGTGGTTGTCACAATGCCGACAGACTTGCCTACGAGATGGATTTCACGTTAAAGTCTGCTGTGTGATTGTGCGACGATGACAACGTGCAGGCCGAGGGTTCTGAAGTGGTGGATCCGTTAATCAAAGAGCCCTCCCCCCCTCTCCCTCTCCTCCCCCCCCCCCGGCCCGCAGACGCCGTTCATAACGATCCCGGTAAAGTATGGCGTCGTAAATATACTTTAACCGCCTCGGTGTCAACATTAATCCCCTTAAAGCCCCCCGGTGGCATCGCAGAGAGACACCTGAGGCAGAGAGAAATGAAGTCGCCGGCATTACCTCACTTTTTAAATCCACACACATGAAATGAAGTTACAGATCGAAGATGTGGCTTCACCTCCAATTAACGATGAGATTGTGTGATTTAAAGAGACCAGATGGGTACGACGTTTCTAAACTAAAGCACAAGTCCTTTGGTTTCACTCAAATGGAAGCCTCATGTATTTGAGTTTAATTTAGAAAAACTGAAAAATATTTGGTTTAAGTACTATTTTGAGAATGTGATCAAAAGACTCAAAGTATTTGTACTTGTAACTTTTACGAACGTTCACACGCCGGAGTGCTGTGGGGGGGTCACGGCCACAGCCAACCGTGTGTGCGTGTGATAGGAGATATTAATAGCCGTTGATAACGCAGAACACGATAACAGTCACGATGCTCCATCCAGCAGCCGCTCTGAGGTAGAACCGGGTTTGCTTAGACCCGAGAGGGTGTTCCGGGCTAAAGCGAGACAGGTCGGGGCCATGTGAAGGGAGGCGGGGCTAAAGCGAGACAGGTCGGGGTCATGTGAAGGGAGGCGGGGCTAAAGCGAGACAGGTCAGGGCCATGTGTCGGGAGGCGGGGCTAAAGCGAGACAGGTCAGGGCCATGTGGAGGGAGGGAGGCGGGGCTAAAGCGAGACAGGTCGGGGTCATGTGGAGGGAGGGAGGCGGGGCTAAAGCGAGACAGGTCAGGGCCATGTGGAGGGAGGCGGGGCTAAAGCGAGACAGGTCGGGGCCATGTGGAGGGAGGGAGGCGGGGCTAAAGCGAGACAGGTCAGGGCCATGTGTCGGGAGGCGGGGCTAAAGCGAGACAGGTCGGGGCCATGTGGAGGGAGGGAGGCGGGGCTAAAGCGAGACAGGTCAGGGCCATGTGTCGGGAGGCGGGGCTAAAGCGAGACAGGTCAGGGCCATGTGGAGGGAGGGAGGCGGGGCTAAAGCGAGACAGGTCGGGGTCATGTGGAGGGAGGGAGGCGGGGCTAAAGCGAGACAGGTCAGGGCCATGTGGAGGGAGGCGGGGCTAAAGCGAGACAGGTCGGGGCCATGTGGAGGGAGGGAGGCGGGGCTAAAGCGAGACAGGTCGGGGCCATGTGGAGGGAGGCGGGGCTAAAGCGAGACAGGTCGGGGCCATGTGGAGGGAGGGGGGGCTAAAGCGAGACAGGTCGGGGTCATGTGGAGGGAGGCGGGGCTAAAGCGAGACAGGTCGGGGCCATGTGGAGGGAGGCGGGGCTAAAGCGAGACAGGTCGGGGCCATGTGGAGGGAGGGAGGCGGGGCTAAAGCGAGACAGGTCGGGGTCATGTGGAGGGAGGCGGGGCTAAAGCGAGACAGGTCGGGGTCATGTGTCGGGAGGGGGGGCTAAAGCGAGACAGGTCGGGGTCATGTGTCGGGAGGGGGGGCTAAAGCGAGACAGGTCGGGGCCATGTGGAGGGAGGCGGGGCTAAAGCGAGACAGGTCGGGGCCATGTGGAGGGAGGGAGGGGGGGCTAAAGCGAGACAGGTCGGGGCCATGTGGAGGGAGGGAGGGGGGGCTAAAGCGAGACAGGTCGGGGCCATGTGGAGGGAGGCGGGGCTAAAGCGAGACAGGTCGGGGCCATGTGGAGGGAGGGGGGGCTAAAGCGAGACAGGTCGGGGCCATGTGGAGGGAGGCGGGGCTAAAGCGAGACAGGTCGGGGCCATGTGGAGGGAGGCGGGGCTAAAGCGAGACAGGTCGGGTCCATGTGGAGGGAGGCGGGGCTAAAGCGAGACAGGTCGGGGTCATGTGTCAGGAGGCGGGGCTTAAATGTGACTTGGTTTTCTCTGTTGAGACTCATCCTTATGTTGTAACAGTAAACTAAGGATGATGCTGCTGTTCAGCACCATTTAAAGAAAACATTCAGTAGCTGGTCTGTAACAACTATTATGCGAGTATTTCTGTGCAGATTAGTGTCTATTTTTTTAATTATAGCTTGTCCAGTGAAACATCCATGACAACATAGTCTTATAATATATTTCTACAGATTTAACATGAAAAAATAGGTACTTGTATGTATATGTATTATAAACAAACATCAATGTATTGATTTTATTAATTATTATTAATGTCACATGTTCCTTTATAAATAGAAGATTCTTAGACGGCTTCTTCTGCTGCAACCTCGTAAGCAACTTATGCTGAAGATGCAAGTTAAATCCCCAGAAGGAATAGAGAGCGTGGACCTTGCGCTAGTGTGTGTGTGTGTGTGTGTGTGTGTGTGTGTGTGTGTGTGTGCGCGCGCGCCAAATCACACGGGGCACTAAAGCATAATGAAGCTTGTGGTTCCTGATGTTTCAGCTCGTATTGATCTCGTAGTGTCCTGGTTTCATTTGACTCGCTCTGCTGTGACCTCGATCGACTGTCCCAAACAGTCGCAGCAGAGCATCACCATCACCATCGCCATGGTGATCATGGTCTTCATCATGGGCATCGCGCCGTCTGTGCTCTCTCACCGGCGTCTTTGGCCCACTTGAGGATGGACGTGACCTCGTTGCCCTTCTGCGTCTTGCAGACTCCGTTGCGAGCCGCCGCGCTGACGCCGATTGTGTTCAGGTTGGTTTTCACTCCGCACAGGTACGCCGTGGCCGTGGCCGCACTGTCTGCGATCTGGAAGTCCACGCTGTAGGTCTACACACGCAAAATGATACAAAGGAGAACGATGTAATATATTAACAAATAGTCCTCACAGGATTGTAATTTATCGGGGAAAATGAGCCAAAACTAAAAAATGATTCATTTTTTAAATAGTGCTTTCATTCGCTAAATTACCATTTCACTCATGCTTTGCAAAAATAAATGTTTCATTTGTCTTTTTTTATATCTCTGTTGATTTGACAAATTTAAAATAAAATAATATAAATTATTTGTTACGTATAACAGATTTTATGTGGTTCCAGAACAGAAAAATCTGCTCCTGCTTGACTTTGATCAGGAAGGTATTGGACTCGGTGGGGCAGGAACCTTCATGCTGACACTGTTCACACACACACACACACACACACACACACACACACACACACACACACGTTCTGCATAGTGCAAAGGCTCATCCAAGATCTCACGTGGACTCACACGTCCGCCGTGCACGAGGATCATTCCTGAGCTGAACCTCTCGCTCAACTCTTAGAAACACGCCACGTATGACCTGACAGCTCTCACGTGAACACATTCAGCACACGACTGTTGGATTACACGTGTGCAGGTACCTGCAGGTGTGTGTGTGTGTGTGTGTGTGTGTGTGTGTACCTTAGCCAGTCCCACATTGGGGAAGGTGTCCATGGTCATCACCGTCTCCTCCCCCGTCTTGTTCTCCAGTTGTCCCTTGAGGATACGGGCCGCCGTGATGGTTGTGATTCCCATACCTGACGCACAAACACAAAACGCACGTTGATCCCATAGATTCCTGATGAATAAATATTCTGGCGTGAGGACGTTGCGCCACTTGCCGTCTCCCAGGAAGAACAGGATGTTCTTGGCCACGTTGGTGTTGAGCTTCCTGTCCAGCGCCGACTGCAGCGTCCTCTGGGCCCGTGACCTCCAGAACTCCGGGTTCTCCTCCTCCACTACGACATCACACGGGCCGTCTCCTTATCACGCGTGCACCCCGCGGAGATCAACCACAGAACACCCCCTGATGTCTGCTCAGGCCCTTTGGGTTCCACACGTGCGTCCGCGCCCCCCCCCCCCCCCAGGCAGGAGTCCACTAACGAGCAGTAAATGCTGACAGCAGCCGGATGCACAAGTCCGCGAGGCGCCGAGTCGGCCGATTGGAAGAAGTTTCGGAAGCCGTTTGCTAAACGAGCAAACGATGAAAGGTGCGAGCGGAGCAGTGAGACGAGGGAAAGGAGACGCTGAGCTCCGGACGGGTGGTGATTAAGATTTTTTTTTAAAAGTAGGAAAGAAAGTGTGACTCCGGGGTAAAGAGGCGAGGATCAATCGGTCTTAACTCTCGGTCCTCTGTGATCTGGAGGAAGACGACGGGTAGTTTGTGTGCAAGCAGAACGAAGGACGGCGAGATCAGAAGAGAAACGGGCTCTTCATGTTCCTTCCCTGCTGGAAATCTACTGCTGAAACACTAATTATCGAGGTTGCGGTTGAAGAGGAAGTGGGATTTTAAGTGCTCAGAGGAACATTCATCTTCTCATCTAAAGTCCTGTAAACGCGGCGAAAGCACGAGTCCACAGCGGCGCTACACGGACGGATCCATTAGAGGCGTATGGATTATTTGACGCTTCACGGGCCCACCGATGCGTCAAAATGACCTCGTACGACCTCAGCCGGCCAGATGGAACCTCTGTGCAGGTTTGCCGTCGTGCGACCAGCGGAACCGCCGTTCAGTTTGTAAGTTAACGAGACAGAAAAACCCAGAGGTCACGAGAACCAATCACACGTTTAAAGTGAGGAGGTACAAATGATTTGGAAAAGGGGGGACGGGGGGCGGGACGGGGCTTCTTCGTCGTCGTCTTCTTACCTTTGGCCCCGGAGGATCCGAACGCCACCAGCAGGACGAGAGCCGGGACGAGCGCTCCGTTCAACGCCATGGTCCACGGCAGAGAAGAGCTCTGAGAGGAGCTTCGCCTCCGCCGCGGAGATAAGGCTGTCCTGGAATCACAGCAGCTGCCAATCACCTTTATCAACGCGCCATAAATGCATTATGACCCTCGGGCCACGGCGGCCCCCGACTGAAAGGACCGCCCGGCTGTCGGGTCGAAGCCAAAACCTGGTAAAAAAAAAAACAACACAGAATATAAACTCTCCATTTATGAATTTAAGCCCAAACGGAGCGCAGAGCTTCTGTGTTTATGAACAATACAAACGGCTTCAAACTGGAAACCATTAATAATTAACAAGCGCTTAATCGCAGCGCTTAATGGCGGCTTTATCTACGACACCGTGCTAAAGATCAGAGGGACGGTCGGGCACGTGGTGCGTGTGTGATGCTTTATCATACCTGTGGGGGGGGGGGGTTGTGTAAGTGAGTACAGCTGGATGTGTTTGCGTGGCGATGGAGCTGAAGGTGTCACGAGGCCACCGCTGCCTCAGCTGATTAGAGCCCTTAATGTTCCCAACGAGGTCACTAATTGACGGCGAGGGGTCATTTGTTACGGGTTCAACACTTTGTAGCAGCTGGGGAACGATGACTATCTATTTATGATCACGATCAATGGAAGCTGAAAGGGAAAATATTTACATGTAGAGCTGCTGCTGAGGACCAACGCAGAGAACAATGTTAATAATAAATAAGAAAATTAGATCAATGAGGCTCAGAAAATATTTCCAGAATGCATGTTTGAGTTTTAGAAGACTTATTTCCACCGTCACAAAAATGGAAAATCAGGGATTTGAAGACTTTTTATAAAACATTTTTACAGCTGATGTAAGCTTGTTTATTCATTTAAATCTAACAAAAAAGACCTGTAAACTAATTGATTTAGTGTGAAACTGTATCAAATAACGTCAGGTCGAGGAAAGAATGACGACACGTCGTCTTTTTGAATGAAGTCACGCTGAAGGAGAAGCACCAGTAGTGTTCAAACCTCGGGGCAGAAAACACCCGTTTTCTAAAAGCGGTTTCACAGAACTGTCCGTTGCAGAATGAGGGCAATAGACGCAGGTCCGTATGTGCACGGTGCCACGGCCCCCTCTAGTGCTTTCAGCACGCAACAGACGGATTCTCCACATTTCGAGAGGACTTTCTACAAATCATTTCTAACTGCAGTTTTTTTTTTAAATAATTTATATTTTGTGAGCAGAGTCGCATATTTAGGTTTCAAATGGAAAACAACACGTGCTACAGCATATAAAGATCTCCTCTGTCTGCAGCATGTAGTAAGGGAGGACACCCAGGGGTACATTACCTGACTCAATTGCCCCCCCCGACACAGTAAATCCTGCAAACACACACTGGAGTGTATTTAAGGATGTCAGGCAGACGGCTCAACAAGCCACAAAGCAGATGTGCAATGCAGAGTAGACAGAAATCCGTTCCTCTGTCGGCGTGTGATGTGGGGACGCGGCAGACGTTTTGCTAATGGGCAGCCGGGCAGCCGGCTCACCTGAGGCCGACAGGAGGAGAGACGTTCATCTCTAAAACAAGTCAAGCTTCAGGGACCTGGAATAATCACAGCAAATTCCAATGAAACCCGTTCAACATTTGACTAAACAGTCCTGGATCAGGATCCCTGGGGGGGTCAAGAGATCTGTTGATGGACCCTTGAGACCCACTGAAAGTCTCATCGGCCTCTAACCAGAAGACACAACGTGGAAGGACCGTGAACATTTGAGGCAAATCTGTTGTTTTTTTTACCAAATTCTCCACCAAGCTCAAGTCCCGATGCGATGGGAGACACCAAAAAACAAAAGCAGTGGTTTGAAGGCCTGAAGGTTTCGTTCATGAGCGGAAACAAACATTCAGTAGATCCTCTTTGCGTCGCAGCGCCGAGTCTGCAAGTGGACATCAGCTTCTCCGAGGAACCGTCTATTCTCCATGTCAAAGAACCAGTGAATCCAGTGGTTTCACCGGTCTTTGTTTACTTCATAAGGGATCAAATCAGAGCACCTTCTAACCAACGCGGCGCCTCGTGGCCGCACAAATGTTCAAGCGCTTGCGTGAATATCATCAAATCAGAATATGGGGGAAAAACCGCAGTGCTCCAAAACTTGGACGACTGCACCTGAACGATAAAACACACCTGAACTGGGAGGCGCGATAAAAGCTTTGCAGAAACGCTTTCCCCATTTACTGCCACTGAAACTCATCCAACAGAGTCTCGTTTCCCGGAGTTCCCCGAGAAGTCCGGCGCGAGTCGTCATGGAAACCAGGCGGATGACGCCACAGAGGGGAAGAGAAGCAGCTCAAGCAAAGTCCTTCTGCGGGAGAAGACCGGCAGGTGTCTGGATGGAGGCTCTGGAACCAGCGACGAGAAGGACGTTAAAAGGAATTTAGAATCAGCGGCTTCGTCAGCAGACGCAGCTGAGAGGACGACAATCGGCTTTTTGTTGTACGACGACACACAAATATCCTCCAATGGCCTTGAAAAACAAAACTAACCAGCTGTGATTGTACTGCTGACAGTACAAGTACCACAGTCGGACAGTACAACAGTACAAGTACCACAGTACAACAGAAGGGATCCGTTGACTCCTTAACGCTCTTAAAAAAATCACAAGTACGGGAGGTTTTGTTTTTTTTCTTTTATTGGCAATGATCTTTATTATCTCTTCCAGTTGTGGATGTGAAAAGAGGCATTCGTTTTTTGTTTTTTTTACTTTAATTAAATATCTTTTAATAAAGTAAAGCAAAAAAGTATTTACAATTTTTCAATTAAACTGTGATCAATGACTTGGGTTTGGATAATTACAAGCACCGTCTGCCGGCTGAGGAGAGAAATATAAATACAGGGACAAGAGGAGGAAAGGACCTTAATGTTAGCATCGTTCAGTGAAAAAGAAAAATAACATCTGTATTTACAGAACTCTCCTGAAATACGATTCCGCACCTGGAAGCAGAAAAGGCCGCAGGATTCGTCCCGTTTAACTTTTAAGTGGATTTGTTTCAGTATTTTTTTTAAATCTTTTTTTTTTTAAAAAATCCAACTCCAGGCTTTTGTGGGAGGCTGCAGCCCCCCTCCCCTCCTCCCTCCCTCCCCCTTTCTCAGTCAGTTTGTGTTTTACCAAGCGCAGCAGCAACGCACACACACACAGGACACTGTGCATCGGGGTCGAGGGGTCGCCGGAGGGGGGAAGTGGGGGGGGGGGGGGGGGATTGGCGTTGTCACCCCCCCCCCCTCAAGCAGCAAAACGGTCAAAGTCAATTGCTCCTCGGTAACGGCGTCCTCATAAAGTCTGCGCGAGTCCTCGAGCGTCTGAAATGTCCGCGGGACGCGTCTCCACTCTTTCTTGGTATTTTTGCGGTTTATTATAAAACGTTTACTCCCAACATTCAAACACAAAAAAAAAAAAAAAAAAAAGGGAAACGCCAGCCGTGTGCGCGGCGCCTCGCGTAGATCCGCACGGCCAAGTCATCAAAAATATAAACGTGAACAGACGTTTCTTCTATAATCTGTCAATAAGCAAAGTGTCTTGAATAGTGTTGCCGCGGCGATGGGGGTAAACTAACGTGTAGGAACACTGAAGGACACAGCGTCACCCGCCGTGGCTCATAACTGTCACTCGTCTACTCGCTCTACTTAATCCTGTGTTTCCTTTTATTTCAAAAAAAGACATTCGGTTGCACGTGAAAAAGAAAAAGAACACGATCGAACGTTCGATCCAGAAAACAATCTCTCCCGGACGAACATCTTTTTCCGTTGATGCAGAAGTTGTTATTTTTTTTTTATTGTCAATTCAGGGTCTGAATCCGTCCGCTGTCTCCACGGATCCCCTCTAAACCCGACCCTCCCCCCTTTAGCTGTTGTCGTCCTCGTCCTCGTCCTCGGCGTTGCGGAGCCAGGTGAAGAAGGCGGTGACGGACTTCAGGGCGACGCCCTTCCCCTGCTGCTCGGCGGGGTCTTTGCTCGCCTCCCACTGGTAGAAGGCCTCCTCCTTGATCACGTCCTCGTCGTACAGCGTGTCGAAGAACATCCGCAGCAGATCTGTGGGGGAGGAGGGGGGGGTGGTCCTTTAAAAACGCGACTGTCAAGCATTCACTCGGCAAAGGGAATCAGGAGGTGAGCTCACTGGCAGGTTGCTCCATCTGCACCATCAGCGCCTGCAGGGCGTAGAGGGCCTGCAGCTCCTTCTGCTCGTCCAGCAGGTACCTCTGCAGCACCTTGGCCCGACGTTTCATCTGCTCGCCGTCCACCTTGTTGGGGTTCTCACCTGCGGGGCGGGAAAGAGCCGAGCGTTACGCCTCATTGACTTGTGAACAGCGCATCTCAAGGGGGGCGCGGGCGTGCGCGGCGACTCACAGACGACCGCCGCCTGGCAGACGCAGGTCATCACGGCTCTGACGAACATGTTGGAGGAGGTCTGCTGCTCGTCCAGGTTGGCCTGCGGAGGACAGATTCACCCGTTGAGCATCCAAACTGGGACCCCACCACAAATCACAAAATTCACTGGGGTTTTTTTTTTTAGCGAGGTGCTGATGAGCACACAGACGGGGGCGGTGCCTTTCGGTGGGAATCTCTCATTTTGAGGTTATGGAAATCCTTTAATTCCCCTGCAACGGTTCTAATAAAACAAGCTTTTTGTTCCCACCAAGAAGGGGAATTTCCACCAGATCTGGGACGGGGGCCGGAACTCATTAACAGACGGACGAACTACCCGGAGAGTCCGCTGAAGAACACAACTTCATCACCGAAGGTTGAAATACGAACGGGGAACGCAGAGGAAAGGTGCGGCGCTCTAAGCGCGCCAACGCAAACACGCGTCTCCTTTACAGTCGGTTAGAAACAGGCAGAGATTGTGAATGTAACCCAAACAAAGATGGAGGAAGGAGATCAGCATCCACTAGCTACAGACCTCGATCCAGTCAAAGATCCTCTGGTTGTCGGCCTGGTCCTGGATCAGTCTCTCCAGGTGTCTGCTCAGCTCGGCCGGGCTCAGCTCCTCCTTCTTCTTCGTCTGGCTCTCCTCCTCTTCCTCCTGCTCCTCCTTAGACTCTGAGCACAGCGTGAACTCCACGTTCTGGAGACGTGGAGATGAAACAATAAATGAAAGAGTCCCAGTGATGATGGTCTCGTTCACGGATTGGGGGGGGGGGGTCCGGTGGACGTGGCAGCGCGCTCGCTCGGCTCTCACCTGTTCCGTCACAAACTTGTCGACGTCCAGGTCCTCGGGGAGGAAGTCTTTCCACCGGAGGCCGGCCTCCCTCCACATCGTGCCCGCCTTCTTATGGCTCTGAGGGAGGGAGAAGCAGATTGGTTGGAGGCGTATGGGACACAGTAGCTGATCAAACTCTTCCAAATTTACATCTGCTCAGAGGGGAGGGGTTGCATGAAATATTAGCAACTGGAAATTAATGAAAAAAAATGTATCTGTGACAGATGCATGGATAAAGTATTAGAATTGATCGGTTCTCACCATTCCTTTGCAGAGTAAAGAGAGGATTTGGACCAGCAGAACTCCCGCTTGACCCTGAGGGATCAAAGGCTTTGAAACCTCCCTGCAGGCGAAAACGAAAAGGCCGACCGCATCAGGTCAGACAACAGCCAGAAGGTTATCTCCACTCGCTGACCCCCCCTCCCTCCGGCCGCAGGGCCCGGGACTGACCTGAAAAGCTCTCCCATGGGGATGCCTCCTTCGTGCAGCATGGGAGTGATCTGTTCTGCCAGGTACAGCCAGATGTGCGGGATGTCTATTGCCATGTCTTCAGCCACCTGCAGGATTTCCTGAAGCCTGAGGAAATTTAAAGGATGGAAGAAGATCAGAAAGCAGCTGGGGAACAGCGAGCAATATGGCACCGCAGCAACACAAATATCCTGTTCCTTCAGGCAAAGCATCGTGGTGAAAAACGTCCCCATTTCAGATCGACGGCAAGAAAAATAAAAAATGAAGCATTTCCCACTGAGCTTCTGCTCATTCGAGATCCTTCTGCCACAAAGCGCGTTTCTCTGCTGTAACGCGTCACAAGAGTTCGGTACGGCAGCACTGGTTCCATATCCGATAACGTAACCGCACGGACGGGATTGAACTCGCAACCAATTAATGGAAGGGATGTATTTAAACCTAAGGAAGAACGAAGGGGCGACCCGTCAATCACTGTAGCCCCGCCCTAAAGCACGCCGTTTTATATCGGACGCCACATAGACAAATAGAGCAGCTCAAGACGCTCCCAGAAGGCGGCGTTATGGGCGGAGTCCAAACCGACCCGTGGTAGTACTGCTCGGTCGGGAGGACGCCGGCCTTGATGAGCTGCTGCAGCAGCAGCCCCATGTGCTCCCTGGCGATGGTGCTGCGCTCCAGCGTCGACTCCAGCCCGTTTCGCACGAACACAGAGAGCAGCTGGGTGCTGTTCATCTCCTGCACACACTGCAGAGCCTCCTGCAGGGGGGAGGGAGGGGGAGGGAGGGGGACACAGGTAGTGTGAAGGATGGAATCTGTAACGTACACCTACGAGTGGGAAACGAAACGGTACCTTCATGTCGTTGATGTGGAGGTACTCCTCGATGATGGCCGTGGACTTCTTGCTCAGCTCCTCCTCAGTCAGGGCGGGCTTGGCGGGGGTCTGGGGCGGCGGGGGGGTGGCAGCTCTCTCCTGCTTCACTGTTCACGCACACGGGGCAATGAACACACAGATTAGGGGGGAGTTCTTCCCGTCGAAGGGGGCTTTTCCCGTCGCTCCGTGAAGGTACCGGTCTCTTTGCTCCGGGCTCGGTCGCGGCTGCCGCGGTCGTCCGTCATGCTGGCGACCCGGCGGACGGGGTCGGCCGACCCGCGCTGCTCGCGCTCCCGGCTCCGCTCCGAGTTCTCCCGGCTGAAGCTGCGCTTGGTGACCTGCAGTCGGTTGCGGTCGCGGTCGTCCCGCCTTTCGAAGCGGTCGCCGCGCTCTCGACTCGAGCTGTTCCTGCAGCGGGACGGAGGGACGGAGGGAGTGTTGGTATCACCCGTTTTGACTAATTGGATCCGCGGTCGCACTGATTACGTCCCCGCTGCTCACCTCTGAGGAACTCGCCTGTCGGCGTCCTGGGCGGAGCCCGAGGGGGGCGCCGACTGCTGTAAGGCGGAGAAGCGGTTGACGGTGCTGGTGGCGGGACGGCCTCCGGCCTCCGAGCCTGAGGACGGAAAAAGGCAGGCGGTCAGTTTTAGGCTTCTCGTTGCCCGACTTGCCGCCACGCCCGGAACGGCCGACCTACCGGCTTCTGCGGGTTTGGCACTGCTGCCGCCGCTGCTGCCCTTCCCCCAGCTGCCCCACGTGCCTTTACCACCTGGAGCGAGCAACTGATTGTTGAAGTCGAGAACGGGAGTCTAGAAAGAAGAGGAACGGATTACGCACACAAACACGGGGCCACAATGTCGACAGAAGTCTCTGGTACGAAAATCCTCGCCGACCTTTGTGATCTTGCTGAGGCGAGAGGTGTCGATGGGTCGGTTCTTGGAGATGGGCACCGTATTCCAGCCTTCGTCCTGGGGGGGATTGTTGCGGCCCCCCCCGCGTCCCCCTCCACCCATCCTGCCGCCGCCGCCGCCACCACCGCCGCCGCCCGGCTCCTTTTTGAAGATGAGGGCTTGCTGCACCTTCATCTGCTCCCGGTGCTCCTCCAGCTCGGCGTCTTTGTGGATCTGGTCGATGGTCTTGGGGCCCTGGTCGCCTCGTCGGGACACCCAGGCGTTCTGGGGAGGGAGGCGTTGTGAGTACCGGGCAGAGGGAGGGGAGGGGGGGGGGGGGGTGTTGTGTGTGCCCCCCTTTGTTACCTTTCGAAGGGCGAGCACATCTTGCAGCATGAAGCGGATCCTGGACGAGGTCTTCTTCTCCTTTATGATCCTTTCCATCTGATGGAAGTACTGGTCCATGCGGGGCTGAGGACAACCACAGCTTGGTGAGTCCATCTGCTGCCACACACTGACCATATGTGTGTGTGTGTCGGTTTCTTACCTTGGCCTTCTCAAAGTCGAGGTCCTTGCCGATGGTGGACAGCAGCCTACACAGGCACTCCAGGGACTCTGCGTCGTGGTTCTTGAGCAGCTTCACGATGCAGTCGTGCATGATGACCTCGGTGAGCATCTTGAGCTTGAAGAGCTCTCCGATGAACTTGATGTTGCCCAGCGAGCGCCTCCTGGCCTGGTCTTTGGCGCTTTGCAGCTCGTCGGTGAGCTTCTGCTTCTCCTCCGGCTGCCAGAGGAAAACAAAAGGTCGGGTTGGCGCCCTGCTACCTGCTTTGTCTGGTCACCTGTGAATACACACTGCAGCTACTTTACCACTGAAGCGGCTTCCAGCTCTTTCTGCATCCTCTCGAAGATCTCGTCGTCGTCTTTGTCCTTTTCAAACTCCTTCTGGCATCTATTCAGCAGCAGCTTGCGAAAATTCACAAAGGTTCCCGGCTTGTCCGAGGTTTCGACTTTAAGCTGAAAGACAACGTGAGTAACAAAAAAAGGTCACGGAAAGAAAAAGACGGGGAGGAGTGAGAGGTCACTGCTCAGTTCAACAGTCACCCGTTTCAACTTAAAGCCAAAGTTTGGAGTCAACTTATTTTTCCCCGCAGTAAATTAAGTTGGTTAAAGCATGCACTATATTTAGACGTGTTATTTCCATTTATGCTGCAATGACCGGTTAGCAAACTGACTGATCAATACAGCGCTGGAACCTCCGCGTCCAGGAGGTCAAATGCGTGTTTTTGTCAATGGAGACTGGTGGCGAATATTTAAATAATGAATATATTCTTATACAATATGGTTATAGGTCTGAAAACCTCATCCACAGCAGGACATTGCTCGTGCGCTTCTTCTTCAAACATGGAAATATGCACCTCATACAACACCACTTCAAAAAAACAGCCACAAACCCACAAACTATTTGTTAAAAGGCATCAGTGTGCAGAACAGACCTGTTAAAAAGAGCCCTTAGTGCACAACAACAGAGGCTCTGCAGTCTGAACCAACAAGCAAACCTTACTCCTCCTTTCCACATCGTGACATAAGGCAGGGCCTCCCTTTCACAATAAAAGCCCTAGACATATCGAACGCATGAATATTTACGCATGAAAGTCAGAGCACTTGCATGAAAACTAATCAACCCTTTCACTGCAAGAGGTCAACCCTTTTCATTATGAAAAGCTTTGATTTTAGGGTCATTTACTAGTTGACATGAGTATGAAAGGGCCTTTTGTTTACTAATGGTGTCTAGGGGAACTTTTTCCCGGCAGGACAAAAAAAGTGTTTCTAGCTTTCAAAAAGTCGCACAGGTGCAAATCACGTAAAATCAAGTCTGATGTTTTAAAACAGCGCCGTGCATAAATGGAATGAAGGCAGTTGGTGTGCACAACGGCGGGATTAAAACACTCATGAACGCGCTCCACCACTCACCCCCATGAGGCAGCGGCACATGTTGGCGTAGGCCACCGAGAAGTCGGGCTCGGAGATGGCCTTCTCGAAGGTCAGATCTATGACTCCTTTCAACCTCTCCTCGGTGTCGATGGTCAGCTCCGACACCTGCTTCATCAGCTGCTGAAACTTCTGCGGCGTCAGCTTGTTGAGGATGCTGCGGACCCGCTTGAAGAGCTCCTGCGTCTTGGCGTCCTCCGACTCGCTCTCCTCGGGCTCCTCGGCCGCGCGGGAGCGGGTGGGCTTCTTCGCCGTGGGCTTCCAGGCCTTCTCCGCCTTGTTGAGCTGCACGTCGTCGCCCAGCGACATGGTGGTGAGGATCTTCCTCGGCTCCTTGCGCTGCATCTGCTGAGAGCGACGCGGGCCGCCGGCGCCCATGCCCAAACCAGGCGGCTGCAGACAGAAGGAGGGGAGGGCGGTGTGAGCTTTTAAAGCGCAGAGCTCTCAGATGACACACAGACGATGTTTGACTTACCGGTCCTCGGCTTCCTCCGCCTCCGCCGCCGCCTCCGCCTCCCATTCCAGGCCTGCCGAGGTTGGCGAAGGAGGGCGTGAAGTCGGGGCCGCAATTCATTCCCATCAGGCGACTGGGGTCCAGTTGACGCAGCGGGTTCTTATTAGCCTGAAAAGACACAAGTGAACGACCAGTTCACCTCTTATGTTGTCACAGGGACAGTATTTACAACTCACTGAAACCAAAAATCGAATGGAATGTCTTCATCGCGAGATGGGGCACCTTGTCCAGGACGACGTCGCTGATGGCCGGGAGGCCCTCGGGCTTGCTCATGCTGGCTGAGCTGAACTGGAAGCCCAGGAGGAACTCTCGGTCGTAGTGCTTCTTCTGCTCCGGGTCGATTGGCTTCCATTGTTCTGCAAGAGAGAGAAACCAAAAACAGGAGCAGTTAAGAGAGACATTTTCCCTCAGAGCAAAGTGGTGCTCACGACACAGCAGAGCTGTACTTAATAATAAATAGAGAGATAAAGGATTCCAGGTCATTGGAACTATCGTCGCGGTGGTAAATGCATGTACGGTTCTGCACGTGCCAACTGTTTTGTTGCAGATAAAATCCATCTTTGGTAGAGTGACGTTTTGTTGGTGAATAACGTGAAAAGTTCTCATATGCTTTTATTTCCTACGTTTTGTAGTTACACGTCGGGCCTTGCAACACAACAATGATTCCTTTTGTTCAAATAGCCTTCGCTGCTACATCACTATTGTTTACCACTGATCTCAACTCCTCCTTTTCCAACAACGCAAACGTAAAACGTGGTCGGCCGACGTCTCGCCAGCGAGATAAGATGGATCAAAGTCCAAGGACACACCCTCTTTGTACTGGTACTTCTTGTCGGCGTCCGGCTGAATGTTCTCCGCATCCGCCTTGCCCTCCTTGTCCTCCTTGTCCTCCCAGGTCAGGTCAGCCTCCTCGGGGGCGGGAGGCCGGGTCTCTGTTGCCGGGGGGGCGGCGGCGGCGGCTGGCTCGGGCGCCGGTGGAGCAACCACTTGTTCCTGGTTCAAGGGTGGAGAGGTTGGAAGTCAGAAACCAGATATGTAAATTAAAACTATCCCCAGGAGGAGGGGACTATGATGTCTGGTCCACCCACCTCTTTAAAGGCATCCAGGAGGTCTCCCACCGCCTCCTTTTTGTTCAGATCCTTCATCTTCCTTTTTTTCTTTGGCACAGAGACGGCGGCTGAAGCAAGAAAAACACAAACGTTCGGCCAAAGAAGCTTTTCCATCACTGACGGCGGAGAACAGCGAGCACGGGGCGACCAAACTGACCTTGCATAGCAGCTTCTACCAGGACAGGTGGGACGGCCTGGGGGGGAGGGGTGTCCTCCCTCTCCTCTTCTGTGGGAGAGGGAGGGCTGGGCGCCCTCTCCGGGGCGCAGTCGACTGCGGGAACCGTCTCCTCGGCAAGCGTCTCCTCGGGAAGCGTCTCCTCGGGAAGCGTCTCCTCGGGAAGCGTCTCCTCGGGAAGCGTCTCCTCGGGAAGCGTCTCCTCGGGAAGCGTCTCCTCGGGAACAGTGTCCTCGGGAACCGTCTCCGCGGGAACCGTCTCCGCGGGAACCGTCTCCTCGGGAACCGTCTCCTCGGGAGACTGCATCTCTTCCGTGGCCGCCGCCAGGGCAGCGGGCACTGGGGTTTCTTCTGTGATGTCCGGGGCGACCTCGTCTTGGACTTCAGGCCGGGGGGGCTCTGCCGGGACGACCGGATGGGCGGGAACCTCCTGGACAACGGCGGGTTCGGGGCGACTCGGGGGAGCGGGTTGGCCGATCCCAGCTGTCTCCTAGCCGAGTCCCGACTAGGCGATGAGGCTGTAGTCTCGTTCATCCAGGCCGGCGGCGGGCACCTCGGGGTCTCGGGGGGCCGGCAGCGGCAGTCCGTTGGGGAGGCGGAGCTCCTCCGGCTGAGCGATTGGAGACTCCGGGGGGGACTCGAGGTGACAGGAGGGTGGCGGCGATGCCGCCGCCGGCCTTTCGTGCTCCACCTCGGCGACACCGTTAGCAGCGCAGGGGGGCGCGACGGGAGGGGCAGCGGCCTTTTCTTCCTTTTTAACCTCCTTCAACTCCTCTGTGGTTTTCTTGTCCGCTTTGCTTTGCGCGGCAGCGGGGATGGTTGCGGGGAGGGGTGCGGGGTAAGCGGGCACCTCAGGCGCCGACTGGGGGTGCGGGGGGGCTTCCCTGGGAGCCCGGGGAGCGTCCATCACGTCCGGAACAGGAGCCCGAGCGGGAGCAGTGTGGACAGGGACCTCCTGCGGTTCTGATAGTAGAGGGGGGGCAGGGGGCTTAGTGTTTGTGTCGGAGGCGGAGGCCTCCGTGGGGACGGGGTCTCCCTTAACCAGTTCAGGGGTCTTCGACGGAGGGGGCGTAGGTTTCCCTCTTTCATCTGGACGGTCAGAAAAATATGCCGTTAAACGTCTGAAGGCCATTTTGTTTATTACAATGTTCAGTTTTCTGATGTATTTACAGTGTAGAATATATATACAGTGTAGAATATATATAGAATATACTCCACGTATTGCTGAGCTTTAAACCAATAGAAATGTATAGCTGCTAAATTCCGACGCTCCTCCGTAAGAACGTGTAAAATAAAGTCAGTGTCCTTTCGGTGAACGTGACTCCATATTACTTTTATTAAGTCAAGTCGGCTCGTAAATAATAAAATAGATAAAGGGTATAAAGATGTCTCTCTTGAGCGCTTTGTGGAGAACAATTTTAAATGTCAATCCACAATCGCCCAAACCTGAATATAATCCACGCATTAACTGTGAGAAGGCACTCGTGTGTTTGTGTGTCTGCACATGTGGCACCCACCCGGTCTGACCAGCGCCGGCGAGGCAGCAGCTGGGACGCTCTCACCGTTGAACTGAACCACCGCCGCACTTTCTGATCCCGAAATGGCCGACTGTTATGGACACGCACAAGACACACACACACACACACACACACACACACACACACACACACACACACACACACACACACACACACACACACACACACACACACACACACACACACACACACACACACACACACACACACACGTCATTTCCCTCGTCCTTCCAGTGAAGGAAAGCTTCACGGCTTTATGGCCCAAAACGAGGGAGCCGGCGGAGCAAACCCTCGGGTGCGTTTGATTTCCACAGCTCGTAGTGAAGCACATTCCACAATTTACAAACGTCTAAAAACAACCTCGATTGGCACGGCGGCTCACCTGTGGTGGCGTGGGGGTGGAGCCGCTGCGGCCCCCTGACATAATCTCCTCTGTGATGTCTCGACCTCCTTGGTTCGGGTCCCTTATTCTGATCTATGCAGGAGAGAACGCAAACGGTTACAGAAGAAAAGGATCCGTGCGTGATAATGCGAGAGGGGAAAAAAAGCTGAGTCGAAAATGATTTTTTTTGGGGGGGGGGGGGGAGAGACAGCCGCCCCGACTCGTGATGTAACGGCATACGACTCCCGCTGGCCGCCTCTGACTCCGTGAAAAGCTGCACGCCACAAACACCGGACACCAAAAAGCAACAGGCGAGAAAAATAAGGGCCGAAGAGAAGAAAGTAATTCTGCTTGAAGTCGACTCGCCGACTCACAAGGAGTGCCCATTCATTACAAACACATGCTTTTCTACCCAGCCCCCCCCCCGCCCCCCCTCCTCCATTCACACTCGACATACTTACCGCCGGTAGTCAGAGCTGTCATGCGACTGGCGTGAATCACAGCGCCGCTTAAAGCGACGCGAGGATCCGACTGCAGAAACTGAGCCGCCTGCCGTCTCAGAGGCCTAAACTTTGGACTCCTTTTTAAGAACAATGTTTGCCAGTCACCACTGACCTTTTACCCCCCCCCCTCTCTCTCGCTCTCTGGTTCAGCCCCCGACGCGGAGCCTCACAAACCCATGCAGGCCTCCCTCATCCTGGGGCCCGAGTAGGACTTTAAAAGAGGTTTTGCACCCATCCAGCGCCGTGCGGTTCCAGCTACAGGCCTGCAGAACAGGGCCCGACTGTCAGCGAGCGAGCGAGCAACTTGAATAACTCTCTCTCTCTCTCTCTGTGTGGTTGATACGCTGAGCAGAGCAGGGAGGGGGGAGGAGAAAAAAAAAGAGAGGATAAAGCAACTGGCCTTGTAAAGCTGTGGGTATGGGATGTGCAACCCCTCCCCCAGAGAACAACAAGACAGTTAAAGGGCCGGAGTGTGAAGGAAGGGCATGGTGGGGGTGGGTGGGGGGACAGGGGGGCTTCCAGGAGAGGGAAAAAAAAAAAAAAAGTTGCCGTTATCAAATGAGCTGCAGTTATTAGGAGAAGCTCCCCATTGGTCTCCGTCATCAGGCACAGTCACTCTTTCTTTTTTTCCCCCAGGCTTCGCCCCTTGGGAGGGCAGAGGAAACCAGTCTGGGAGGAGGAAGAGGAGGAGGAGGAGGAGGAGGAAGAAGAAGAAGGGCGGGGTCCCACAGCGGAAGGCTTGTGGGTTAGCCCTTCCGGTTCCGATGAGGAGGGAGTGGGGGGGGGGGGGGGGAGGCCAGTGGCCACGTGGAGCTGAGCTATGTGCTGACTTGTCCTTCACCACCACCACCACCACCACCACCCCTCCCCCCGTTTTTTCTCTCTGACACGCAGGAAGGGGGGAGAGCACGAGAGTAGGAAAGCGGGGAAGAAGAAGAAAAAGGCGACTTGCGCACGTGACCAGGAAGTAAAAACAGGTCCAGAAATACGAGTCAGAGCCACACAAAGAGACACTGTCCTGGGGAACGGAGGGCCGCGCCAAACCCGCCTGTCCCAAACCCCGACCTACTTTCTCAAAAAAGCATCGCCCACCGCCCCCTTTCAAAAAACCCAAGAATGCAAAGCATGTGGTGCGCACACAGACGCTTGAACACAGGTCTTAAGGCTGAAGCGCTCAAGCAGACGTGCTGCAAAGCTTCCAGCCCCCCCTTCTGTTTTACATGACAGAGGCAATGGTTGGGGGAGGGGGGGAAAATCAATCCTTTACACACTTGCAAGGTTAAGTAAAAGCCTTTCTAAGCCTTGATAGATCAAAGCTGTTCAGTGTAAATTAAGTTTTTACCAACACGTCCGATTTGGGATGTTCGGTCAAATGAAGACAAAAAGAAAAGTTTAGAAATAAGGCACAAAGCTGAACCACGTTCCCATCGGAGCTGCAGTAAGAGGTCAGAGTGAGACAAAACATGCTTCAAGATAAACCGACACGGTCAAACAGATAAACGCCTTCAATTGGCTGAGGTTTGTGCTTCTCAGGTTAGCAACGCTTAGATTACAGTGGAAAAGACAAAAACACGTCGGGCTGCAGACTTCAGTTCAACGAAAAAAAAAAAAAAAAAAAAAGTTGTGCAACAGGTTGAAAACCCCCCAGAATATTTTCATTTCTAGACGGAAAAAAGGTCTCTGAGCAATCAGAAGATGTACAGAAAGAAACGGGAAAGACTTCTTGCATGCAAGAACAGTCACAGAAGCGTTAAACTGTAAGAAAGAAAAGATCCGTCTGGGGCTACAGTTCACAGCGAGCTACCACATACCAGCGAAGGCCAACCTGAAGGGGGGAGGGGGGGGCATGTGGCACAGCGCCGAGTTACGGTCAAGTTCACTCTGTCTGTTCCCCATCAGCAAACCCGACGGGCCGTATTATCTAGACGAGTTGCTGGGTTGCTATGGAGAGGAGAGAACGGTGCTATTTGTTCATATTACCGTATGGGGGGAGGGGGCTGTTATAGAAGCTGTGGCTTAGAGATTTCAACATCCAGGTAAAGCATTCAAATATGAGCAAAGTGTCGTAGGTTTTAACTGGGCACAGGTCAATGCATTCTTCCCACAATGCACCTGCTCCACCTAGTCACGTCAGCGGGCTCCGTTACGTTGCGCTAGTGGAGGCTGATGTAGCCTGGAGCAGCTGGCTGAGAAGGTAACCTTCTGAAAAGTGGAGCCAATGCATTATGTGTATTGGTTGCATTCTTGCTAATGACCAGCAGGGGGCGACTCCTCTGACTTTACAGATTTCTATAAAGCAATTATATCTACATTCTCCAGAAAAGTAAAAATAATGCCCCCGAGAACTAGAAGACTCTGGGACTAATATTTCTATTAAGTCCCGCCCCCGATGGCTGGTACTGCTCTGTGATTGGCCAGCTTCACAGCACAGATGTGGTCATGTTGCTAAACCTGTGATCTCTGCTCCGTTTCTTTGCCTCTCACAGGCACGAGAATGAAGCGAGAGCCCCCGGACTGAATGCATTTGGTCTGGCGAGGTCCGGCTGACACACAACCATGAATGTAATCTAATCACCGCGGCCTGTTTGTGCATGTAAACAACTCAAGAGAACAATAAACAACGTCTCTGAACACATTGCGTGTCCCACTCAAAATAAACTCAGAGACGTTCCATAGTCGAGGCTCACAGGTGCTTCATTCGGACAAGAGAGCCCTTCTCAGCCATGTTAAAGAGGGAGGGGCCACCTCCTACCTGTTTACGTTCCCGCTTGGTGGCAATGTGTTGGGGGGGTTGAGGCAGCGCCTGTTGTTGCTGCTGTTGCTGTTGCTGCTGTTGTTGTTGCTGCTGCTGCTGTTGTTGTTGTTGTTGTTGCTGTTGCTGCTGCTGCTGCTGCTGTTGCTGTTGCTGCTGTTGTTGCTGCTGTTGCTGCTGCTGAGGGGCCGGGCTCATTATGACGGGGGCCGGCTGCAGTGAGGGGTTGAACTGAGGCTGGGCGGGGTAGTAGGCCCCTGCTGTGGATCGGAAACAGAGGAGAATATGAACCAAAACACACTCTCTCGGTCCAAGCGGAGAAGGCTTTATGTTTTATTATAATACGGGTAGATGTAATCCAGCGTTCTGATTGGTTGCGAGTGAGTCACATTATTGGGCGGTAATGTACAGTTGCTGTTCACATTGACCCGAGCGTTCCGTATCACTCAAACAGGTCAGATTTTGCGCGACCGTTCACATTTTAGCTTTTAGTTTGGTGGCGATCGACAAAAAAAAGGAGAAAAAAAAAAATGGAAATCCCACAAATGATCGTTTTCGGGCAATGCGAGCTTTGGCAACCGGACAATTAAGGTGGACGTGATGAGCGATGAGTGAGATGGTGCGAGACCAAATACTCTTTACATGCACGTACGGGGACTATTTTTTCTCTAGACTACTGAAATGCAATAAACTATTTTGTGCTGAAAGGCAGCTATTTACTTACTATTTATAATTTCGCTGGTAACCGATTATAAAGGCAATATGGTACTTGAGGCAGTACTTTATCTTTAATAATGTAACAGTTTGAGGGTTGTAACAGCACCCCGAACTGTTACAAGTACCCCAGAACACAGGACCTAAAACAGACTTTATACGCGTTTTTAATGTCCGACCACACGTGTAATCAGAAACAAAAGGACTTTTTGTGTTTGCTTCCTTAAAAAGGGAAACTTAAATATTTACATTGTGGCTGGCATGTGCAAATAAAATAAGATAATCGTTGAACTTGGCACCATGTTGTTCAGTCCAACATGACTAACTATGAGTCCTCAAAAGGTAAAGATACAGAAGACCAGGAAGCGTTTTGTTGAGTTTTTGTCGACTACGTCTGATCGACAAACTGCAACATTTACACCAACTTCTGCCACCTTTAAAACAAGCAAAACATCTTAAAACTCGACAACAAAGCTGCCCCGCGAAAACGAGTGAGAGTCGACCCCCCCCTCACAGCACAGACCTCGTCGTAGGCCATTTGTTTGTTTTGAAAGGACTCGAGTAGAAACAAAATAAGCCCCCTGGTTGCAGAGGCCTCGACAACAGCTCGCTCCCTCTCACCTCCTCCCCCTTCTCTCACCTCCTCCCCCTCGTAACTCAGCAGCAGCACAGCCTTAATATAGTCAAAGACACAGCAGACCGGTGGGAGAGAAAAGGGGTCTGAAGGAGACTTCAGGGGGGGAGAGAGACCTACCCTCAGAGTCCTCCTGCTCTCGGGAGCCTCGGCTCCCCATGTCAGACGTCTGCTGGACGCACAACTGTGTCCGACGGAGGAAGGAATGAAAGAAGAGGGGGGCGGGGGGGAGCTCCTCTTCGGACCCCCTCCCTTACTTCTTCCTGTCCTCTCTACAGGTGCCCTCTCTGAACAACTCTCAGCCCTCCCGCTCTGTTGCTCCACCCTCTTCCTCCAGGTGGCTCCTCCCTCTGACCTCCCTGCCTTTCACCCTCTCTCTCTCTCTCTCTCTCTCTACAGGGCAGGCGAGCTAAAGCTAAGCTCCGTTGGGTCATTCAGAGCAGCTCACTGGTTTCACGCTCAGCTGGCGTCACAAGCTACTACGGGAGGGGGGGGGGGGGGTATGTAGCATGAGTTGAAAGCATCACTCGACTCGGGACGGGGTCCCAAAAATACTCCTCAGTCATCACTGTGTGTGTTTACTTGCCTGCTAGAAAACAAGTCAGACTGAGCGAACCACGAAACCGGCCCGAGACACGTGAGCTCCTTCAAAGCCCCCCTCCGACCCCCCCCGGCTCGCTGTCCCATGACCCTAAATGACCAGTCATGTGACGGCCTCACTGAACGACCCGGGGTCACAAAGGTCCTCCCCTGACTCAAACAAAGGCCCGTCCCTCGTTCTGGCAGAACACTTATCTAAAACTTGTATTTCGATTAAACTAAATTATTTTAATAAAAACCGACACTCAACACAAGTAACACGATTTTGTTGCTGAGGAGTTTTTCTTCTTCGCGCAGCGTGCACGTGGCAGCGAGCGCGCGCCGCTGTGTGATGCGAGATGGAAAAAGCCCACCGGCAGCAGTGGTGTGAATGAAGTCGTCATTCAGGCCACGCATTCTACTGCCGATGAGCTACAGTTCAAACAAAGACAGCACGCAGCCGGGATGCCTGACGTCTGCCGTCAGCTCGTTTGTTGTTCGGGGTGTTTTCCCTTCCAGGGACGCAGTGACACGCAGCAGCCCCCAGAGGGCGTCACAACACAGGGGATCACCAGCAGACGCCTGGAGGGCTGCTGGATTTACCAGATGAGAGGAAATGTGGAATCAACTCAAGGTCCACGTGTGGGAAGGACGTCAGCAGCAGGTCTCGAGAGGCCGATCAAAGCACGCAGGATTCGTGTTGGATTGAAAAGATGCAGCTTTGGGGGCTTTTTATATTATAAACTGAAGCTGTCTGAATAGGATTTTAAAATAAGAAATGTGCGGGTCCCCCGGCTGGAGCCTCTTACCATAAGAACCGTAGTCCGCGGGGCTGGTGCCTGGGTAGAAGCCGGGGGTTCCCGCTGGGACCGGGTACTGCTGAGGCGTGGCCACGTAGGTCGCCGACCGGTACTGACGGGACATAAGGGGAGAGACGCTCGGGTCATCGCAAGTAGAGGAAAACCACAAAACGATTAAACAGCATGTACACTGATGACAATCTACCTGTCCCGGTATGAAGTAGGCGGGTCCCTGCGGCGAGCTCTGGAAGGGCAACTGTTGCCCGGGGATCATCATCATCTGAGAGCCGGGGCCCGGCTGGTAGACGTGGGTGGGCGTCACCGGCCGAGGGCCGCTGTGGGGAGGGACGCCCCGGGGCCCGGCGCTGGGCGGCAGGCCGGCCCTGTTGGTGTAAAAGGGCTGGAGGGGAGCAAACCAAAGAGAAGGGGAAAGGGGAGGTGAATCGGTGACTGCTGTCTTATTGGAAACAAATCAACCTGCCAGAAGAGATAAAAGCAGCTGATGTGGGCTCATTCACAGCCTCCGCATTGACATTCACTGCTGCCGGGCCCGGGAAGCTAACCCACAGGACCCAACGCCATGGGACACATGCACTGGGAAAGGGGGGGCGAAGGGAGTTCTGACTGGGACAAAAGAGGAAATTGAGTTACCTGTAGCGGCCTGAAGCTTCCCTTTAGCAGCGCAAACACAGGCCACACAGACACATCAGATGGAAGCAACAAGAGGGCGTGAGAGAGAGAGGGAGAGAAGGGAGAAAGCACCACAATCAGTTGAAGCAAAGCACCCAGAAGCCGGCCATCCTCAGCCGAGCCGTGGATTCACGCACACATTCGCAGCATGCAGGCGAAAGGTGGAGCAGCGACTCCACAATGAACTCATGGATTGGAGCTCCTCTTTTACGATAAACATAACAGTCAAAATAAACGTTCCCAGGTAAACCGCTACACACAAACGTCCAGAACGCATCATTTTAATACTCGAATCCTTCTTCTGAAGTAGTACTATATATCCTGGTAAACTATACTACTTATTAGCCTCTGCGTTCATCGGGCGTCACACATTAAAGACTTCACGCAGCTTTGTGTACAAATGTCTCCCCAAAGCCCACATGTGATGTAGAGGGTGGGGGTGGCGTTAGTACCTGTTGGTGCATAGGCCGCGGCCCTGGGGCATACTGCGGGGGGAGAGGCAGACAGGACAGAGGTTAGAGACAACAGCACGACGCGCCAGCTTCAGGTAGGGTCGCACGGGGCGCCGATCCAGAGTCTGTTCATCGTAAAACAAGGCGACGAAAGGCCCTCGTAACCCAAAACTACGCCAGTTCAGAAGTGCGCTATATATAAATACGTCGCCCCCCCCCCCCCGCCTCTTCTCCCTGTGAAAACATCCCATTCGAGAGATAAGGACAGTGTTTTGGAGGCTGTTTCTGGCTGAGCGGTGTGGGGCGGGGCCTACCTGTCGGGGCTGCGGCGCGGGGGTCATTTGTGGAGGCGGCGGGGTGGCAAACACACGGAAAGGGGGTGCCTGGGGGGAACGGGGCTGCAGAGACAGGAAGTGATGTCAAAGGCAGTCTAAAAGCAGGACAAGAGGACAGAGCGAGCATGGGGGGGAGGGGGAGGCGCATTTGGGAAAGATCGCCATTGGAAACCAAATTGGGTTTCTTGAAGTGATTCAGAAGAACCCGATTACTTTTATTGTGAGGAAGTTTAAAGGAGAATTGGTCGGTGAGCCCCCCCCCCCACCTCTCGACTTTGCCTCACTTCCGTCCGATGGCACCTCTTACCTGTGACAGGCCGGGGGAGGGGGCGGGGTGGGGGTTGGAGGGGGGTCCTGTTAGAGGCTGTGGTGCTTTATTCATTTCACGGAGTTCTGCATGGGGAGGCGGACGTGGACCGGTGTGCAGATCTGCCGAGGGAGAGAACACAGCGAGCGTGGCTTTAGCCGCGTGGTGGCGTGTGAAACCACTGCAGCCCGAAGGTTACAGTGTATTTTTAGAGTCTGGAAAGGTCTTACTTACATTAATGAATCTTTTTAAAGGTCCTAAGTGTGGTTACACAGAGGAATGCTTTTTCCTAAGAGACGGAGAGAAGGGGAAGCCGTGTTAACAATCCGCTCACTTTGCAGTGTCCACAATAACTTAAAAGTACCCAAACAAAGATGATACTATTTACCAAAAAATAGGAGTTCAAAACCCGCCGACACAAGTAAAAAGCACGCTTTCCTCAAACAACCAGCGAAAGGCTGTTAGTTATGACTGATGACCTATTGCATTGCAACGGTGATGTTGCAGTTCTCTCTACTTCCACCCATGATTGTGCTGCTTTCAAGAGCGGCAAAGGACTCGGTCAGGGCCAACAAACGGGGAGCAGACCGGGCTTTGAAGAGAGAACAGATGAAGTTTGATAAAACAGGACAGAATTGTCAGTCTATTCCATCAAAAATCACTGTAAAACAATTTTTAAAAATAATACTTTACAGCATCAAATGGCAACAGGTGGGTCACACAGTGATATTACATCATCCACGGAGCGTCACCGTTGTGTATAAATAGACAAGCTTCAAATACAGATTGTTCACGGTTCACATCATTTACTAACTAGGACTATTGCAAAAATAGATACTGTTGAGAGTGAAACTAATTATCGGACTTCTTTGCGCTTTATTACCTCCACGTCTGCACTCAGCAAAAAAAAAAAAAAAAGCTAAACATTTGCTTACAAGCCGAAAAAGTTCACCGATCTTTTGGTGGGAAAAAAATGTACAATACCAACACGTCCACATGTCCGTGGAATCGGTTCCATGACACAACGGCCCGTTACGAGGCGACCACTTGATGACAAAGCCTTCAGCTTATTGATCTCCGGCGCCATTTTGAAGGGCACTTTACTGCTTTAAGCACACATCACTCCTTACCCACGCGGCAGACAATACAGCAGCGTGGTACGTTTCAGCAGTTGTGCCGAGCAACGTACAGCTTCTCTAAAAAGTGTGAATTGGACGAGTTTGAGATACAGTGACTAAGTGACTGTTTCTTGGAGATGTACAATCTAAGCACAACACTACTGGCACATTAGATTACAGATCGAATGCCTCAGATCAATTCAAGCAACACAGTCCGCAAGACTTTGTTTTGTACACGATACCCCCCCTCCACGTGGATCCTTTCACGACTCCTGCGTAATCATCCCCTTTCCGATCTACGCTCCTTGTAATAGTGAGACATTTGGTATTCATAGCGAAGGCCAACGCTATCTCTGTCGCGCACACACGCAGCCTACCTCCGTTCTCCCGCACACACACACACACACACACACACGCACGCACAAAAAGGCCTGAGTCGTGATGAGTCCAGGTGTTTCTTTTTGAAAAGTGCAGGAAGAGCACACTGCCGGAATGGTTGTAGTCACCCACGTAACCACGACGACGTGAACACAAAACAGACCAAGAACTGGAAAACTAAAGGCCATCTGGGGATGTGATCCTAGCGGGTGGGGAATAAAATCAAACGCGGTGGAGGGGTAGAGAAATAAACACCGGGTCAAGTACTAAAAACCTCTGATACCCCCTTGCGCAGCAGGTGACTCCAGGACTTTTTTTTTTTTTTGGTGATGACTCACAGGCGTCCTCGAAAAAGGTGAAAACAAATACCAGCTGTCGCTGTGGGTACAGGTAATGGGTTCAAGCTGGGGGTGGGCGGCTCTCAGGCATCCAGATGAAAACACCAGGCCGCCCGTGTTCTCTGCATCCTACCAGATAAAACGGTTGCAGTTCTGGACAGAACTTTCTTCCCATTCTGGATCCAGTTTTGGCAAGAACGTAGGCCTTCAGACCGCAGGAGACTCGGTACCATTGTCTTCCCCGGCCGACAGCTGGTACGCCGCGATCACATTAGCAACCATTCAGTATCAGCGACAAACACTTATCTGGAAATGTGGAGGTTTGGCTCCACTGAGCGACAGGCGGCATCACGGCACACAGCCTGTCCGCCGCAGTGTTCTTCACGCTTACTACAAGTTCTGCCAAAACCCACACATGCCCAGACTCTGGGCTTTCAAGTTCCACCGGAGGAAGCTCAGTGGTGTCGTTACGCCATGCAAACTGTGACAGCCGGTCTCAGACGCACCATGCAGGAGTCCTTTAATGGCACAACTACTACTAGTCTTATTAATGTCAATGTACGACATCTGAAAAGTCAGCTTCCTTGTATGTCCAACATATTTTGGTAATAAATGTTCCTGATTGCTAATGTTCACCTAAAATGATGAATGGCATCCAAGGTCACGTTCTTGGGACGTAGATAAACACATCTCTTGGTTATAAAGACCCCTCATCCATTTTGGACCCACCTGCTCAGCTATGGTCACATTTCTGCAGCACTAAACATCAGCCTGCAGCTGAAGCATCATGGGAGTGGAACTGCCCACCCCCCATAACCTACACCATCAAACGACGTCCTCGGTGCTCATTGGTAAAACACCCAGATGTTTGTCATGGAACACTTCTGCAAATGAAACTGCACCATCATCACATGACATCAACCCTGCAGCTCCTTGGATCCCCACAACTAGATAGTGTGTGGATGCTCCCTGCTGCCATTCCCTGCAAGTCTCACGTTTGACTTTTGATTCAACTATTTAAACATGATAAAATGGCATATGGGCGTGTCTGCACGTCTACACGCAGACACACAACTCTTGGATAAAACAATTAGCGTCGTACTGTAATAAACACACACACGCGAACCGTCACACCGAGCACATACAAAGGCGTCGTGTTGTGCCGTTAGCACTTAGCCACGTTGCTAACACCGCTGGGCCTGGATCGGGGTTTTTCACCACGTGGTTCCCCCTCCCATTGGGCGCGATGCCGCCCGGTGTGGAGGCTGGGTGGTGCAGGGGCACGGCGGCGGGTGGTGTCAGCGAGCAGCGCAACGTTACCGCGACGAGCCAAGAATGAGCCGCGAAACCTGCGGGGGGGGGGGGGTTCTGGTTTCACCGCTCAGCGCCAACCCACCGCGTCACGCCTTCGTTTCACATGCGTTTATACGTCTAAACCCGTCGAGGCGTTTCAAGACTACCACGCGCCCGTCGGCGCAGACACCATCACAACAATGTAACGTGCTATATTACGTTAGCCTTACGTGTCTGGGTAACAGAGAGCCGCACTGCTACACGAACCGTTAGCCCGATCCCAGCCCAGATCTTTCCACCACCCGTCGGTACTTTTACCGCCTTAATAACTTGTAATGCTTTGGACGTGGCCGCTTTAAGACACCGGGTGATCGGCTTGCTTTGAGTCCACAAGCACGACTGACAAACGGACACATGAGAGAACAGTAACTCCATCACTATGCCGGGAGGCTGGCACGATAAAACACAGCTTCGCCACAACTAGCATGAGCTAACCTCCTGCTAGCTGCAGCCTACCGTGGGAGCTAGCGTTAGCTTGCTAGCTAGCCGCTGGTTTGGCTAGCTAGCGGCACAATAAAAACGCGTTAAGCGGCGGAAACAACAGCGTGACGCGACAGCGCATTCGCCGCCCATCAAACGGAGTCGTTCCGCGCACGTTGTAAATTAAATTCTAGACCTCGGGCAGGAACGGGGGACTCTCGCGGCGTCCACCGTGAGCGTGTTAGCTCGCTAGCAGGACGTGCTAAAGCGAAGAAAGAACACCCACGTCGCGTTAGCACGGAATGCTAGCAGCAAGCTAGCCGGCTAATCCCCGAAAACAGAAGCAGGCACGGCGGAAAGCAGTGAAGAAAGTCCGCCCCGGCAGCGTGTCTCTCCGGACCGAAGAGGCGAAACGTAGTCGCCGCAGTCCTTCCCGAGTCTCTTCGAAACTTGGCGTAACATGATGTATTTTAAGCAATTTAATACACAATTTGGCTCGGCACCGTGGCGTTACCTTTCTCTCCTTGAGTCCGCACAGCCGGACGGGCGGAAAATCTTCCCGGAAGCCGGTAGGTGATTCCGGAAAAGTCCCATCACGTGAAACTTTCCGCGTAATCGTCTGCGCGGCTCCACCGACCGTGTTTCCATCTCCGTGTCGTTCACGGAGTTTGAACGATACGCGTTTACGTTTGTTTACGCTCGTTTTACAATAACGGCATTTCAACTTTTGTTGTCAAAATAAAAGCTTGTTTTTTTTCACCCGCAGGTAAAAAATAAAGAGTCGTACTTGAAGTCATCGATACATTTCATGCATAGTGATATTTTCTTAGATTATAATTCATTTGCAGATAGTTATTATAAGTTTAATTCTTTTGTTTTATAATCAGAAGAAACCAAATATAATTTAAAGATTTTCATTCATTTAAAATGTGGAAAAGTTTCTCAGGGTTAACTCTGACGTGAAAAACCAAGGACATATACTAAGGATATATATAATACACCTGCATAGAGGTTTTAGAGGTTGCGGTATATTCTGCTTGAGTCTTTCAGCTGGAAGTTAGTGGCTACCATTTGTTTCAAACGTTTCATCAACTCAAGACAAAATGTAGCAGAAATATCAGAGGCAAAGAAAAACCAAACAGATCACTGTGCTTTTCTCTATAAACATGTACTTGGATTTTTATATGTACATGTAGAGAATATATGTGTGTGTAGAAAATGTTTCACTTTTGACTAAACCACTCCTGGGGGAGGACCTGCCCCCAGCTCAAATGTCTGGGAGTTCAAGTAATCGTACTTTGCAGCATAATCATAACAGACAGCAGTCACATTTCCACCATGTGGGTCTGAATTTTTATTGTTGATTCAACCTTTTACAGTACTGTAACAAAAAAACCCAAAATGACAGAAAAACAAAAGCAAAAGGATGTGGTTGATGAATACATACTTTTGAATGCTCTAATTACAAAAGATGACGCGGACTGTTCACACACTTCTGAACTGGCCTCGAGTCAGTCGGACAGCTGGTTTTAGTGCATGTGGGAGTGGTGGATCAAAATAGGGGGAAAACCATCCATGCAGAGTGGATACTGTCCCAGTTTTCTCCTCGCTGTGACCGCCCCCCCCCTCCCAGTCCAATTAATCAAGACTCCCAAACATCCGTTATTTTCATGACTGATGGAGCTGAGACACAGCGGGGGAGAAGGATAGGCCTGCCTTGCTCTTTTCAGCCGTATGGTACACAACTAAATAGAATAACTGCCAAGAGCCATGGTGGGCTACCCTTACACACACACACACACATGCGCACACACACACACACAAACAAACAGACAAAGTGGGAGAGGCCAGTGAGAATGTTCGAGTCTAGGTTTCGTAGTTGGGGTTCTTGCGGAGGATGACGAAGCCCTCCAGGATGGGGGTGACGGGCAGGTACTCCTCTGTGGCCAGTTCGGCTCGCTCTCCGTGCGCCAGCAGCACCGGCGTTGTGTGAGTCTGGAAACCCGTGATGGCCTTCGGTTTCCCCGCCTGGCCGACAACGTCCACGGCCTGCAGGAAACAAAAAAAACAGTCGTGTCGACTTTCCCCATTGTTGTTGCGCTTAAAATTCCACAACTGTTCTGTAAATAGCTTATTAAAAAAAAAAGGTCTATTTTTCCCCATTTATACTAATCTTCACCTGTCCGACTCTGACCGACACCGGCAGCGGTCGCAGCTCTTCGTCGAAGGTGACCAGCATCCGCGGCTGCATGGCTGCTACCAGCCCGTAGAGAATGTAGTGAGATTTCCCCAGGATGACTGTCGAGCACACAAGGAGGGAGGGGGGGGTTAAAACTGATGGAACGCCATCTTTGAACTCAAGAACAAGGCTGAGGAGGCAGCATTAGGAGGAGGGTGAACTAACTGTTCTTGACGTCGAGGAAGGAGACGAGCACGGTGAGCAGTCCGGCCACGGCGACCTGACTCATCAGCTGCCGGTCGCTGTGGTACGGGCAGAGGGTGAGCGTGCCTTTGCCCAGGTGAGTCAGACCCTGAGGGACGCACAAGAGAGGCAACGGTCAGCGGCCATTTGGACAAAAACAAGCAGGATGCCCGCGAAAAAACGGAGATCAACTTTGTCTTTTTTCTGTGTGTCGCCGCCCACCTGAGCCAGTCGGACCATGAAGAGGTTGTTGGGGTCCTTGGCGTGGTACTGCGCCAGCTGCCGCAGCATGGCGGCCAGGCGGGCGTTGTTTGTACCTGAGGGGAGGAAGGAAAAGACGAGGTTGAATATGAGAAAAGTGTCTTATTGTCAAGATTCAAAACACTTCAACTCTCTTTAGTCATCCCTTTCTTTTGAAATTTCAATGGACTTATTTGGTATTAATTTGTATACGTTTCATTCGTTAAACTAAATTGGATATTTCCATTGATTTCTTTCAACAATTGCATTATAGGATTTGAAATAACAATATTCAACGGCTTCATTGAGTTTCTAGGAGTTATATTTGATAAAGTGCTTTTAAAAAAGATAAAGTAATTACATTTTGAAGAAATAATCTAACCCTTCTTTAATAGAACTCGTCACTGTAGCAGTGAAAAGGTTTTTATAAAAAGGACAAATGCCGACTTACCGCTGCCCACCATGCCCATGGCGAAGATGGAGTTATGGGACACTTCGGGGTCGGCGTCATGGGAAAACTTGCTGAGGGTGTCCAGGATGTTCAGACGAGGGTTGGACACGGAAATGAGGGCCAGGGCGAGGGGCACCGCTCGCCTCAGGGTGGGCTCGCCGTAACGCAGCTGAGGAAAGAAGTCGTCGTTTTGAACAATGATCGAAGGTCGATGCGTCGAGTGTGGATGGAGGACAAAATATATGGACCAAAAGAACAGATGCAAACTTGTCGGCATCTGCATTTGGTTTTCAAAAAAAGGCAATTTGGAAAGAGAGAGGGGTGTGGGGGGGGGGGGCAGTAATGTTTGGTGGACAGGAAGTACCCCTTACGTTGGTAACAACAATTATTATGAGGGTTCAGCCTTTATCCTCTTGCTAAAGACGACAATCTAAACCCTCCCCAGAGCAGTTTGTACCCTGCGTGCAGTAAAGGTTGACGACAATAACTCCAGAATGGAGACCCGGCCGTGAGCAGAGCTACTGACCAGATGTCCGAATGTTCGCAGTGCCATTTCCGAACCGATCTCCTCCCCCATGGCGATGAGGGCGATGCCAAGAACAGCCACTCCCTGAGAGGCAAACACAACGTGAGCGATGGAGAAGAGAGGTCAGCAGATGATTGGTGTGTGGCACCGAGGTCGCCCCGTACCTGGTGGGAGCCCATGTCGGCGGCAGTCTCCTTCTTGTCTTTGTCCTTCTTGTCCTTTTTGTCCTTCTCCTCCTCTTTCTCCTTCTCCTTGGCTTCGTAGTGCTCGCTGCAGATGTGGAGAAGTTGCTGCACCTTCAGCACGTTACCGGAACCTGGAGGGACGCATTATCAAAAGTTTCACTTTAGGGATCTATTCTCCTCTAGGTGGATCTGCTCGACACACAAGTGAACGTCTGCATGTGTACAAACTACTAAAGAAGTTTGAAAAGGACCAAAGACGGCACTATGACGGACCTGCGTACGCGCAGATGTCCACTAGTGTGTTGGCGAAGCTGCGGAAAGGTTCTGGCACGACCTGCAGAGCCGCCAGGGTCGTTTCAATCGCCTCTCCTTTACCTGTGAGCAGAGAAAAACACGGGCGAGCAGTTAAAGCAGCTTTCACACAAGGGAGGAACAGCTAGAGGTAACCCGGCAACGGGAGCAGAAGAGGACCAAAGGACAGAGAGCGTTGCCATCAAGGACCCGCTGTGCAGATACAACCCAAGATGACAACGACAAGGTTTCCCTGATGTCAGAAGCTGACCCGACCCCCCCCGTCTGTTCATTTCTGCAGTTACCCAGGTGGTTGAGTCCCAGGCCTAAAGGCAGCCAGCGGGCGTATGTGTCCTTCAGCTCTTGCTCGCTCTTCTCCATGATGGTCTGGACGATGGTGGAGGTCACGTCTCCGTTGCACGAGCCGACAGCAATCATGCCGCACGCCAGCGCCGTCACTCCCACCACCTGGCGGATGAACGCACGCGTGAAATGCTGCTCGGAACGTTTTACAATAACAATAATAAAGAAAAAACGGCATGCGTACCTCCATGCTGGATTTGGAGTCTCCCATGACGGGGAGGAGCAGGGACAGGACGTCCTCCCGGTTGGAGCCGGCGTAGGCCAGACCGAGTCTGAAATCAGCCATATTGTTTAAGAATGTGGATTTTTCTACACCGCTTGAGAAGGACCAAATAAAATATTTAAATTGATATAAAGCGGGGGAAATAAGGATCTGAAATGAGTGCGTGTGTGTTTGGCCAAATGTTTAACTTTGTCCTCCTCACCCAAAGATGGCTCCTATCCTCATGGTGTTGCTGTTGTGGAGGACGTAGTCTGAGAGCAGGGCGAGAGCCGGGTCGCACTCGTTCCTCACACCCGAGTTGACGATGCCGCAGGCCAGGAGAGCGCCAGACTGCGCACACGCACACACACACACACACACCAAAGAAGGTGAAAGAAAAACACGAGACACTTCTTTTTTTGTTCATCCTCCTGGGAAATAACCTCAAAAGGCCGACGGAAGTCTCAACAGCGTATGGAGTATCAAGTTTCTGTCTTTTCTCAAATGTACAAGGACTCATCCAGAGTGTTTCCAAAAAGAATAAAGCACCCATTGAAGTTGTCCCACAATAAGCGGGACCTTTCATTCCGTCCCTCGTGCTGCACACAGGCAGGAAATCAAACAGCAGACCAGCGACGCTGAGGAGGATCTTCAGGCGTGTGCACGCAGGCGAGTTGTAACAGCGACCAACAGGTCTCCACTAACACGCCTGATGTGTGTATCGTTATGCAGCGTTCAGCTAGCCAAACGTCTTGCATGTGCATGCGTGTCTACCTTGATGTAGTCCTCAGAGGAGTAGAGATATTTGTCAATCTGGGTCAGACCGCCGTCCACGTCCCACAGAAGGATCATACCCAGAGAGGCCGCGGCGCTCAACATGCCTAGAGAGGTTTTAAAAAATTGAAACGGAAATTCAGAAACCACAGCGAATGCACCGAAGTCCACAGATCCGCGGTGAGTCAGCGGGCACCACGATGGCGGCAGCGTGGTAGCTCACCGTGGTCCTTGTTCTTGTACAGCCACTTGTTGCCGTCGTCTGTGAGCAACTTGTCCTGCCCGAATGCCGCGTTGACGAAGCCGTTCACGAAGGACGAGGCCAAGTTCATGCGAGCCGAGTCCACCTGGGAGCCGCTGCCTCCGAACCCTGTCGGGCAAAACCAACCGACGCTCAACACGATGGACGGATTCAAAGGTCTCTCCTCACAAAGCAGGTGTGAGACTCACTGTTGTTTTCCAGGTGTGTTTTGTAGATGTCATCTGGGACTTTTGGTTCCATGATGTCCAACTGGGGAGGGCGAGACGAGTGGGTTATTAATAACGGTGGAATGTGCAGAGTCATGTTCTTCTCCGCGCCGTCAGCCATTACTCATTCAGCCCAACAGGACCAGAAGAGAAACTGGCCTCATTAAATCTGACCTGAAAACTTCATCAATCCACACTGGATACGTCATTTAAGATAATCATTTACTAGCAGAGTAGTTTAGTTAGAATGCTGTAGACATAAGGATCCTTAAAATGAAATATTAACTAAAAACAACAGATTTCAATATACAAGGTCCATGGCACAAACGTGCTTCATTTTTCACCAGCCTTCCAGCAGCCGGTCGTACATTTAGGTAAATTTAAACAGTCTTATACGTTAAAAGCAACGTATCAGCAAGCAAAAAAAACAAATGATCTAGCTTTCAAATGCGTCTGAATAAGCATTTTGAAATTGCCTGGCTGTTTGAGAGTCAACGGAACAAGAAGTTGTGTCTCTATCAGCTCGCTTACCTCTCTGGCCAAGGCCAAGAAGTTGCTGTTGAGCTGCACGTTGGACATGATCTCCGTCAGGTCCTCGTAGTCCTCCACGTCCTCGTTGAGCTCCAGGAACATGCCATGGCGACCCAGCATGTAGGCCATCTGCTTCTGGATAACTCTGCAGAGCCAAAGAGGGGGACAATGTTTTTAGTACAGCACCCACAATGCAACAGCAGGCCTCAACTTCACAAGGAGAGGCTAGAGCAGATGTGAAAAGGGAAAAGAAATGGGTAATCAAACCCACCTTCATAGCTCAACAGATTTTATCATTACCATGACTACCTTCTTTGCCCTAGCAATAGTGTTATTTTTATTTATAGGGCTTACATGTCTTTGCAGGAGGTGAAGATGTTCTCCACCAGCTCCACATCGTTGAGCATCAGGGCCAGGCGCAGGGCCTCTGAGTAACGGGAGAACTTCCTGAAGATGTTCAAGGAGCATCTCAACAGTGCAGAGTTCTCCGGCTCGGGGACGTAGCTCACGCAGCTGGAGGAGCAAATTTGTGCAAAATTCACAGATGAAAAGGGCTACGTTGCATCAAAGGTCCTACTAAGAAAAAACATAAACACCCAACGCACCTAGTGAGGTACAGGCAGACTTTGCTGTAGGCGGTCTCGTCAATGTAGTCCTCCAGCATGTCCAGTCTCTCGATCTCCATCAGCAGGTCGCACGCCTCGTGCTCGGCATTGTGGGCCATGTTGTAGGGGACGATCTCCTTCACCAGCTTCAGCAGCGTCTCCTGCTGCGTCTTGTCACTCTCCTCCACCTCCTGCCACTCCTTTGCCACCTCGCCGGCCAGGTGCCTGGAAAAGGACACAGATTTTCCTCCTTTTTCAAATGCGTTCTCCCAAACATCAGTTATGAAGATCATAATGACCGTAATCACAGACTGATCTTCATCCCATACGCCTCACATACAATATGTTTAATGGCTTATAAAAACACATTTTACTATCCACCAAAGTTCAAATAGTACAAATGATTATCATTTTTGAACCACATAACATCTCGAAATCTCTGCGTTTCCTCCAGCAATAGACGCCAGGGCGCTGCGAGCGCGTCGGCCGCTCCTTTACCTGACGTATTCGTGACCCCAGGAGGCGAGCTCTTCCTGGGAGCCGAGCAGACGGTACTTCAGGCACTCGCGCTCACCGCTCATGGTCATGGCCAGCACCGACACCACGTCGCCACAGAAACGCTGCGAAGCACCAACAACAACTGAACTTAGTCACAGGCCCAAACAAGAGCTGCCATAAATCGATTAGTCAGAACATTATCTTTTTGTTTTGGCTTTTGAACAAAAGACAGACAGAAGACTGGGTAATCTATTGTCGAGGAAAATGTCCATAATAAAATAGCTTCTGCTACACATGTGAATTGACCGAATGACCATTAAAGCATATAAATCCCGTTTGAAAAAGGAATCTCAATCTATCTCTCTGAATTAATCTGTGCGCAAAGGAAATGTTTACTGTAGGGATTCTACTAAAAAAAAGAGGCAATACATGCTTTTTCAAATTTTTCTGGCACGTGCACAGTGGAGCCTCACCTTGTTCTCCCCGGGAGCCATGCCCTCGTAGATCTCCTTGAGCTTTCCGTAATGTGGCCTCAGAAACTTGAGGGGCTTGGGCACAGACGTCATGGAGGTGGTTGAGGAGCGGATTAGTCTGCGCAGCTCTTCCAACGCCGGACGGTGCAGCTCCAAGTTCTTCTCCTGTAAATGTGAGTTTTACGAGTGAGTTGTATTCTGCTATGTCAGGGCCTTTGCACCCTGACAACGAAAGAGTCCTGCAGATTTAAAATAAATAAGAGAATTACTCACACCCAGTCTCTCCACCATCATCTCCAGGTCCTCTTGTAACTGCTTGTCCTCTTCTGACTGAGAGGTAGGGAGGAAAACAACATCTGTCACTAATGAAAATGACAAAATTAGAATTGATCCATTGAGAGAGGGGTGACCATAGTTTTTGTTGATAATGGGGATGCCGATGATTATCTTTACTCGTCAACCGCTTTCTAAGAATATACAATACGAGCACGTAAGAATGAAAAAACGAAATACCCAAAGAGGTAAATAATGATGAAAGTCTTAATATATCCACCGTGCCTGGGAATGTTCGCCATTTGGTAAAACAGGTTGGGTGAAAATGTCACTAATTTGATAACAGTTTACTCTACTACCTTTAAACTTACTTGAATTGTGTATATAATCAAATATAAGGTTAATCATGAAGGTCACATGTGAACTACACACGCGCGTTGTTGGCCAAGACAGCAAAATATTATGTTAGCACTATATTCCACATGGCTTAGCAGTTACACTTTGATAACTACTAAACCTTTAGTACACTAATTAATAAGCCAACAAGCGCCAGAAGCCAAACTCACAAATTGCTGTAACGTTAATCTAAACAGTTAGAATAAGTATAATGACGTGTTGTGAAAACGTTAGCTGAGACCCAATGTTTACGCTGACGGGTTGAACGTGCTAGCAGCTCAGGGAGCAAAAGCTAACAGCGATGACAGGGACGTTACGGGGCGACAGCGACCACAAGCTAACAAGCTATCGCGTTAGCCTACCGGCTGAGTTAGGCTAGGCTAACGTTAGCTAACTAGGTGAGTTCGATTCGGCACAACTTTTAAGGACTACGGAATTCCAACAAAGTCAACGGGAGCTTTCTTTGCAGGAGACATTGTTTTTTAACTATCATTAGTCGGTCGGTCATGCATCTTCGGTAACAATGAGTTCGGCCTTCGCAACCATGTTGTGGAAGCGGCAGTGACTAAGGCAAAAAATAACACCTCTGGCTCGCGTAACGTTAGTTAGCCACGGTTTGAATGAGAAAAATACCCCAAACATTACCAATTCTTGCTCTTCCTTCTTTTCCTTATCCTTCCCTGAGGACTGCTGCCCCTTTCCCTTTTCCTTTTCCTTCTCATCGGTCTTCTCGGGCTGCTTATTCTCTTTGTTTTTTGCCTCCTCCATAGTTGCGGCTGTATGAACTATCGGCTAGCAAACGGAACTGAGGACGGCTGATGTGAGCGGACCCGTTCTTCTTCTTCTTGGCTAGAAGACGTGTTGTGAATGCGCTTCAGCGCCTCCTGCTGGTGGTGGCCTGATGAAATCTCATGCGTGTGTAGTTCATGTCCTCTGCAAAACGCGGGTATTTATAAAAGTCTACCTTTGTTGTTAAAATATGCAAATAATTGTTTCGTTTAACGTAAAAAAAAGTCCAAAGCACCATATAAAATATGTTTGTGAAGATAGTGAGGATAGTGTAAGAAGAGAATATTCCGCCATCAATTCAGCGGTAGGTGGACATGAGCTTAAAGGATATTTCTCCCACGTTCTTCGATTCATTTAAACTCGCATAACAACTGGTCACATGATCACACAGCACAAAGTCACGTGCCCCTGACTTGGATTCCTTGTTTCAGTCCGTTGGGCAGCGGCATGGCTTCTCGTCGTGCTGGGGGGCTCCTTCGTGGGGTAACGTCACTTTTATTGTTTTCCGTGTGTGTCGGCGTGGAGTTTAAAGGCTTCAGGAGGTTTCACGAGGTCGAACGGAGGAGCGTGTTGGAGGAGCAGTGGTTCATCCAGAGACTGGATCACTTCAATGGGGCGGACACAAGAGTGTGGAAGCAGGTCTGTGTGGATGTCTTGTGTGTCCTAAATATATATAGATATACATCATGTGTGTCGATGTGCACCTGTCACAACTTCACAAACATTTACAGTGCAGAACGTCTTAAGCTCAACTGTGAAATTTAAGCCGAGGTGCACTTTTCAAGTTTATTTTGCCCCCCCCAGAGGTACTTTATAAATGAAGCTTTCTACAAACCGGGCGGTCCGGTGTTTCTGATGATCGGGGGAGAGGGTCCGGCCAACCCGGCCTGGATGAAGGCGGGCGCCTGGCTGACCTACGCCCAGAAGCTGGGAGCGCTTTGCTTGATGCTGGAGCATCGCTTCTACGGAGAGAGCCACCCGACCGCGTGAGCTTCACTTTCAGATTTTTCCCATCAGAAAACATTAATGTAAACTGCTGCTGAACTGGAGCTAAAGCCTTTTGAAACTTGAGAAGGAGATATTGTTCAAGGTGTCGCAGCCATGGTGCTATTCACCGACATGCATTGAACGCCCCATCTAAGAAAAAATACATTACACGCAGAACCATTAACAAATCGTCTGTTGTGCATCTTGGTGTGTTTGTTCAAACGAACCCCCATAAAAGGTCGTAGCTGCTTCAGCACTAGATGGCAGTCTAGAGGCCCCCAATCTGTCGAGGCCTCTCACTCAGGCCCCCCCCCCACCCCTGGTTTTCAGCGACCTCAGCACGGACAACCTGCGCTACCTGAGCAGTCGCCAGGCGCTCGCCGACCTGGCGCACTTCCGCAGTGTGATGGCGGAGCGCCGCGGGCTGGCCGACAGGAAGTGGGTGGCGTTCGGGGGCTCGTACCCGGGTTCTCTCGCCGCCTGGTTCCGGCTGAAGTACCCCCACCTGGTGCACGCCTCCGTGGCCACCAGCGCGCCGGTTCACGCCGCGGTCAACTTCCCAGGTAGTGATGGGAGGGCGTTGCCACGACAACGAGCGCAGTTATTAAAATCCGTTGTGTTTGACTGAGCCTGCCGTCTTTTGGTCCCCCAACAGAGTACCTGGAGGTTGTGTGGCGCTCGCTGGCCTCGGAGAACTCAAACTGCCCCGTCCTGGTAAAAAAGGCTTCGGTGACCCTGGCGGAGCGCCTGAAGGACCCCGAGACCTACGACAACATCACCAAAGACTTCAAGTACGGCACCCGGACTCTTTGGGGCTTAACAAAAGTGATTTCTTCTGGGACATAAGAAGTTCCATCCCCCAGAACACCGGGAGAGAAAACAATAACTTGATGCGATGTACCTCCCCCGCCCTCCCACATACCTTCCTCCTTCACCTCCTCTTCCTCTCCCTCCTCACTCCCTCGTGTCCTCTTCCCCCTGCAGCTTGTGTTCCAAACTGCAGATCCAGACAGAGATGGACGCGGCCTACTTCCTGGAAACGTTAGCGGGCAACTTCATGGATGTGGTCCAGTACAATGAAGACAACAGGGGGTTCGAGGTGAGGGGGGGGGGGGGGGGGACACAGACACTAGCCAACCAATAAAAATCAAAAGACGTTAGACGTTGAACTCGATTGCCGCAGACAGACCTCCTGTTACGGGAACGACCCCATTTGACCTGATTCATGCTTTTCTCACTCTGAGCGTGGAGCCTTTGTGGGTCAAGGGTCGTCCTGGGTCCAGTCGTGGTTGAGTGGAAGGCAGCTATGAGGTGTAGGAGGGCTGCAGACCTCTCTGAGACGTAATAAACCCCGGGCATTGTCTGGCGGCCGTCGTAAGACGGTCTCCATGGTTCCTGGGGGCCGCTGGCTGCTTCCTTTGTCTCCATCTCTGCATGGCCGCCACCCGCTGCCAGCGGTATGCGCCCATGTCGGGTCTCTCAGATTGCTCCAACATGTAAAACTGCAATGTCCAATAGTCAAACCCTCCCATGAAGCCACAACAAAGGTACTGATGTAGATGAATACTTTATTAATTCTGCAAGGGGAATTTATTTCACTACATCCCCATTGATCTATACAGGTAAAGAAACCTAAAAAACTCAACTTCCATCAGCATTATCTTGTGAGCGGTAGCAAGAGGGCCGAAATAAGACTCAGCGGTGGGAAAAAATGACCACAAGCAGAAGTGTTTTTTAGAAATTACCTCTTGCATGCTTTGGGAGGTAGTGAGTATGATGTCATTCACCCAACTGATCTTTCTCCGTGTAGCAAAACCAAACGGTTGTTCTTCTTTCAGGGTACCATAGATACGTATGTTTTATTCCTGTGTCATGCACATAAAGAGTCCAACCCTCGTGGCGTCAAAAGTTTCAATCACTAAATTAGAATTAAACCTCCAGATTAAAGTGACAATTCGGAGCTTTCGATCATGATTCAAATTGTAAAGATGATACTTGAGATCATTTTAGTTTCTGAAGTCCCGGCTGCACACAACACATCTCGCCATGTTTTCTTATCAACGCTCACTGTACATCTATGCCTATTTACCCCCCCAGTACCCCTCTGCCCTCTGTCACTGCTCTTTTCTATTTTTCTTTTGACGGTACCAAATTGCCTTTTTTGATCTGCCCCCCCCACACCCAGTGCCTCGAGGATACGTGAGTCCGGTTACCAATAAGCTGATGCGAACCGCCCCACCCACTCCCTCCCTCCCCCAAAAGAAGAAGTAAGAAAAGCTTTGTGGTCTCTGTGGTTTCCTGTCGCCTCGAGCTAAAGAGACACTTCTGAGAGCGCCGAGGGGAGCGGGGGGCCGCGGAGCCACTGAGACGTTTGGGTTTGGGACTCGGACTGAGGCTGTAACGCGATCGCCGGAGGGCAGGGCGGCGGGCTTCATGGTTGACAGGTTATCAATGGGGGGCTTTTATAAAAGACGGCGGAGGACGTTGCGTAACGCTGCAGCTCGAGAGAACAAGTTCCTTTTTTTAACGCAGAAGCTGCAGAGAGATGAAGGGAATGAGAGTGCATTTATATTATTCACGTAGCCTAGAACCACCTAGCCCACCGCCCGCCTGAGCAGAGGTACACCTGAAAGAACTGCATTGTGAGTTGCCATGCAGCCAGAGAATTGTTTAATTATTCCGGAAAAAAAACCTTGTTGTTCCTTTTTGAATTGTGTGAAAATAGTAGAAGAGAATAAAATAGTCTCCACAAAGTTCAGATATGCACTTTAATTGTGTCAGGCGTCTTTGTGAACAAGATCAAATTCAAACCGTGAGACCCTTTGTTGAGTGTCAGGCCCCCTCCCCCCTGCACTTCCCCTCGAGTTGGACTTTGTGGATGACGGGTTCCCAGCTCCAGTGTCTTGAGCTGGAACGGGAAGTGGTCTCTTAAGAAGCCACTGGGACGTGTCCGCATCAAACCGCCTCCACATGAAGCCCACAACACAAGCCGGTCCTTTTGTCTTGTGAGTTTCAGTTGCACTCTTTCCTCGTTTAATTGGGGCCAAATAATGGAGCCTGGAGGATGTGCAAGTATATGTGACAAGTTCAGGTGGCCTTTCAAAATAAAACCTTAAACCTGCAAAAAAGGACCATTCATCATGAGATAATCTTCACCTTTTAAAAATAGATGTGCTGTTGTGTCATCTTCTGAAGGGACGTCACCTTGACTATGTAGCGCTTCCGTTCCTCACCTGTATCATCAACAATGCTCTGCTATCTGGCTCTTTTCCCAATTCTGTGAAGGAGGCAAGAGTAAACCCTCTCCTGAAGAAACCCACCCTCAACCCTTCTGAAGAAAACAACTACAGACCGGTCTCTCTTCTTCCCTTTCTGTCAAACTCTTGAACGTGCGATCAACTCTCCTCCTATCTCCACCGTAACAACCTCCTTGACCCCCACCAGTCAGGCTTCAGGGCCATTCCACAGAGACCGCTCTCCTTGCTGTCTCAGAGCAACCTCACACTGCCGCCTCTCTCTCTTCTGTCCTCGTCCTTCTGGACCTCTCTGCTGTATTTGACACAGTCAACCACCAGATCCATCAGGAACTTGATGTCTCAGGCTCTGCTCTCTCCCTTCTCATCCTACCTTGACGGCCGCACCTTCCGGGTAACCTGGAGAGGATCTGTGTCGGAACCTTGTCCTCTTACTACTGGAGTTCCTCAGGGTTCCGTCCTGGGTCCCCTCCTCTTCTCGCTCTACACCAGCTCTCTCGGCGCTGTCATTCGCTCGCATGGCTTCTCTTACCACAGCTATGCTGATGACACCCAACTAATTCTCTCCTTCCCTCACTCGGAAACACCAAGGTGGCGGCACGGATGTCTGACTGACATCTGTCAGTGGATGTCCGCTCACCATCTGAAAATCAACCCCGACAAGACTGAACTACATCTCTTTCCGGGGAAAGATTCTCCCACCTAGGATGTTAATGCCGACCGACTGCTAGGAACCTCGGGGTCACACTCGACAGCCAACTCTCCCTGACTCCCAACATCACTGCCAGAACACGATCCTGTAGATACACACTCTACAACATCAGGAGAATACGTCCCCTTCTCACTCAGAAGGCGGCGCAGGTACTGATTCAGGCTCTTGTCATCTCCCGCCTGGACTACTGCAACTCCCTCCTGGCTCGTCTCCCTGCCACCGCCATTCGACCTCTGCTGCTCATCCAGAATGCAGCAGCTCGACTGGTTTTTAACCTTCCTAAATTCTCCCACACTACTCCACTCCTCCGCTCTCTTCACTGGCTACCGGTGGCCGCCCGCATCCAGTTCAAAACACTGGTGCTCACGTACCATGCTGTGAATGGATGGGGTCCAGCTTACATCCAGGACATGGTCAAACCCTACATCCCAACCCGCACTCTCCGCTCTGCATCTGATAAACTGCTTGTTCCTCCTCACTGAGAGCAAAACACTCGACTAGATCTCGACTCTTTGCTGTCCTGCTCCTAAATGGTGGAACGAGCTCTCTGAAGACACCAGGACCGCAGAGAGCCTTCACATCTTCACGGCTTATTTGATGAAATTGCACTTTGTTGTTTCTTGTTCTTTTTGAGTTCGTATCCTTATGGTTGAAATGCACTTATTGTAAGTCGCTTTGGATAAAAGCGTCAGCTAAATTACATTTAATTACTTTTGTCCTTCTTCAGGGTGCGACGGGCACAAACATCACCATCAAGGTGCTGTGTGGTGTGATGGCAGACACCTCACTCGGGGATCCCTACGCCCGCTACGCCGCCGTGGCCCGCCTCATGATGGACACCTTCTCCATCAAATGCCTGAACGCCAGCTACGAAGGCTACCGCCGGGACATGACTGACGCGTCTTGGAGCGGGCCGGCCGCCGGGGGAGGTGTGTAATTACTGGGAGGTCTGCGTATGTGCAGACGTGGTCATTTTAAAGTGTCACCAGCTATTTTTTGCCACTTTGTCGGCAGGCTGTTGAGTTTTTGTGGAATAACAGCGACTGTGATGTCACACTGATATTTTTCCACTGTCGTCCGACAGTAATCTCTAAATATAGTAATGTATAATACAGCAATGTTTAATATAGTAATGTATATTATAGTAATGCCTAGTACAGTAATGTGTATTATAGGAGCTATCAACTGCATGAGAAGGTAGAAAAACCCAGGCGGCCTCAGCAGACTGGAATAAAACAGGAGACTGGTTATGTGTCAGACTGGAATAAAACAGGAGACTGGTTATGTGTCAGACTGGAATAAAACAGGAGACTGGTTATGTGTCAGACTGGAATAAAACAGGAGACTGGTTATGTGTCAGACTGGAATAAAACAGGAGACTGGTTATGTGTCAGACTGGAATAAAACAGGAGACTGGTTATGTGTCAGACTGGAATAAAACAGGAGACTGGTTATGTGTCAGACTGGAATAAAACAGGAGACTGGTTATGTGTCACCTCGGTTGAAGTCATAACGAAGCAGAACCCATTTCAGGGTGTTGTTAAAAAGCTTTTTTGGGGACATAAAAAAAAAACACTGGGCAGTTTCTGGCTCCGTAGATCCATCAAACAATGTAATTACATGTAACGACTAAAACAAAGTCTGGAACTGTGAAATAATGTTTTCTTCTTGAAGTAGAATGGAAGTAAGAACCACCCAGGTTTATTCTGAGGTGGGTTATTTTGGAAAGTTGATCTCAGCGTAGCTGTTTTCTAAAATGTGAATTGTGTTGTCTCCATGTGGGGGACACATGACGGAAGTGAGTGCTCTGTATTCCATGTTGTGCTTCGGGCCTCGTTTCCAGTTCCCTGTGGTTCCATGAGGCGGGGGTTGGAGGGGTTGGGGTGGGGGGGGGGGTCACTGGAACAGGAAGTAGTATCTTCAACAACTGTTGACTGTGATGTGCCCCCCCCCCCTCTCAGCAGATGGTTAGCTTTGCCCGCTACGTGCTAGCTCTGTGACTCTTGTTTCCCTTGTTGTCAGGGAGACAGTGGGTCTACCAGACCTGCACTGAATTTGGATTCTACCAGAGCACCGACTCTCCCAACCAACCGTTCACGGGCTTCCCTCTTGTGTGAGCACGCCCAACATCGCCTCCCTGCCTATCAAACGGATGCACCCCCACCCACCTTGCTATCCTTTCCCACCCGCCCTGCGTCACCGACCTTGTGTTTCCCCCGGCCAGGTATCACGTGAAGCAGTGCGCCGACTTGTACAACGTGAGCGCCGAGCAGCTAGCGGAGGCCGTGGCCCAAACCAACGAGTTCTACGGCGGCTACGACATCCGCTCCACCCGGATAGTTCTGCCCAACGGCTCCATCGACCCGTGGCACGCCCTGGGGGTCACCTGGGACATCTCGCCGGACCTGCCGGCCGTTTTCATCCAGGGTGAGAATGCAACGAGTCTCTGTATGTCGTGCTGTCCTCTATACAGTAACATTTTAGAATGCGCATCACGAGGAAGCAGCACATCTCTGCCGTCCCGCAGGCGCTGAAACGTGATTCAAAAGATGTGCAGCTGAGAAGTAGAAATGCACAGAATAGAATATGGCGGCATTGAGACCAGTTTGCTCTGTTGTGGTTTGTGTAGCGGCTCAAGCCGCAGTTTATCATTAATGATTCTGGGGAACTTGTCTTAATTTGTTACCTTTTGGTCCCATGTGTGAAATCTGTCGAGTCACAGAGTTGCCTGAGACTGGATTTCATTTGAGATCGCTTCACGTCACGGGAGCCGAGCAACGCTTTCAGCGCCGAACAAAGGCTCACTTGTTCAATTCTGACTTCTTTCGGTGGGGTGATGGTTTCTTTTCTCGCTGCCGTGTGCTTTCTACATTAATAAATATCCTGCTATCTTTGATCCAGGAACAGCCCACTGTGCCAACATGTACCCTGCCAGGAGCGAGGATCTCCCCCAGCTGGCTCTGGCACGGGATCACATCTTCTTACTCCTGCAGAGGTGGTTGAAGCAGTGATTGACAGCTCAACGGGCCAGGCGACGGCACGCAGTTCTTTTGCTGCCTTTTGAAAGAAAAACTAAAAAGGCACTTTACACAAGTGTGAGATGGTGTTATGAGCGAATGAAGAATAAATGATACTTTGACTACTGACTGCAGGTGTTTTTACTCCGCATTTTCAATTTGAGTCAACGTTACAAAGGTTAATATTGTGCGTTCTGCGATTGCTCATTGTTGTAGGAAGCAGGTTCAACCTCAAACAAACTGACTTAATTCATATTTAATGCACCATCCAGCAGTACTTCATTACACTCAATAACTCCTCATTTCACAAGAACAATTACGAGTGTGTGAAAAGATGTCGACAAATCCTGTCTGCGTCCAGGACACTGCGACCGAGTCTGGACAAACACATTTCACGTTGGAAAACCTCCCACAGCAAACCTCTTTGGAAAAGGAAAGTTCTTCAAACATCGGGACAGCAAACAAATCGTGTTCCAACAGGCAGCGATGAAACTAAGACGATTGTAACCGACAGCTGCGAGTTGGTTTGGAACCTCTCACACAAACACACACACACACACACACACACACACACACACACACACACACACACACACGTGTTTGTTTTCACAGTAGGTCCCCTCTCTGCATCTCAGCTGGATATGCAAAATGCCCACACACACACACAGCTGCTATCTCTGGATGGTAAAAAAAAACCTCTGAAGTGGATCCTTTAAAAGCCTCCACCTGAATATACACGTGTAATACATGTCATTATGGCGCCACAGTCTTACCATGGATTTTCTTATAATTGCCAGTACACCCTGATTTAATCTCCTGTAACCTCCTCGTAATCCTCTTTGGCTGCAGCGGCATGTAATTGAGCCTGAGCCCTTTTTCACGTTTGTGTGTAAGAGTGTGTGCGTTTGTGTGGTCTTTTGAGAGCGGGCTTCATTTGGGGGTTACTTGTAATGTAAATCGTAATAAATTAAATCAAAATCGAGTAAAACCAAACTTTCCTATGAGATGGAACAGGAGAAGTTTTAATTCAGCAAAATGACTCTAACGTTGTTTTCAGCAAAGATCTAACTTTAATTCGGTCACTTTTCATTGAATGTGACCGAACATGTTGTTTTTAAACATCTACCATTATTCTCACTTCCTGCTGTAAACACGAGTTCTCAGCTGCATCAAGTTGGCCAAAAAAACACCGGAAGTAGACGCATTGACTTAAAAAGTATATTATTTTTCTCTCTTGCTTCTTCTAAAAACACGAGCCACAACTCTGCAAAGTACAGCAACGAAATGTATCACGACGGTAAATATTTCCCATCGCAATTTGAAGCCCCTGATACTATAACCGTGTGCCAACAGAGAACATTACGACGTTTTTGAGGCCTTTAATCTGAAACCCCACCGGAAGCGGTTGATCCGTTATCTTTTAGCCGTCGGCGCTAACGGAGTCCGCCCGGCGGTTCGTTAGGAGGCGGAGTTCGGGTCAATAAAGTCCGTACGTGAAGCACCGGACGAGTCACTCGGTCGTCGTTCTCTCCTCCTCCGGAATAAAGGAATCTCTCTTTCAGTTGTCGTCACACCGCAGCGCGAATCCTCCCGGTTCACCGAGCGCGAAGCGGACCGACCCGGTTAACGTTCCACCTGCGGCGTTCCGACCCCCGTCCCCGGCAGGTAAGTTACGGACTCTCGCATTTATTTATTTATTTTTGTTTTAACGTTACACATTAACGGTAGAATCAACGAACGTGTAAATTGTTTTAGAACAAAAGGTCCGACCGTTAAACGTCACCTGACGTCATCATAACGGCGTTAATTAGCACGCGAGAAGATGCTCCAAGCGTTGCTATTTTTTTTTTTTCTCCGTTAAATACTATTCGGTACCGACGCCTCAAACTATCCACATATTTAAACAGCGCTGTTTGCGGGACTTCGCATTAGAACAGTTGCGGTGAAACGTGCTGCTCGCTCCAATAAGCCTGCTGGTGTTGACGAATAAATAAGTATTATTGTTAGAATTATTATTAAACTCCCGGACGTTTAACCAACACACGATCGGTTCTGGAAATCCAAATGTTTTTTTTGTTTTTTTTTAAACATTTTTTTTTTTTAAAGAACAATCTTCGGGATTTCACTGCTAATAAAGGAACCCAAACATTTGCACAGTTCTTTTAGGGTCAGAAACAATAAACCACGATTACGAGTGAGAACTTGTCTCAGTGTTGACGTGTCTGCAGGCGTTTCTCCTGTGGCTCCATGCATTGTGCCTCACGGAGGCGGGATGGGGGGGGGGCTGAATCACTTTCCCAAAATAGTTTGATTTTGTCTGTAATTTAAAGTGACGTCAGAGCCTGGTTTCAGGAGGGCGGCCGTGGTTGGAACTAATATTCAAGCGGTGTGAGTGAGAGTTACTCTGATCCTGCTGCACTCATAAACACATGCTGCTTAAAAGCAAAGGGTCATGTGAGGAGGGTGGTTACCTACGGATGGATACAACAAAGAAGGTCGACTGTGGATTTCGGTTTTACTTACATTGTGCATGCAACACGGAGATGGGACCGCCATGTGGTTTGCAACAAAACACCTCCTGATGTTCTCTACTTGCAGGCCGCTGTGGAGTTGACGATGAAGCGCCTCTCGGTGCTGTGCCTCTGTGCGCTGGTGACCGCGTACGGCCACAAGGCGTCCCAGGCCCCCTCCTACGCCGAGCGGGGCTCCGATCTCGGCATACAGGTGTTCCAGCAGGTGGTCCGCTCCAAGCCCCTGGAAAACGTGGTGCTCTCCCCCCACGGCGTGGCCTCCATCCTCGGGATGCTGCTGCCGGGCGCCCACGGAGACACCCGCAAGCAAGTCCTCAACGGCCTGCGCTACAAGAAGAACGGTGAGGGGCGGGGTCAAGTCGAGGGACTAGAATCCAGTGGCCGTCCCAGCAGATTTCAGACGAGCCCCCAAATGTTGAAAGCTGACTTTGTCCCCGCAGGCCCGTACAGGATGCTGAAGAAGCTGCACAAGACCTTGACGGCCAAGTCCAACCAGGACGTGGTGCTGATCGCCAACGCCATGTTCAGCCAGGACGGCTTCCCCATGGAGGAGGCCTTCGTGACCGCCAACAAAGCCAACTTCCAATGCGAGAGCCGGAGCCTGGACTTCGGCGACCCCCGCGGGGCCGCGGATGAGATCAACAAGTGGGTCGGCAATAAGACCAAAGGTAGGAGCTGAGCTCACAACGTTGACTCCCTCAGAGAGCTCCTCCTTCACGCGGCTGTGAGCGTTATTGATTCACTATTAGAGTCAAGTGAAGTGAATATGAATATTTATCCAGGTCACATCCCCAGCTTGATCAAAGCGGACATGCTGGATCCGGCTCTGACCCGTCTGGTCGCCGTGGACGCCATCTACTTCAAAGGCTTGTGGAAGTCTTGCTTCCAGCCAGAGGACACCAAGATGAGGCCCTTCACCGGCGGCAACGGAGAAGTCCTCAAAGTCCCGATGATGTCCCAGCTGTCTGTCTTCAGCATCGGTGAGAGGCCATGTGGGATTCTGCTTTGGAGCACTGAGACTCTTTATTCACTTTAGTTCATTCAGTTAGCGACTTGATGATCATGTTCTAGATGGTTGCATCATTTATTCAGATGAGTTGGGATTCAATTCCAGATACGGTTAATTATTTATTTGTATCCCACATAAGAGCTGAGGAGTCCATTAAAAGTCACACAGCAATCATTGACTGATGACTAGAATTTGGGATTTTCTGCAAGAGTAGATCGAGAGGGATTTCTTCATATTATATATGTAATTATTATGATGCATCCTTTATTTTATTTACATAAAATCCACAAGACACAAAAAGAGAAGCTAAAGAAATGTTTATTTGTAAAAAATGAAAAGCTCTAATATTTAAGCCAATTCTGACTTTTATCTTTCCATGCTTTAATTTGCGGTGTCAGTGGTGTCTTTAAAGAGTATTTAACTTTTCTTAGACTTTGTTTAGTCTGTTTGTTTTTTTATGAAAAAAAAGATAAATCATTGCCAGGCAACAACAGGGACTTAAGACGTTTCCTTGGAAACAAATCTACATGGGTACAATTTCCTTCTAAAACATTTGGAAGGTGAATTATTAACATGCGTCCTATTTCGTTGACCTCCACGTTTTCTGGCTAACCGTTGGTCTAAAAAAGGCCTCCGGGTGTCTTAAACATTAGAGATAAGAAGCTGCTGTTCCTGCACATTTCTTGATGAAGTTGTCGTTCTAACTGGTTTGTTTTGTGACTCATCCGTCTGTTTGTTTGCAGGGAAGGGCAAGTTTAGAACTGCCACATTCGTGGGATGTTCTTAGTCTTGTGTGAACTGAAGTGACACACGAGTCAGCTCGTCTATACTTAGACGGACGGGTTGTCATACAGCGCTGCAGTCCGCTGTAACACGCAGATGTGTGTGTGTGTGTGCGCGCGCGTGTGTGTACTTTCGTTTCTTCTGCGCCAAGAGTTTGTCCCGGCCATAAATCAGTCGGTGATGGCTGGAAGCAGTTCTGTTTCATGAACGTGCTTTGTTCTACGTACTCTGCTTCATCTCTTCAGATCCTCGTGTGACTTTGTTTAATGGTTTGGAAAAAGACCAGTTTGGCCTCAGTGAGACGTACGAACGCAGCGCTGCTGTGACGTTATGTCGACCTCCGATAAACCGATCAGCTGTCATTTTGTTTTTAGCAGCTAGGTGCATTTTTTCTTCTTTTTTTTTAAGTTGAAAGGTTTATTTAAAAAGTCAAAAGCGCATTCGACACCATGTCAAGCTTCAAGAAACAACCGTAACCTAGAAAACCAAATTAATGCATCTCGTAGGGCTGAAAAAAGCTCCATAATTGTCAGACTCAAAATAAACCCATTTTTCATCAGAAAATCCTATTCAACAGATGTATAGCATGAATAAACACTCCTTTCTTTAGTCACACTGTGGCAGGATTTTTGACTATTAACCCTTGACCCCTCCTCTTCCTCTGCCAGGCATCGCCGCCACGCCTCAGGGGCTGAAATACAAGGTGATCGAGCTGCCGTATCACGGCAACACCGTCAGCATGTTGATCGTTCTGCCCGCGGAGGAGGACACGCCCCTTTCCCGTGTGATCCCGCACATCAGCACGGCCGCTGTGCACGGCTGGACCAAACTGATGAGCGCCAGAAAAGTCCGCCTGCTCATCCCCAAGTGAGAGTGAGAGCGTGCACGGGACTGACTGACTGACTCACTGACTGACCTGACCGACTGACTGACTGACTGACTGACTGACTGACTGACCTGACCGACTGACTGTGTTGTGTGTTTTTGTCTGTAGGTTCACCGTTGACGCCGAGGTGGATTTGGAAGCCTCCCTCTCGGCGCTGGGGATAACGGACATGTTCATCGAGGGCAAAGCCGACTTCAGACACCTCAGTGAGTGATGGAGACACGAGCCCTGGAAGGGAAAAGGAGCCTGGTGATCTTTTCACTGCTGGAAGCACGAGTTGGGTCTAGCGGTCGCCGTGAAAAACAAGATGCCGTCTGTTCTGTTGCTCCCCCTGAGGGATGGAGTAAATGTTTGGGTCTATTGCCCCCGTGTGGCGTATTCTGAGATTATAGGATTACTCCAGAATAAATGGACTCTTTACATTATTCATTTTAACCAATGAGGAATCGGCTAGACTAAAGCTATTTTTGTCCTTGTTATTATTAGTGTCAGTCTCGACTAATCTAACATGCAGCGCTTTATCAAACCAAAAGCATTAAAGTGATTTAATATGACTTTTGTTTCATTGTAATGAGCGAGTGAAGCAGGCTAAAAGGCAACAAGGTGAACCATAAAGGGAGATCAGTCTTCTCAGCATGACTCATTCAGTCACCTGTGCTTCTAATGTCTGCGGTCATAAAAGTTCCTCTTGCGGAACGGGCTGAAGGCTCTGCACTCCCATCATGCAGCAGTGAAGGAGACCTTTTAACAGACCAGTGCAGGTATGATTTCTACTTTGCTCAAAGGTGACCAGATCCCGGCGTTGTGTCCTCAGGTGCTGAGCCCGTTCACGTATCCAAGGCTCTGCAGAAAGCCAAAGTGGTGGTGGACGAGGATGGAACCAAAGCAGCAGCGGCCACCAGTGAGTATTTGTCCTGAGAGTTTTCACACCACAGCTGTTTCACACCTCTGACCTGGTTTTGTGTTCAGCTGCCATCCTGCTGGCTCGGTCCTCCCCACCCTGGGTGTCAGTGGACAGACCTTTCCTCTTCCTCATCAGACACAAGCCAACAGGTACTTTTTATTATTATTATTTGAACCCCGCCCAGGTTCACCTGTGTGTGAGTGTCTCTCTAACGAGTTGTCCCGTCTCCGTCCCAGGTGCCGTCCTCTTCATGGGCCAGATCAACCAGCCTTGAGGCCCAACCCCACTGGTTTGTTACTGGAAGCGTCGTACGCCAGCGTGGGAAATGCTTCTGCACACGGACACAAACTTTGCTCTCGACTTATGTACAGTGGGGACGCGTTATTTTTTTTAAATATTGCTTTTTTTTTATGTCCTCAATGTTCTTTAACGCACGACATGCTTCATGAAACGTTTTTTTGCTGACTAAAATTTTCAGCTGTTAATGTTTTTTATATACTTTTTGAAGTTATTACATTTTTTTAAGACTTTGAATGTCAGTTGTGTATTTTTCTCAACTCTGCAGTAGTAGAATCAGTTTATTTATCGTGCAACTGTTAAGTTCTTGCACTCCAGTTTCTCCTCTAAGTTAACTCGATGCATCTTCTGTTATCATACTTGCTTCATATTTGATTAAATGAATACACATATTTATAGCTGTAGTTTTACATTATTTTTAAATGATCGAGCGTCCGGACAATGAATCCAAACCTTTTTGTTAAGTAGCACGTGCATGTATTTCACCAAATACTGTATTGAATGTTGAAGAGGTTTCTAAGGACTCTGATTTACCAGTTTAGATTGAACATTTTCAATATTAATGTTCTTTATATTAGTTCTAGAATGTGAAGTTTTTACTTCTGGAACTTCAAATATTGGAATATCCAATTAAAGTGTCACGTTTTTTTTGTTTTTTTTTTGTATTCTCTGCAATCATTTCTGAAACTTCTGTCAATAAAGCCACGTTGATTTGAATTGTAAAGATGTAGTTATGGTATATTTTAAAGGGGAATTCTTAAAAACGGCTATTTAACTGTAAAAAAGGGCTGTATCACAGCATTTCTTTGTATGCAAACAAAATGTAACTTCATATGATTCTGGGCTGCCTAACTATATTAACAAGGAGTGACACCTTGAGTTACAGTAGTGGAACAGTTACAGAACTCAAACGTACAGATCAACAATTAGGCCATAATCTGCTATTTTAAATCATAAAATCCCTTGTGGGATTATACAAGGGAACACGGGGAGATTATTCTACGGATTTATTTGAAGTTTTGACAAAAACAAGCAAGGCCGACTATATGACTTGTGAGACGTCCACATCGGGGCCTAAACCCATAAGCAAATACCCACCAGTCGTTGTCATGGAAACGTGAACGCAAAGCGCCGTGTTGGGATCGGGTCCTTGGTCTCCTGCGCAAAGGATTGTGGGTCGGAACAGCCACCGAGGCACAGCGTCGTCCTGCGTAGGGCGGCGGTACGATCGACGGGGGGACGCAGCGAGAATCGTCGCCCGCGGCCCCGTTTCTTACGGTCATTACGGTGATCCCGACAGCGGCTCCGGGTGTCAGCTGATCCCGCGTTTCACCGCGAGGGAGCGAGGAGCAACAACACCGCCCGGATACCCAGACACCATGGCGGCGGAGATCCACTCGAGGCCGCAGACCGCCAGGCCGGTTCTCCTCAACAAGATCGAGGGACACTCGGACGCGGTGAACGCCGCCGTTTTAATACCGAAGGAAGATGGAGTGATCACGGTCAGCGAGGACAGGTGACTTTACTTCTTCTTTTCGTAGCCACCGTGCTAACGGTAGCTCCGGTCTGACGGGAGCGAGCTGGCGGGCTCGGTCTATTTGCTGGTCATGAGAGACACACACACACACAATTCGAGCCGAGGAATGATAAATATGAAAGACGATTAACATCTGTGTTTTCTCACTTTCAGAATTCAACATTTTAGTTCTCGCATATGGAACCGAGATTATCGTAAGAGGGCGCGGGGATTAAAAAAAAGGAGCCCTCAAGTCCTTTACAAAATATAACGCCATCAAACAACCACGCGTCATAATAAACTGGAAAAATAATGTTATTTATTTATTGTAAAGTATGTAGCTTCACGGCTCCATATGACTACGTGGCGGTATTATAATGCTCTCGGCTATGTTGATTTAATGCTAACGAGCTAACTTAGCTAACGTTAGCTACTGCTGATGGTAAACACTACTTTCTCAAACTGACCACTGCTGCCTTTGAGTGCTGCTCGTAATCTGGAGAAGTTTAGTTCGTCACACGTATTTCCAACGAAACGCTTTTAGTTGGACGGTGTTTTTTTATACTTTTTTGTGTTTCTTACTGTTATTTCACTTATTTTGTTTGTGGCGTATTTGCTTTTTTATTTCTGTTTATCGTGTAAAGTGATTTTGACTACTGCTTTGAGTGCTATATAAGCAAACGATATTTTATTAGTATTATGATTAAATTACTGACCTCTATTTGGTTTAATGACAAAAATATCAGTAAAGAAAAGGTTTTTTTTTTTTTTTTAATCACTGTATTCCCAAGTTGCTTCCTAAAGCCTACTATCTAAACTACGTATGCCTTAATGCGCCCTTGAAGGTCACACGTTTGACACCTGGTTGCACTGTACATCAAAGTGTAACTGGGTACACATGAGTCCAACACAGAAACCAGAAGTGATACCAGGCCCGACATGCGTGGTTACAAGTGTGACAACAAAGCGACAACCTCATTCAAAGATAAAGGAACCGGTGAAGTACCCACTTGATAACAAAAGGGAAGCTGTGGGGCGATGATGAAGCGCTTTAACAATCAGGTCCAACACAGACGCGGCTTTTGACATGTTTCCGTTCGCCGTGGCTTTGCAGACATTTTACTGGAATAGATGTAAAACCTTTTGAAAAAGGTTGACAGAAGCTTATTTTAGTTGCAAATGTATTGTTGTCCACCACGTGGCTGTACGTGAGGCCTTTGAGAGGCAGTAGGAAAGGGTATTCTATAATCCTAATATGTCATGTTAATGCATTTGTATACATCTTTACTCCTAGATAATCAAAAATGCACTTGTATAACCCTAACATGAAACATACTACAGAAAGACACACCATTGTAGATCACTTTAAATCTGACGCTTTCATGCTTCTTTTTTTTTTCTCCCCTCAGAACCATCCGAGTCTGGCTGAAGAGAGACAGCGGCCAGTACTGGCCCAGCATCTACCACACCGTCTCCTGTAAGTGTGTGTGTGTGTGTGTGTGTGTACTGAAGCACTCTCGGTGCTCATGGATGCTGCATCTCTCCCCCCCCCCCTCTCAGCTCCGTGCTCCTGCGTGTCGTACCACCACGACAGCAGACGCATCTTTATCGGTCAGGACAACGGCGCCGTGGTGGTGAGTGAAGCCGCCTCTCGACTGCGTGTCTGCTTTCGGGTGAGCTGCCACGTCGGCGTGGTTGTTTGATTTGAAACCTGTTTGTTCCCCCTCTAGGAGTTTCTCATCTCTGAAGATTTCAACAAGATGAGCCACGTCAAGACGTATCCAGGTGAGAAGACGCGACACGCACAACTACGTCTCTCTGATGTGTTGTTTGTGACGACTGATGCTTTGAAAACCTGCATCTGGAAAAATAATGATAGACTCAAGTCTTGATCATTCGATTGATTATGCGCCGTTAATTGTGCACAACTCTTGTTCCGGCTCCTGCAATGAGAGGATTTCATCCTCTTAAAGATATCATCTTTGGCTTTGATGGAACAAAACAACACTTAAGGCTTTAGGAAATCGAGAGTTTCCAATGTTTTCTCTCCTTTCGTCTCATGTCATATTAGTCCTCCGATCACGTGACTCTATCAGAATAAAACACAGCTGTGGCTTCAGAGGGCAAAACTCCACACTGGAATCCTCCTACTGGTTCAGAACCAGCAGCAAACAACACTCACAACCAGATGAAACATGTGTGTGTTCTCCTGAGACGGGGGCGGGGCTTCACGTCGCCATTAGCCTTCTGTCAGTTAATCTCGCGGTTCCATTGGCCAATGCTTAAAAAGCAGCTCAAACATGCTCAGGCTGCTGGCACGTTGTTATCAGAATCACTATCTGTGTGTGTGTGTGTGTGTATATTTACATATATATATATATATATATATATATATATATATATATATGTAAATATACACAGCAGAGACTACAAGTAAACAAAGAATGAGAACTACAAGATGTCTATGAAACTTGCAGCCCACCAGAACCGCGTGTCGGACCTGGTGTTCTCCCTGGAGAGCGAGTGGGTGGTGAGCACCGGCCACGACAAGAGTGTGAGCTGGATGTGCACGCAGAGTGGAAGCATGCTGGGCAGACACGTCTTCACCGCCTGGGCCTCCTGCCTGCAGTATCCTTCTGTCCCTGTGTGTGTGTGTGTGTGTGTGTGTGTGTGTGTGTGTGTGTGTGTGTGTGTGTGTGTGTGTGTGTGTGTGTGTGTGTGTGTGTGTGTGTGTGTGTGTGTGCCCGTTTCCCGCCCTGACTCGCCGCCCAGATACGATCACGAGACGCAGCACGCCTTTGTGGGCGACTACTCGGGGCAGATCACCCTGCTGAAGCTGGAGAAGCAGACGTACTCCACCATCACCACGCTGAAGGGCCATGAAGGTAACGGCTCAGTCACATGACCGCTCACGTGACCGCTGCGTAAGCCGGTGATTCATTTATTCATCGTTTTAACTATTTTCCCATCATTCTCTCAACTCACTGCTTTTATCTGACTCAGGAGGCCCACCACGTCCTCACGGGGCCTCTCAGTAACACACAGGACACACTGGAGATCTGGATTCTTCCATTCACAGATTTATTGGAGCAGCAACACTCGAATAAACCGAGCTCCTTTTGGAAAGACACTAACGAGGCGACAACACATGAGTTTATACATTTCTTTGACCAGTGGATTGAGTGAAGCCCTCCCCTTCCACCCTAACTGCGTAACTCTCCTCCCGGTGTTGTTGGTCGGTTGATTCTGTCTCACTGGCCCTCCCGTTCTGTCTACACACAAACAGACACACAAGACCGCTGCCCCTCCCCCCCGCTGGTGTCTCTACACTATCCTGTCCTAAACCTTCTGCCGTCCCCAGTGTCACGATGACTCCTGTTTTTCCATATCTTTGCAACCTTGCCTGCTTAGCGTCTCACTCTGTCTCCAGGCCTCCTGTTAGCTTCTCCTTCCCTCCGTTGAACTGACACTCACCTACGTGGATTTATAAATATGCCTACTTCCCCAATTCCCCTAGAAATGTTTATACCACGAATATATATTGGACAATAAGAAACATTTTCCCTCAACACCGGCTGTGCAGGTGTGGCCTTAGTAGACGTCCACACGGCGTCATTACTTATTACAGAAATTCAGTAGGGTGCAAAAGAATGAAACTGCTTTTAAACATTGAAGAAAAGCTTCACAGACATTTACTTTCCCGTTGGCTGGATGTGGGGCCGCTTCACCACATCATGTGGCTTTAGAAGATGATGATGGAAACAGTTATTTCTCAGTCAGCAGAAAAACAAAACCCCTCATCTGCTAGTTTGAATTGAGATGTGGCAAACGGGGAATGCTCACCAAGCCGCGGCAGTGACCACGTGACGTACGCCGCTTGGACGGAACGTCGTCATTCTTTTTGGGAGCCAGATGTGAGCCGGATCTCCACACCCCAAAAAGCTTCGTCATCACAGACACGCTGCTTACAGGCAAAGTGTCGGTCTGCCCTTCCCTTTTTTAATTGAATACAAAAATACAAATCCTCACACCGTGACATTTCCTCTCTTTTGATCTGCAGACGTGACCTCCACAATAATACTTATTAATTCCTCCCAGCTGTGCACACGCAGGAGTTCCACCCTAATATTTAAAAGGAAGCCCAGATCAAATTTAAACAAACCGAATGGAAAGGTCAGACCCACCTTTCATCTGTAGTACCTGCCGACTGCTGCTATTCATCACACCACTGGTTACTTTAAGAGCTTTATTGTCCGACCAGCAGCTCCTTTTTACTTGTGAGGAGGAAGTGTAATCTTTGCGCATCCTGCAGCTCTTCTCGCTGCCACCAGGTGGAGCCAGCGAGGGGTGATCTCGCCGCTCCCCCCCCATCCCATGTAACAGGTGTGCTCCTCTCTGTGCAGGTAGCATAGCAACCCTGTGGTGGGACCCCGTCCAGAGGCTGCTGTTCTCGGGGGCCGCCGACCACAGCGTCATCATGTGGGACATCGGGGGCCGCAAGGGCCGCACGCTGCTGCTGCAGGGACACCAGTGAGCCCTTCCTTTGGTCCTTTTACGTGTTTGTCTATTTTATAGTCTTCCATTTGGGGATTTAACAGTTTGACGCTTGAGCAAAGCTGTTATTCATACATGTGTGTCCACGTATTGATGATAAGTCGATTGTGATAATTATTATTATTATTATTATTATTATTACTTTTCTCCCTCAGCGAGCGCGTCCAGGCCGTCCGGTACCTCCAGCTGACCCGACAGCTGGTGTCGTGCTCGGCCGACGGGGGCATGGCGGTGTGGAACATGGACACGCAGAGGGAAGAGGTCCGTTACCCCGGTGACGAGAAATAAGAGAAACGTTTATCGCGGAATGGTTTTCTCTTCCTTCGTCCGTTTTCTGAGAAAAGAGGCAGGGAACTTGTTTGTTGTTGTAATACTCGTTCTGGCCACAAGAGGCCGAAGTGCAGCGCTAACAATTGTTTTAAATAAGAATACAACCAGGTAAGACTTCTACCACGCAGAAATGCTGAAAAAAGGCCCTTTGAAAAACCTGAGTGAAGAATATGAATATATATAATTTCTTGTACTATTCCTAAATCTTAAACACGGAGACTAAACAATTTAGAGTCAGAAAATGGATCAACAGGTCCGGAGGTGACTTTTTTTTCCGGGGTTGAATCCATTTGTGTTTGATGAGTCTCCTCTGGGTTCCACGCGTGTCTGCAGGCTCCGCCGTGGTTGGACAGCGACTCGTGTCAGAAGTGCGAGCAGCCGTTCTTCTGGAACATCAAGCAGATGTGGGACACCAAGACCATGGGGCTCCGACAGGTAGAGTCGGACCGCCGTCCCTTTTTAACACCTTGTGCCGTATATGTGTTTTCTACTCGTGGATAAATGTGGGTTTCCTTCTTGTGCAGCACCACTGCAGGAAGTGCGGCAAGGCTGTGTGTGGGAAATGTAGTTCTAAGCGCACGGCTTTCCCCGTCATGGGCTTCGAGTTCCCGGTGCGCGTGTGTGACGCCTGCTTCGACACCGTCAAGGAGGAGGAGTGAGTGACTCCGCTTCACGCCGTCGCAACCGCTCACATTCTGTTCCTATTTTCAGAGGCCTTTTCTGATTTGTGTGTCTATTGTGCAGTCGGACACCGTTGGCCACGTTCCACGAGGGGAAGCACAACATCGCTCACATGGACATGGACCCGTCCAGAGGCCTGATGGTCACCTGTGGAAGCGACCGCATAGTCAAGGTCGTTTATTTGGTTCCAGATAATCCGAGTCGAATGTGAACACATTGTGCAAGAAGGAATGACAACAAGAGGAAGCTGAAAATATGAATATATGCAGAGTATTACACCAGTGCTACTAGAAACTAAAATGGAAAAGTATTTCCTTTCGTCTCATGTCATATTGAAATTAATACAAAAATACATACAAAGACATTTTGCAATATGTTTATTGTCGTTTTAAAGAATGTAATATTGCACCTCACGTGTACGTTGTGCGTCCGCTCTGTGATAATGCACCCCCCACCCCCCCTTTTTTTTATTCATTGTTGTCTGTTTGTCTTCACAGATCTGGGATGTGACGCAGGTGGTTGGCTGTAGCTTAGCAACAGGCTTCTCCTCGCGCTGATTGGCCAGGCCCCAAACCCCCTCCTCCGTGCTCTGCCCACTCTCCCGATGCCATGGAAACCCCTCTGTACAGTATATCCCCCCCCCCCAAACACTCCTGGGATCTTCAGCTCCAATCAGGCCTGCTTGTGTGTGTGAGAGAGACACACTGCTGTCTTTGAACTCCAAGCGTGTGTGTGTGTGTGTGTGTGCATGCACCGTAATGATTTCCCCTATGGGAGGAATGGTATTGATATTAGCGTTTACACTACATTAATATTTCAGATGCTTCTTTTTTATTTTTTATTACCCTGTAAAGTTCCCCAAGTCACCGATCTGTCGGTACAAACACACACTAACTGTCCCACCGCTCATTCCTCCTCATCACTGCATCACCGAGCAGCCGGCTTCGTCTCCTTCCATCGCTCCCCGTTCACCGGCCGGCCTTAAATCACCCAGCCGGTTTTACGTCAGCGTCTCTTGTCCCCCATCGTCCTCGTGTAACCACGCAAAGGGTGCAGCGGAATCGTCCCGCCTTGCCGTGACATCACTAACCCCAGGCCATGGGGCCTCGCTACCAACGCGCAGACATCCATCGGGCCACGCTACCAACGCGGAGACATCCATCGGGCCACGCTACCAACACGCAGACACCCGTCACGCTCTCTAGGAGCCGAGGTTGGAGAAATAAGATAAATGCACTTAAAAGGTCCTCCAAGCTCCAGGTGGCACTACGTTCTCCTTCGTTCATCAGCGCTAACAACCTTTAGCTGTAGGCTCACACGCGTGTCCCAGATGTCTCGTAACACTCTTACAGTTGCACTGAATTGCACACCTCGTGGTCTTTTTGTCTTCTGAATCGAAGCGTTTTCTGTAGTTTGGCCGCGTGTCGATTCAAAGGATCCCATGTGGCGTCCTCGTAAATAACAGCTGGCGTCTCCTAATGTCCAACTTAACGCGTATCGCCTTATCGGAGGAGGGGGTAAGAATGAGCATCATGATGTTGGAGTTCCTGATTTTGAAAATGTAGTCACATTCCAGGTTTTTGATCATGTCGTGTATATTTGTAGTAAAGTATCTATAATCGTTGTAAAAGGATGTTTACCCGTCACACTGTAATATCTGGGGTTTGACTGAAGGCCGGATGCCTTTTCAATCTGTCAGTAAATTTCTTTGCATGAATGTTTATCATTTCAATATTTTTTTCTTCTTTTCTGTCGTTTTGTTGAAGGGAAACGCGTCTTTATTCCGGAAGCTTTGGGATAAAACTTCTTCTATGGAAATATTAATTTGCTTAATATTCAATACGTTAAAGGATTAAATCAAATATGTGCAATAGTAAATCTTTTAATAATAATGGATGTATTTTTGGGGTTGGGGGGGGTTTTGCTCTAAATTCATTTTAAAACTTCAACTTCATACACGCTATGCTATGCTATGCTGAGCTGGCTCCTTAGTGAGGCGGCTTGACGCGAGGTTAACGGTTAAGTTGCTTTATAATAGCCTCAACTTTGAAATCTCATTTGATCCTCCTTTAATATAATGAAATATTGATTAGTGCATTAAAATCATTAATATTTGGGAACTGATCTCTGAACAACCCAAAGTCACGTCACGATGAATCCTCTGGGATCTAAAGGGCCACTGACGCTCCGAACAATCGGGAGGACCGATGTCAGTGACGGTTTATCTCCTTTTTCCTTTCAAACGATCATTCCAAACACTACGATGGACACAGATTACAAATCCTCGGTAACCGTAATCACAAACTCTGTAAATGATTTCTTTATTTTGGTTTGACTTCCGATTCTCGTTTATTTAATGTATCTCAAAACAAATCACTGTATTTTTCAATCCTTCTGTTGATAATATTGACTACGGTCTCTCTGAGCCCTCAACCGGACGCAGAGAGGAAAGAATTGATGCTTAATAAAGATATTCTGATATGTTTATCTGCCTGTTTTATTTCTGCACAGATTTTTTTATTTTGAATCAAAATGTAATTTGCAGCAACAACGACACAATATTTGTAAGTTTCTTTATTCAAGGAGACATTTACAAGATCAGCTCAGACAGTTTTTCAAAGTCGCTGCAGTTGTTACTTTAAGTTTTATCTCTTATAGAGAGAGCACTGCTGCACAACAACATGAGAACCACACACAAGTGTTATGGATATTAAATTGAATTATCAACGATGCAGTGTGGGGGGGTGACTTTGGTCTCATCAGATTCCCATCTGATTGACAGCTCTCTTAAAGTCACAGTGTATTTTAGATGAAGGTGCATTTGAAAGCTCATTTCAGGGGAATAAAATCACTCTTAAATCCTCAGAAAACGTGTTATAAAAATAGTTATAAAGCATTTAGGCCGTTGACCCCGTCCTCCGATACGTGTCACGCGGACGGGGTATGACTCTGGCGGCGTGTTAGATCCTCGGAGGGTGCCGAGCCCGGCCTGGAGTCGGCGTTGGACCAGAGGCGCTCAGTTCGCCTGGAAGGTCTTGGCCAGGTCCTCCAGCAGGGACATGAACTTCTGCTCCTCCAGGGGGGAGCTGTGGGTCCAAGCCAGTGGCAGGTGGGGGGACACCACCTTCCGGTCTGCACGCAAAACAAAGCATGAAGAAGAAGGATTGAAGTGATGCGCGACGTCTCCCGATGGGCCGCAGACTGAATCCCTCTCGTTGCTTCTCATGACTTTTCTCATTGTAATGAATCGGATGCGCAGATTATTCTCCAGATAACACGAAGCAGCTGTCACACACGTTGGAGACGTACTGGAGGAAAGCCTCACAGATTACATGCCTCCTGTTTGCACAATGAACGGATGAATGAAGTATGTTTGTGTCTCTGCTGAAGGGATTTTCATATTAAGTTATGACCCTCCACCACAAGGCCGAGAGTGTGTGTGTGTGTGTGTGCATGTGTGTGTGTGTGTGTGAGGGTTTGGCCTGTTTCCACTGCAGCTGGAGTGGGCTGCTTTTGGTGCCAGATACCACCAGAGAGTACAGTTCCTCAATGAGCGCGCACACACACACACACACACACACACACACACACACACACACTCGGCCTTGTGATTCAGTGGATAGTGTTTGCTTCTCTTCTCCCGGTCTTTTGCCGTTTCGGAGCACTAACATGTTTTCTTTGGTCTTTAGGATGAGGGTGAAGACGAAGATGCCCGTCTCGTCGTACCTTGGTAGAAGAGGCCGCTTGGGTTTGTGGGCGGGGCCTCGGCGACAGACAGCCAAACGGCGGTGTCGGCCCCCTGCTCGGGGGCCCGCAGGCTGTCCTTCATGGAGCGGTGGAAGTCCGGCATGGCGTTGGCCACCGCTGAGACGGAAAACACAAGGTCAATACGGATGCCCCCCCCCCAGCGTGATCTGTTACCGTGGTGGTGGGAGGGTGGGGGCGTACCTGGAGTGTCGACCCAGCCGGGATGCATGACGGAGAAGTGGATGTTCGTGTGAGTCTTTGCCAGCTGCTCCGTCATCACCACCTGCTGCCTCTGGAACACGCAAACACGCGCACACAAATAAGCGTGTCCTCAGATTCTGCTCTCGTGAGGACGTCTCCGAGCAGGTGAGGCTCACATGTCTCCTTCACAATGCTGCCCTTTGCAGAGTAATAGATGAACCGACTAGACGTGAATGATGGCTCACGGTCAACAAACTGGATTTAGCTGACTTGTTCTTTTGGAGGCTGATATTATACAAGACAAGTGTAAGAGATAAATAATTAAACCGTAACTAAGAGGAAGACATATTCGTACTAAATGGATGAGTTAACAATATTTCTAATGAACCCTACAAATCATTGTATAAATCAAAATCAAAACAACTAAATATTCTAGTGTCTGATTAATTAATGAAACAAATTAAGTGATAAATGAATAAAAAAGTTAACCCTTTGGTATTTGGTTGATGTAGCAAACACTCATTGTAGGTTTTTGTCTCTGCGTTCAGTTTAAACTTTAAACCCTTTAAAGTCTCACTTTGTGTTGGGCGTAGACCATGGTGCCGTCGTAGTGCCCCCGCTCTGACTGCAGGTTTCCCGTCCTGAGCTTCTGCACCAGCATCCCTCCCGAAGATACCGTGATCTGAGGGGTGGGGTGGGGGGGGCAGAGGTAGCAGGCTTGATGCAGGCATAATGTAAAACATATTTCACACCATTCCCCCAGTAAACGCTTCAGACGCAAGTCATGGTCGCCAGCTTCGTCATCTAGTTCCAATGCGTCTTGTTACTGCAGTACGACACGTAACAGGCAACCCCCCCCGACCCCCGACCCCCCCTCCCTCCTTTGTGTCCCTCGGACTCACCACTCGGGGATCAGCACTTTTCTCCATCAAGGGGATGAGACTCTTGGTGAGAATGTAAACCCCTGGTGGACAAGAACAAGAATAAAAAAAATCGTCAACCCTTCCCCTCGCGCCTGACCCCTGACCCCTGACCTGCGACTCACCGAGGACGTTGGAGGCGAAACTCTTCTCGAGCCCCTCGGCGTTCACGTCCCTCTCACTCATGATGGCGCCGGCGTTGTTGATCTGCGTGGATCGGACACACGACACTCCGGTCAACACTGACGCAGTGAAAAGCAATTAACAAGGAGGCCGTTTATGTTCCCCGGTACGGCGGTAAGCTTCTCTCGTCGCTCACCAGCACGTTGAGGGCCTTGTACTTCCTCTTGAAGGCCTCAGCGAACTCCCCGACCTTCCTGGTCTCCGTCAGGTCCAGGATGTGGACGTACACCTCCTGAAACGACAGTTTAATGGTCGCCAGTTGGTCACCGTGGTGTAAAGAAAATGCAAAAAGCCTGTTTAGAAGCGGTCGCGCTGTACTTTATTTCCGGTCTCCTTGACGATATCGGCCCGCGCCTCCTCGGCCTTGTCCTTGTTCCTGCACACCATGTGGATCGTTCCGCCTGCGACGTTGAGGCGAGAAGAGAGTCTGAACACGTGGAACATGCATTCTACTTTACCGCCGTGTGCATAACGTGCGTCAGTGGCGGCTGATCGAACACCCACAAAGGTCTTTTTGGACTATTTTTGAATTATCCGGTCTGGGCTATTTTGTGAAAAGTCTATCCCGATAGTCGTGGGTTCATGTAAGTATCGCCCCAATTTACTGTCACGTGCTTTTTAAATGGTTCTCATGAACCAGACCGGTGTCACCACCTTTCTTGGCGATGGCCATGGCCGCCGCTTTCCCGATGCCGCTGTTGGCCCCCGTTATCATGAAGGCTCGCCCCGCCACCGACACCTCCAGGTCCTTCTCCACGAACCTCTTGGAAGCCGTCTGGAAGGCACTCCTGCAGGGAGACGGACGGGTTACTGCATCATGGCAATGACCCTCGGGGGAACAAAGGGGGCGTCTGAGAGGGAAAGTGTTCCCAGGTCAGCGTTTGAGGTCGGCCTGTTGAGTGTAACGCGCCTATTCACGGCTTTACTGTACGGACACAATGAGGACGAGAGCGTGCCTGGCATCGTCTCCGATGAGAAGGGGGTTTGGGGTGAGACGAACGACGGTGACAACTGGATCGGCCTGTGTGTGTGTGTGTGTGTGTGTGTGTGTGTGTGTGTGGCGACAAGGACTTCAATTGCCCCCATTGTCCTGGATGCCATTGTTGAAGGAAGAGGCTAAATGCCCGCTCTGTTCGATGGTGTCATGCCGAGAGCTATTAGTGTCGGGCCAGAGCGGGTTGCCGCGCAGCTCTTTGGGAGGAAAGATAACACAGAACAAAGGGCGAGGAAGGGGAAACGATGACAAAAGCACCTCTTCAGACGACACGGGGTGAAGCTCCACGCCGAGTCCCTGTAAACTTTTACTCAACTCATAAATCAGGGAGTGAAAGAAGAGCTGCAGCCGTCACAACGTCTGCAAACTGATCACAGAAAGAATAATTCATGCCTCTCTAGGATCGAGGCTTTAAATGACCTTTCACCCGCCTCACACAACCTACACTCATCAGTTTGATGTCAATACTAATGCAGCAACAAATGGTTATTCCTGTAGTCCACTGATCGGATGATGGAATTCTTAATTGTTCAATTTCTTAATTTGGTTTATTAAATGTCAGTAAACGGTAAAAAGTGACGACATCGTGTCAGGACAACGGTTCAAAACCAAATGATAGGAAGATGAAAAGAGAAAGAAGAGAAAAGGCAAATCCTCACATTTCAGAAGATGAGATGCTCGTTACCTTTTTGTTTTATAACTTACTTTTTTATCAGAGATTGATATTACCCCAAAATTCAATATAATGAGTGCCCCAAACCCTTCCCACCTCTTAGGACAGATCAACACAGGCAGTGCCTAAGGATATGCATGTAAAGGATAAATATGAATAACTCCTATTAAACTTTAAACTTTAAATTAAATAAAAATAAAAAGTGTTTTTATGTAATAAAACATACTACATACATACATATTACAATCACACCATGAGGCAATGAGAATATATAAAAGCTGTCCCACTTTGTTAAACCTTTTCATAGTAAATCAAATAAGTTCTGACAACAGGCACATCAGACATGTTGACCGCAGTCACATCTCACCTGTGAAATAGGGCATCTTACCTGGTGAACTCGGTCATTCCCTTCAGGAACCAGGCGCAGTTGCGGTACAGAGACATGGTGCGTTTGCTCTGGAAGCCTCTCGCTGTGCGGAGCTCTCTCCTCCGCGTTTTTTTTACCCCGCGGGACCACAAACCACGTGTCGCTCCGTTGACTCAACGTCAGTGGGGCGAGCGCTCCACCGGCCTCCCGCCGCGTCATTTGACACGCGGACAAACGTCACCGTGAAGTACCCGTATGTGTCCCCTTCAACTGAGTGGCCACTCAAACTGAAATAAACGCTTACTGTAAGCTAACGTTGATTGTCAGCCGTTTGGTGACATTATTGCTTAATATGTAAGTACACTGTAACAGTACGAATAGGTTTGTCGTATACTATCGCATGAGAATATAAATAGGCTGTACTGTAAAATAAAACATGAACCAAGTTACCTGACAAGAGGCGGGCGTTGAAGCTAGCAACGCAGCTAGCTCCGGCTAAAGCTAACTGACGTTAGCTGAGTTAGCTTAACGGAGCGGCTACGTTCGTTTAATCAACATAAATAACCGTTATAAATTTCTATACGCTGAAATAATGTTAACGTCAGGTAAAGAAAGACCTAACGACATTATGTATTATATTATTTATAATAGTACAACATTGGAGAGCACAACACTATAAAATCTAATTGATAAATACAGAAGAAGAAAATGTTGCAAATGTGACGACTAACGTGAGTAGAGCATTTTCTTAGAATAGGCTTCCCTTAATTGGATTCTTTCTTTAACGGGCCATTAAATATCAAAGTAATATGTGTTTTATACTCCTAAACACACTCTTAAATGTACATTACTAACTGTATGAGCTAGTACTGTAAATCAACATCTGTCACCGCCTGCAGGGATTCACCTGTCGGTGTCCAGTAGCCAATCAGAGGCTGGGGCACTGCAGGGGGCGGGGCTCTAGTCGGATAGTTCTCAGGCAGGTGTTACTACAGTCTGGAGGATTTTTATTTTGGGATCATTTGTCATTTCACTGCCGTGACAAGATGGTGAGTGAATCTTGTTGTGTGTATGATCTCCCTGTTTGTAGGTAACGGCAGCTCATCACACTGCGATGGACCCGGAGGCCGCGTGTCACCCGATGGAAGAACTCTAATGCCGGTTGTGAATCCTTTACTTCTTTCCTACGGAATTTCACTCTGACGACTTCCCAGATCAAAGGTCATGTAATTGTTGCTTCAGCGAATGTAATCTATTGAAGGGCCTGATTATTTTAGGGGGTAAATATATGAAATATATCACATGTCATTGTTAAATGAGAAAAGCCTTCGCATGTTGTGTCAGACTGGCGAATGTATGCAAATCTCAAGACGGTTGGTTTTGTTTGCAGAAGTGCTTTTATGTTTAAGGACTTAAATCTGTAATTGCACTTGAATTAACCACAAAGCCTTTAAATCGTCCTTCATCTCTATCCGGCACGGGCGTGCGTTGTTGTTGCACGTTGTGGTGTATTCTGCTGCAGAGGGAATCCGTGCTGCTTGCAGCCGCACCTCAGTGCAAAGAGCTCTCATTGATTGCTGTTGCACAACACCGCGCGTTGTGTTTGCGCTCAGAGGTGCTACAGATGTGTTTAGTGGTCTTGATTCACATTCCTAGTTGAGCAATCGGAATACTGTTTGGTGCAACACTCGCTCACGGGAGGTTCTGCTGTAGCTGCAGTCTGCTTAAACGGCTGATGAAAGTTTTATTACTGTGTGTGTGTGTGTGTGTGTGTGTGTGTGTCTGTTTGTTTTCCTCTGTTTACAAGCAGCAAACAACATTAAACTCCGAACAAACGATGTTCCTTCTGGTCATTTTATGGTTTTACGGTTTGTGCCCATCGGCGCCATGTTTTTGTTGTTATTTTTCGCCACTAATCTCTGGCACCAGCAGCAAACCTTTCAGTCACAGTAGGCTCCCGCCTGTGACGCACGGCCTGCTATCTGACATGGACCATATTTTACAAAACTAGTGTACAATGTTTACTGAGCGAATGTATCAACACAATCTGGTCAGTGGCGAGAATTCCAAGTTTCAAGACACTTCCTCACTGGCTTCACTTTGCAGAATCGGAGGTTTCGTCTTTGTAGCTCAAAGAAAGACACAAACCTTTCATGAGTCAGCATTCTCTGCCCTTTTCTCATACATGTCCCTACTTTCTGCCGTCTCCAGATGCGCTTCCTGTTGCTGTTCAGCCGGCAGGGGAAGCTTCGGCTGCAGAAATGGTTCACGCCGCTAACGGACCGCGAGAAGAAGAAGGTCATCCGGGATGTGATGGCGTTGGTGTTGGCACGTCCCCCTCGCTCCTGCAACTTCCTCCATTGGAGGGACATCAAGGTGGTTTACAAGAGGTGACGACATAATTTATCATTGGTGTAACAATTACACGGTGGTGCTCCGAGTTTTGTCCTCCTCGGGCCGTGAGCAGAAAGGCCCTTCGACCGCGTTTATGCCTCATGATTCACTTGAGCGGGTCGTCTTTGCTAAAACCTCAGAACGCAGACTAAAACGCACTGGATCGAGTCGATGTCTGGTTGACCTTACGTCACTGACAAGACGTCCACACAGCAATAATCCTCTCCTGGTTGGTCTCCACCTCCAGTCATTGTAATAGTTAAAATCTCACAGCATTACACGTTCCACTGCATCATCAGGAACACCTGCAGTATCAGGTGAAGGTCCGGAGTTAACGGTTCTACTCTCAGTACGTTTAAAAAGTTCTAAAGTGAGATGTGATGGTGTCAATGGGCCTCTACTGGTCTCTCCCTATATTTCTATATATCGATGCTCAAGAAAGACACTAGTTTACATACAAACATTTTAAAACAATGTTGATTATTTTAATTAATTTTTGTCTTTTTTATATTCTTTTTTAATATTCGTCCCCAGTGTGAAGAAACAAGATTAGTTGACGCTTTCTGCAATGTTTGTTTGTCCCCTTAAAACACTTAAAGTAAATATACTGAGTATATATAAAACCAACCACTAGTAGAATTAGATACAAACATGTATGTGCTTGTTCTCCCTCTTCTTCCATTTGAAATACATTTGATCCAAGGACTCCCATACAGGAGTCTAATGACCTGATAGTTGAGGTCATGCTGTCAAATGTGCTCATAGGTTTCTCTACATGCGACCTTTAACCCCTGTATCCGCATGCAGGTATGCCAGCTTGTATTTCTGCACGGGTCTGGAGGACCAGGACAACGAGCTGCTGACCCTCGAGGTGCTGCACCGATACGTCGAGCTGTTGGACAAATACTTTGGCAACGTAAGTGGAACTGTCAGCTCACTAACGAGCTTTAAACCAAATCCTTTTTATAAAAAGTGTCAGACTTTTGTCTTTAAATGTTTGATACTTTTATGTATTTAGTGAATTCTCGTCTTTTTCACAGAGGATCATTTTATCACAATTAAAATTAATAGAATATTTACAATATTGCAGTTTTAATTTAGTATGCTGCTACAGATATTCTGACCAACCCTGCAGTCTGCCCCTCTTGGTCCTGGTTCTGGTTCTCCCGAGCCTCTGTTCCCTTCCAGGGGATCCAGCACCACGTCCTGGGTTTCCAGGAGGAGTCAGTTGACTCTCTTGGTCTCTGCTGGAGGATCTGGGTCTGTTCACGATGGACTGGTCTCTGCTGGAGTCTGGGCTGAAGGAGGTTCTGGTGAACCTGCATGATGTTATCTGGTTTTACCAGAATCCGACCCGGTGGCACCGATTTGTGCCCGCTGGAAAAAAATAAAACAATTTTAGTAGCACTTAAATGGAAACGCGTTACAGCAGTCTCCTCCAAACACGTCTGAATAATGAACTCATTGCAGGTTCTGAAGCCTCACGCCGACACGCACGCATTTCAACCAGTTCACACGCCACATCGACCGCCGTACGTTCGTTACTAAGCAACAGAGACACGCAAACACACGTGACAGGTGGGGGCTTTTGATAGAACTGCTCAGTGCAGGTGGAGGACACAAGAGAGAAGAACTGGTCATGAAACCCCAAAATGAACAAGATAGATAAAAGACTGTTTAATGAAAAGTGGTCCAGTTTAGAATGGCTGGTTTATGATGCAGCCAATAAAATATGTGCCGATTGTAGGACGTTAAGGGGTTTGCAGTTGGGAGGAGCAATTTCACAGTGGGAACGATAGAGGACCATGAGATCTGCGTTGGCCATGTCAGAAGCAGTGAAAATGAATGGAGGAAGAGAACAAAGTCTTGCGTTTAGGTCTCTGGTCCTCATGAAGTCAGCAGAGCTTTGCACCCCTGCACCAGTTATATGCAATGCGCTACTTTTTTTGTCTTTGTCTTAATTAGTTGCATTTGTTTTCATGCAAAAGGAGCTTTACACACTCATAAGAGCTGCAGATTTGGTGACTGTACATTTTATGCAGTCTTGATTTGGATGCTTACAATGGTCATTTACATTTGAAAGGGTTGATAGTTCTTCCAGTACATTGTAGCAAACTATAGTGAATTTTAATCAATGAATGTATAATAAAGAAGTTCAAGTGAGGTAATTGGTTTGGGCGCAGGCCTCAACTGTTGTTATGATGTGCAGTCACGTTACAACATGTTTTTGTATTGTTCATGTTTGTAAAATGTTTAAATGTTCAAAGCAAGTGCTTTGCTACTTGTTAAAAGCCAAATCCTTTCATGTAATTTGTTTTTTCATGTAATTTGTTTTTTCATGTAATTTGTTTTTTATATTAGCTCACACAAACACACATGTATCTGTTCCTGGCTCGGCCTCTCTGTCAAATTTTAGAACCCATTGTGGCCCGCCAGTCAAAACGTTTGCCCCCCCCCCTGGTCAAGTCTGACTCCCCCTGGTGGCTCAAAGGAGCCTCTGCACTACGACGGGACAACAGCCACTCCCGCCTTATTTACAGAAACTGAAAATAATGAAAAAGAATTAGGGATCTGGTGATCCGTTGTAGTGCAGCAGAAACGTTGTTTGTCTTCTCTAATGACTCACATGACCTTTCAGGGAAGTTTAATGCAATGATCTTTTGTTCCAGGTTTGTGAGCTGGACATCATCTTCAACTTTGAGAAGGCTTACTACATCCTGGACGAGTTCCTGATGGGGGGAGAAGTTCTAGAAACATCCAAGGTGGCAGTGAGCGTGTCCATGGAGAACGCCGACACACTCCAAGAGGTATTTGAAGGGTTTCTCTGTGTTTTATCTTTGTGTTTTTGTCTTTCTTCTCATCGCTCACGTGAGGCGTATCTCTGCTCCGATCACAGACGATGGAAGAATACATGAACAGACCCGCCTTCTGAGCCCCGAGAGGACCAGGGACACGAGAGGACCAGGGTCTCTCAAGACTCGAAGCCAAAGGTTTATCGCTCCGCATCATTTCTGTTTCGTGGCTTTTATTGACTCAATTTTATTTTTAAACCTGTTTCCAATTAGTTGTTTATACTTGTTTGGATCTTTAAGGACATCTTTATCCATCTCAGGGTTTTATGACTGAAGTCAGTTTGTCAAAATGCTGTTTTGTGTCTCTGGTAGTTGTGTGATGATAGTAAATGAAGAAACACGACACAGTAGGGAAAAAATAAAGTCAATGCTTTATTCACCTCAGGTATGTCACATATGAGCACATTTACAAAACAAATATAAAATTAAAATAAAAAACACAAGTAATCTATGGGATCCAACACTGATTTGGTCGTGTGTGTGTGTGTGTGTGTGTGCGTGTGTGTGTGTGCGTGCATGCGCATTGAGAGGCTGGTGAGTCACATGTACTGGTTGCTTTGTGTTGTTTAGCAACAAACTCAGCTCAACTGAATCTAAACACTATTTCAATATTTCTGAGTAATAAATAGGAACATTTTGTAAACCTACAGAATAACTGTTTTATTCTTCAAAATACTTTATTTTCACTGTCTCCCTCCACCAAAAACCTTATGTATACTATATATATCTGTGTGTATCTCTCTATATTCATCAGGCGGTTTTGGCGTCGCTTTCTTCAGTTTCAGGGTTGAGGGAGCTCAGCAGTTTCATCACCGCCTCGTTATCGAAGCGCTGCATCTCAGTCACGCCCCCCCTTCCTTCTCCCTCCCCCTCCGACCAACTCCTTTCATTCGGGCTTCTGTCTGAGTCCATTTGATCAAAATAAGCCTGCATGGCACGCTCGAAGGAGCCCGCCGCGCTCTGCCCGGCCTCGTCCCGCTTCTGGCCCGCCCCGCGGTCCCTGTGCTTCGGGTAACGCGCCAGCATCTGAGCCGCCAGGTACGCCGCCAGCTCGTCCTCGTCCACTGTGTCGTCGTAGTCGCCGGGAGGAGGGCGCCGCTGCGCGGGAGCCGACGCCCTCGGACGCCCCGCGGACAGAGCGGGGAGTCGTGACTGCTTCTGCTTCCTGACGGGAGCTCGCTCCTCCGCGCCCCCGAAGCCCAGGATGTCGAGTATCTGCTCCGTCCTCCGATCCTCGGGGGTCTCCTGTCTCTCGGGGAAGCGCCTGCTGTGGAGTTTCGCCTGGGGGGTCTTGTGCGTCTTCTTCGGGGACGTCTGCGAGAGCCTGTTTTCCGCCCTGGAGAAGCCGCCGCTCTTCCGTAACGCATTGGTCGTCTGTCCGGTTCTGAGCATGTCCACCAGGTCCTCGGGCGGGATCTGGTACTTCTGGGAGATCTGAATGAGCTGGTAGACGGCCCGTGGATCCACAGTGTCGCTGTGCCGCGTCTGAGCCGCTCTCCTCTCGGCCATCTTCCTCTCCTCTTCCTCCACCTGTCGCTTGTGCTCCTCCTCTTCGCTTTTCTCCAGCACCCTGAGGAGGTAGTAGTCTACGAGGTTGGCGACGTCATCCGGGCCGCTGGATCTCTTGACCAGGAGGCTTTCACCCGCGTCCTCCCCGGCGTCCTCACTGGCGTCCTCGTCGGCTTCCTCGTCGTTGTCGTCGACATAATCGAGCCCTCGGTTGTCCTCGTGTCTGTTGTCCTCCTCCCCCTCCTCCTCTTCCTGCTCTTGTAGCGGACCCCATTCTGCGAGATCCCCGTCATCGTATCCCACGTTCCTCACGTCGAACGTGTCGTCTTCGTCTGCGTCATCCTCCTCCTCGCCGTTGTCCGCAGCGTCCTGGCGCCGCTGCGTGGTCTTCACGCCGCTCATTTTGTCCAGTTCGTCGAACACGGACTGCAGGGTTGCCAGGTTCTGTGGCGTGTACTTCTCCTCCACGTTCTCGTTCATGCGCTTAAAGGGGCCCCTCTCGCCCTCGTCCTCCTCGTCTTCTTCGTCCTCCTCGTCCCCCTCGCCCTCCTCCTCATCGTCCTCAAACATCAGCGGCAGCTTCTTGTGGGGCAGGACGCCGTGCTGCTTCGGCTGCCCTCTGGGATACGCGCCGCCGGGCTGCGAGGCCTTCTCCGTCTGCTGGAGGGTGCTGAGCACGGCCTGGAGCAGCTCCTCACTCTTGTCCTCCCTCTCCTCCTCCTCCCTCTCCTCCTCCTCCTCATCCTCTTTGCTCTGCACAGGGTTGGAAGCCAGCCTCAGCATGGCGCGCAGCTTGTCTGCGTCATCCCCGTAGCCCGCGGCGAGGAGGGGGTCGGCGCCTGCCCTTTGGCGGACGCTCTCGACGTACTCCAGCGCTTTGAGCATGTCGGCGTCGGGAGTCTGTGGGACGTCGCCCCTCTGGGAGTCCGACTCACTTCCTCGCAGTCTGTGATCTCTGAGGGAAGCCCCGCGGGCGGCGGGGGGGCCGAGCGAGAGGAGGAGCAAGAGGAAGTTGGCAAAACAGAGGAGGGGAAGGCTGGCGGAAGTCTCTGTGAGTGACGGCATGGTGGCGCCTGCAGAGGGAGGAGACTCAAGTCAGCGCTGACCTTTACATGTCGAGCTAACGTGTTCGCAGCGGTTGGCGCTTTGTTATTTCTGAAATGCCTCCTGCTCTTATCATCACTTTAAATGTGCAATCAGACGATAGCGTCACGGAGACGTTTGGCCCCTGGTGTAAACCAGCCGTCAATTCCATCCTATTGAATGCATTGCTGGGAATAATAATAAAAGTTTCCTCATTTTGTAGACTTTATTTTACTTAAATACAGCGTACAGTTCTATCTTTTGTTTAGGGATTTATTTATTTTATTGAGTAAGAATGACAGATGCAGCAGAACGAAAGAAAAAAAGATTGCCGAGAAGCAACTGGTGAGTCGTCTATTTAATCGATAGTGATAAGTAACCCTAATAAATAGGTGTGCCCCCCCCCCCCCCCCCCCAGATCTATCTCCTAATGACTCCTCCATGAAGAAGGCCCTTACACTTCAGCATTCACTTGAGTCTGTGTTGCTGAGGAAGTCTAAAGAAGGTGAGCAACTTCTGCTTAACGCTACTTGCTGTTTGTGTACGGCTCTGGTTCTTGATGACATTATGTGGTATTTACGTCTCATAGAGGCTGTGTCTGGATCATGGTATATTTCATTCATTCATTCTTTTTAATGACTTCGCTTCAGTCTAACTGGAAACCAATCAAGAGGAAGAGGCGACATCAGCTGTCTACCTGCATATTGATGAAAAGGCTCAGGGTGACCAGGGCCGCACAGGGCAGAACGCCACTCTGGACGATGGCAGCTCAGGTCTGAGCGGCACTCTGGACGATGGCAGAACAGGCCAGAACGGCACCGTGAGCGACGACTCTTTAGTCCAGAACGGCACGGGCAGCGGAGACTCAGGAGGCCAGACAGGCACCCGTGAGCAAAGCTCTGCAGACCAAAACAGAAACCTCCACCCACGCCTCTCCAGGCAAAACGGGCGCCGGGGACGAGGACCCTGCAGGCTAAACCCGCTCTTTTAACCAACGACCCGGGGGGCAAACGGACCGGCTCCTACGACCTTCCGGGCCAAAATCCCTCTTGAGTCACGCATACGCTGTCCAAAAATAAACGGGAACACCCCTCTTGGGGGCCAAAAGGTGGGGGGTCTGGTTTCTCACCCAAAACGCCCTTGGGGCTAGGCTCTTTTTGGCCACCGGGAAAAGGGGAATATCCCTATGTCCTACGCTTTTAAAAATGAGCGGTCTCGGTTACACCCCTAGGGTGCGGACTTTGGGCCAACGCCTATTCGCGAGAGAAAATCCCCCGGTAAAT